GTGGTTTGTGCTCAAGTTAATAATTGACTGCAATGCAATACTTTTGTTTTCACGTTTTGGTTGTAATTTTCCTCAATAACAACAAATATAATTAGATTTTAATTGAAGTATTGATATTTTTTTATAACATCTACATAGTTCAAGCTGAAGTTCTTGTGTGTTGTTAAATGCAAAACTGTTGACCTTTTAATTGCACCAATATTATCTTGCTTCGTAAATAAAACTTGGGAATAAAAAAATAAAACAGCTCTAATATAACGTGTTTATTTGGCTGTTTTCGTGCTATTGTTTACTGTTGGAATGGTAATAGACTGTATTAGATTGAATAAGAGAAACTCAAATGAACTAAACCATTTATCTTACCAACTACCTATACATAATTAGTTTGGTAATATAATTTTAAACGTAAGTGTCGCGTGTCGATTGTGGTTTCAAAAGAATTACTGAGGTATTAAATGCCAAATAATATGCAAACCTGCTGATGTACAATAATCATACAGTTTTGTAATCTTGCTCCAGTGGTTCTTTTAATCCGAGTATATCACGACTGTGCAACAGGATTACGGTACTTAAAAATACATCCGTTGTTTTGCACATGAGTCGACATCGGGCGGTGGGTAACATTTAAAGTGATTAAAGTGTAATTAAAAAGTCCTAGAAGTTTTCTCGTCAAATCTGGTAGAAATATACGGAGATCGATGTCCAACAATTGAGCAAACTTTCCTTAACTGCGACACCACGTGTCGAACAAAAACAAGCCAACAAGTGGTATAATACCAATACCAATCCTAACAATCTGAATCATTAGACCTTTTTAGTTACCAAATTTATCAAAGTATATAATACAATATAATACAAAGTATGTAAATGAACGCCCTGGTTGATCCAAAAAGAGTCAAGATTGTATGACTAATCTTATATTTATATTCTATAGAATCTATATTAGCGCGTATACGACACGAGTAAAGTATTTCTTCGTTTTATTGGGAGGGTAATCAAATTTGCAGATCTCAAGCTATTTAAAGAATTATGAAGTTTAAGTAAAATTTATTATGAAATAAACAACCGCAAGAGATTTTATAAATATAGGTGTCTGGGAATGGCTTTCAAGTGAATACGGGTTATGGGTATACAGATTAGTGAGTGTAGTCACGTACGCTCATCGTGCTGTCATTGGTAAAAGCGGTTCAGAATCATACGTACCGCGATAGTGTGTGACAACCCAATAGGTCTTAAGATTAAGCAGATAGTCCCTATTTGTTGTCACCCACCCATCATTCGCTCGTGATACTGTCATTGGTTGTTAAGAGTAAACTAGAAAGCGATGCTGAAGTATATGGACACCGAAGCCACAACGAAGAATACGGTACGGCTACGTAATCTGGTAAAGTACTACCGGTACCCCAGCTTTCACGATTTCTCTTGACCACCAGATTGCACCGCCGCAAGGGGTGGGGTTTGATGGTGCACATCGCACAATTCATTAGTAGGGGAAAGTGGGGAAGGTTGGGACACTTTTTTTCTTTTGCATATTTGAGCCGTTAATTCTGCATATTCTCTTAAGTTTGCGGGACTAATGCATAGAGGGGTAAATGTAGTTTTTATTCAGCAACAAAGAAATTCCCTTGCGACACACATCTTACTACCAAAATGCTTTGAAAAACGTCTGTCAAGTGTCCCACTGTACCCCACTTGTGGGGCACAATGGGTCAGTCTGTCAAAATTCGACGAAGTATGCCCTTAAAAATAAGCAATTAATCAGCATAATCGTCTAAAGTACAGGGAGACTTCGAATTTGAAGATTTAATATTTTTAAAATCAATGTTCAACTGAAATAGTTCAGATATTTTGACAAAACATTTTGCAAAAAAAATTGATTATTTCCTTCCTCGAATCTAAATCTGGAAATATTATTGGTTCTCGAATATATTCCATATTGGGCCATGGGTTGAAAGAAACCATTATATTACACAAAATATAACGCATCTCTAAGCACTTATTGTATCAAACACTGTCGAATTGTGCCCTGTAGAGCATGTCCCACTGAACCCCGGTCCATTGTTCCCCATAGGAAACAAATACTTTCAGACCATCCCACGGCAAAATTCGGAAGGCACAGCCAATCGCTAACGTTAGGAATATTTTACGGTGGACTGACGCTAAAGACTATCAGACGATGGTTTGTCTCGTTGGAAAGGCTAAACTAAAAAAAAGAAAAAACTAGAACGGTGAAATTTTTTTTTCAACCTCCCAAAACCAATTTCACCCCATAGCTTGCGCCGCTCTACCCGTCCGTTGTCCGTTCGCGGGGACGTTGTAACTCACCGAAGGGCGGATTGGAACATCGAGCCGCGGACAGGATTGCGGATATGGTATCAGTGTGATAGCTGATTTTCCACTGTGCCCCATGTCCCAACGTACCCCACCTTCCCCTACCCATAGAACTTTTTGAAATAAATAAAAGTAGCCTAATAGGTCCAGTCCAGTAATTAATAACAAAAGCGATTTTTTTTATAACAACAAGAACAGGATTCCAAAATGACAAAACGATCCATTCGTCTACTTTGTGTCCAATAAAAAAAATAATATTGACAACGCTTCCTTCTGGGTTTTTCCTATGCCTTTCACATATATATAGGTTAAGTCTGCTAGAATACATTTGTCCTTTTTTCTGAAACTTTAACATATTATGTCATGTGGTGGCCTAACGTGAGTTTGTTTAATAACCCAAGTAATTAAAAAAGGTATCCGTTATCTATTGTTTTCCTTGTAAGATTGACCTATTTTCGTTGCTTCAGACGAAATATTTTTGACCTGTTAACTGTATAGCTTTATGACAATACGTTGAAGAGAATTGAGACCAATATATGATCCATCTACTTCATTTAAACACTGAAGTAGAAAAGGGGCCCTTATTCTCTAGTTTCCACAGTAGATTCTACTGTACTGAATTTCTTATATATACACACAAAAAATCGAACTGCCTACCTTTTACTATAGAAATAAACACACCACCCAAACAGTGGGCTGAAGTATTGTCCTCCATACCATGCCAAGCAATGCGTACTTAACCTTTGGGTACCACATGCAACGACAGCTAACTTTTAACCCAGTGATACGCCCGCCCGTTTTTGCTGTAACGTCAGTTTCATGCTCTATTCCAATCTACATTGTATCTGTAAATAGATAGACTCTTTTCATGTATGACAAAAATAAATACCTACCATCTAATATACCTCTACAAGTTGGGAGTTACATTTTGGTGCATCAATCAACCCGCCTCGTAACGTTGTTTTAAAACATTTGTTACACCTAAAGCCTTTGCAACAGTACGACCTAACCGGAACACCGGCAGGTGCTCGCCACTAATACAGTCTAATAATACTGTAATAATTAGTTCAGAAGATCCAGTGTGCTGCAAAGACACACAAATAGGTTCGAAGTTCACGATGCAAACGAATAGACTTTATTAAAATGGTGTAAAATCCACGCTTAAAGCAGATAAAATAAGAGCGACAAAATGCGGTTCTCATCCAAAGCAGAAGCAAGAAGAGGCTGACACTGCGAATCCGCAGCACAGTTTACATATGCAGTGGTGGTTGGAGTCGAGTAACTGGAACCAACTGTCGGGCGAATTAGATTTAATTAGAATTAAAATACCAAACAATAAAAAAATAGGACAATTCCAGTCCCGCCACACCTTGATACCACAATGAACGCATGCCTGTTAAATATGCATGCCGCTACATAGTGCCAGATAACAATAAGCGAACGAATGGACGCAACTAGCTAAATCTGTTGCAGCGATGCTTATTTCCCAATATTTCATATGTTCAACACCAAAAATATTTCCGAAAATCATACAGTTTCGTTTGTAGTTTATTCTGTGAACGAAGAATTACGCAGGATGATAGAAACAAGGTATTTAAACAAATTACATCCATGTGACACAAAGCACTCGTCCCATGAAGACAGCCAAATGAGAATAAAGCGTTGCCAACATCACTGCCAACTTACGCAGAGGTGGCAGAAACAAAATCTGGGTACAATAGCTAAAATAAGGATGAGAGTAATCAAGACATAAGGCGCACACCTATATGTGGTTTACAAAATGACAAATATGCTTACATATACTACAGATGCATGATGATCCGTACTGGTTTTAGGAATAATATATATTTGCAATAATTTTGCGTTTGGCAAACGTTTGAAGAGTTTTCCTTTTGGGATTGGGTAAATTTGTTTTAAGATTAATAAGTTTTTACCAAGTTACACGTGTTGTAGTGTCGTTCTGACTTCAAATTTTGAAACCCGACTAACGCTTTCCTTGAATCCCTTTCCCATTGTTTGGTTGGGTTGTTTCATTTGTTTTGTGTCAACCGGGAAGCTTTTGACACACAAACCATTAAGCTATTGTTTTGGAAATAGCCTACGTCGTGTTAGGACTTGAATACACGACGAATGACGCCTTTGTATTTGTTTTTATAATTATTTATTACTCTTTAAATATGTTTGCCGTAACATGTAAACGTAACATCAATGTGTCGTTTTCGAGGGTTTCGTTTGAATCGTGTTTGATCATTCCAAATTCGCTCCTCTTAAATATGAGATTACATGTCATGCTGGAGACGCATGTATAAAACGATATACAATTACACAATACCAGTAACTATCCAGTAGGGTGGAACAAATGATTTCATATGACAAGCATCTTTAATTGCTATGTTGAGTGGCAAAATCAGAAATTTTATAGAATTGCAGTGAAATTCACGAACTTAATGACGTGTCATTCGGTGCTCAATTGCAATTGTCTGGGTAATTAATAGCGAATCTCTTGATTTTTGGTATCATTGGTTTTGAACTGTTTTCAAAATTCATCTAATTTGCCCAGAATGCTACGACTTATTCGAATTGAATGTCGATTCTAAGGTGCACTGCTGTAGCCCTAATATAAATTCAGCGCCTGCGCATTTTATTTCCCTGCAGCAAGCATATGAGATCAATAATTCAAACATTTATTCTCTAAGATAAGACGTTGAATATAAACATCATTCAAACATAATACAGAGATAATCATCATGATCAACAAAAATAATATTTTAGACTTATTTGTAATGTTAATCAATTTGGTTATGACCTATAGATATGAGCCGTAGATAGGCAATGAACAGTAAAGCATAAATCAGGAAATCCTCTGACCAGGATTTAAAGAAAATATAATATTTGATTCGAATAATTGCAATGCAAATGCAACAACACAGTGTTATAAATCATATTAAAACAGACTTGAAGATTAATGATATGGGGTGGCGTGTTCCTCTACAATATTCTAAAGTAGCATACTAACAGAACCAAACAAAGAAAAATTTGAATCCGATTTTTGATTAGGTTTAAAAAATATGAAGACAACTAAACATCATACAGGCATCGACCTAGCTTTTAAGACATAAATGTCAAATTGATGAATCCATATTTATTCAGAAATATAGACCAACTACTGTTGCTAAATTTTTTCATTCCTGAACAGAGCTAATGACAAATTAATGGGGATAAAGTTTTACATTAAAGCGATTATAAATTATGGTAAACAATATAAAAAACAATATCTTGAAAACTACCGTAACTACAAATATCTGCAAGTATTTGCCACTCATATGCAAGTTAAAATTACAAATGTATAAACAAAACACTATAACAAGCTCATCACTATGATAATGTACTAAAACATGAAGTGAAGTTCCACAGTTGCTTAGACAATTTTGGACAAAAGTTGGTTGAATGTACCCTGATAAATATAGAAGGTACATGCTACATAAAAATCGGGAGGTTTTAAACAAATTTTGCTCGAACATGAAGGTGATTTGAAAGAAATGATTATTATTAGATAGAAGATCGTACAGCAGGAGGCATTATATTATTCTTCTGTTTTGAATGCTTCGTTTCGAAAAATAGATAGGAGCGTAAATTATAAAATATTCATACTGTAATCAATCATACTAGAATTGGTAATAAAACACATCTAAGATGTAACAATAGGTACGTCTTCTATTTTTATTACCATCATCAAAATCTCAGGAAGACACTTGAAGAAATTACACACCAAACTTATATTACACCATCTAACGATCTTTGGGATAAAAATAGTGCAATCACAATGATTATGTTGAGCCAAGCAAGAGAAATGAGGGAAAATAAACTGTTAGAAAATCATTATCTATGGTACAAGCATATTCTTGTGGTCTTCTAAGATTGAAACATCAATGAAGGAGCAAACAATATAAAGGTCGCTAGACAATGTCTGCAAACAATATTTATGTAGGAACGAAGATATGAATTTATTATTCGTGACCTGTGACAATCAAATCAACAAACAAAGAGGATAAGCTATGGTGCTAGGTGTACTATCATGTTGAAAGTAACCAATAGCTCAGCTTTCGTAACACATGTTTTTGTATTCAAAAAGATTATCATTATTAATATTTAACAAATATTTTCCCTCATAAAATAGAAAAATGTAATAACGTAATCAGAGAAGACTACCTTATACTAATATACATAAAATTGATGCCAGTGATGACAAAATGCAGCAAAAACCTGTACTGGAAAATAAACAGAAATATCATTATTGTAAAAATTAATGTGCAATTGAATGAAGAACACAAGCTAAAACAGTGATACTACATTAAAAATAAGCAAAAATGAAGAAAAAACATAAAATCTATTTGATATTTACATTATTCTATGTACAATATATTTACAATTCAAAAATGCTGCAGCATGTGGACAAAAACTCGAAGCGATCACCAATACCAGTTTCAACTTCAAAATTGAGGATTCTGAAATATCTTCCGAATAACTGCCTTTTCATCTATGTTTTGGATTATTTGACACAAAAATACCCAGAAAGATGCTTAGAAATGGCATGATCTTATTGTATGAGATAACGAATATTTATGAGATTTTGCCAGAACACGGTTCACAAACAATCTTTTTTCCCAAAAGAACAGAAGTAAAAACACAGCTATTCCAATGATTTTGCTTCAAAATTTCACAGAATATTTATACATTCACCAACATGCTTCAGTACTGAACATCAGTTTTGTTATCTGAATAATGGGTAATTAAACCCTGCTAACAGTAACATAATTTTCACTCAAGAATCAATGTTTCTAGGGAATTGTTTTTTCTTTTATATTCTTCAAGTTTCTCAATTCCTTCTTTGGTTATTCTATTGCCTGGAAAAATGCAAATAATAATGAATAAATTACTTAAAACTGTAAATGACAAATCGAAGCATAACGAGCGAGTCATTGAGTCCAGAAATTTAAAGAGAATTTTGAGATTTAAATTAATCTATTTAAGAAAGATGTTCCAAGATATTCAAAATTTTATCCAATTTCATGAGTGAAATTTGGCATATTTTTCTTAAAAAGAATGTCTGAACTCGAAGTCCAGATTGGAAAGAATACCAAACCATTAAGATGTGAAAATCACAAAATCATATGCAGTAATCAGTAAGTAGTAGCAGTAATGAGTACTTTGAAAATATTAATACTGTCCAAAATTCAAATCCTACAAATAAAATTAATACTGTCCAAAACCAGTTCACAGGCAATCATGGTATTGTTCAATATTAGTCTTAGTTATTAGAATTCAAAAATCTGAGCCCCGAAAATTTTTGCATTGCAGTGGCTTACCCTAATTTTAAACATTGAATCCACTGTGGCTCAAAAATACTTAGCCTAGGGCTACGCACATCAAAATTCATGGTTTTCTTACCTTTTACACTAAGTTCTAATAATCGACATTTGTCGGTGAGTTTTTCTGCTATTAATTCAGCATGTCTGTTGTCCATTGTTGTGCTGTTCATGCGCAAAATTCGGAGATTTTTATTGCTGCCATCTCCTAAAGAGTTTATCAGGGATTCCAAAGCTGTTGTACTTATCGAGTTTCCACTCAAATTAAGTGTTGTTACTTTAGGATTCAGTGCTAAGTACGAGCCAAGACTAACAAAAGTACCATGTCCTGCCTTGGTATTGGAAATATCCAAATCTTGTAGAAAAACTGTTTCTGTTACAGCTGTTGAAGCCAAGCTTGACATGCTTGAAGAACTGGACATACCAGCGCCACTTTCATCACCGAGTTCCTTTCGAGAATCTTTTAAAACTGAGGAAATTAGACTTTGAGAAACTCTTTTCTGAATTTGAGCTGTGACGACATTTGCTTGGGACCTTGTAAATCCGCTAATCAGTTCTTCACACCCATGGTCACCCAGAGGATTGTTAGCGACAGACAAATGATCAACTGGATTTTTCTGGCACACATCAAGTAGCAACTCAACAGAGTCTTGTGTAATATTGTTCCCGCTCATGTCAAGGCTTTTCAGAGACTTGGCTTTGAGTAATGATTTTAGTATCGCTTTTCCTCCTTCATTTCCAACATCACAGCCTTTCAGTGACATTTGTTGTATACCGAGAGCCGATGGATCTTTATCCAGAAACTCAGTTAGTTCTTCAATCTGATATTTTGTTATTTGCTTGCCACTGAGATCAGCAGCAACTTTTCCTCGAACAAGGGGTAAAATGGATGCATTAATTTTTTCTTTCTGATCTGCATCTTTTGAACCCTTTTCATCATCACTAGACTTGCTTTTAAAACTCTCAGCTTCGCTACTATCAGAATCACTACTAGAGCTTGATTCAGATGCTGGTACAGGTGTTTTAGATCTTTGAACATCCACAGGTTCAGTACCATTCAAATGATCATCAGTAGTTGAGGGCTTTTCGTCCGTCCCTGTTTTTATTTCGCTACTATTGTTGTTATTTTTATTGCCATCAGGAGTTTTCCTTTGTGGTTCTTTTGTTTTCCCTGTTTCTGGTTTGATTGCCTCTTCAACAGTATCTCCAGAATCAGTGCTTGACATACTTGACAAAGACTCTGATGCAGAAGTTCCCCCTACATCATCTTTTCCTGAAGTTGACGAGGGAGGTGGGCTTTTGTTAACTTTCTGAATAGATGGTTGCTCAGATTTAGTGACATTTTGTACTGGTGATGGGGTTCTTGTTTTTTCTATGGGACTTGTTGCTCTTTCCTTTTCTACTGGGCTTCTAACATGCTTCCTCTGTGGTGGTGGATCCTGTTTAGCTGGAGTTGGGCTTTTTGATGTTTTTGCAGGCGGTGGACTTTTCTTCATGGTCTTTTTTGTTTGTTTACTTCTCTTTTGAGAATCTTCACTACTACTATCAGATGAGTATGAATCATCTTCACCAGGTTTCGATGACAATCTACTCTCAGATTCTGAACGTTGGTTTGCATCTTCATTTTCCGAATCACTTACATCACTTATTGTACTCTCCGATTCTGTGTCTGATAATTCAGAAGATGATTCATCTGAGGCCATTTTGGGACCATCTGTCTGAACATCCTCAGATGTTGAAGATTTTGATGATGTTTGGAAGTCATCAGCATACTCTTCTGGCTTCTGCTCATCTACTCCATGTAGCCTTTTGGCTGGTCTCCTCTTGGTTCTTGTTGGCTTGCTGGGTTTCCCTGTTGGAGGAGGAGTAGGATCTGGCCTTGTTTTCAACTTTCCTTGAGCTATCAAGCATTTGAAGCAAGCTTGAGAACCGTCGACTTTGACAATACCAAAATGACTGGATTTTGCACCCAACTTGTGGCCAAGCTTGTGTTTGTACTCACAACAAGTGCTCAATCTTTCCACTTGAACTCCGTTGAGATAAAATGTCAAGCTAAATGGGAATGTACGATGTCTACGTGAAATGACAACAAATCTATCTCCCTTCATTAACATGCCTTTGAAAATACGCAGATTTTCTCCTCCACAGTGTTGTTGCATCACAACAACTTCATCTCTGGGATCTTCTTCCTCATGATCCAAGTGAACCATCTGACCCAAATATTTGAAAGTAACACGGGCCAAAGTATGAAGTTGTGCTCTATGCATCATTGGTGGCTCTCTGCGATGCAATTTCAGTGATCTAGCATTGGATCTTGGACGAGGTGCTTTTATGCTTACTCGAGCACTTGCACCTGTGGCTGTTGCTGGTCGCCTTCTTTCTTTCTTTTTGACAGTTTTCTCCAGTGGAGGAACAGAATATGGGCTCACACCACTACCAAGATCAAACTGCGATAAATTGAGAGTGAAAGAGCGCAAAGCATCCCTGTCTAACTCATATAGATGTTGATTGTCAACTTCAACTTCTGGATATTGAGTTTTCATTCGGTCAGTACGAGTGTTGTAAGGTGTATCCGACGGAATAGCTGGGTAACCCACACTTTGAGGTGGTTGTTGTTGATAATCATCGCTATCCGTTACTGTCTGTAAAATTGGTACTTTCTCCCTGCTTTTCGATTTCCTGCCATGCTTTTTATCTTTGCTGTGCTTCATTCTTGGAGAAAGTAGTGGCAACAAATCTTCATCACCTCGAAGAGATCTTTCTGAACGGACCCTGCGTACTCGTTCAATTTTTCCAATATCTTCAAGCTGCTTTTTAATATGCATCTGTCTGTGTCTTTCCATATCAAGAGCCTTATGTATTATAGCTTGAGCCAACACATCCCGAATATGCCTCTGGTGTTCTTTTCGAGCATTGTTCAGACGAAAAACCTTTTCTGATACAATGTTACCTCTACTAGTTATCAGACCCATTTTTCTCAAATGTCTTCTCATTCGAGAATTATTGAAGTACCCAGTCAGATGAGGGTCTGCTAGACTTTCATAGGTAGCAAGCGGGCCTGGATCTATGTGACTCATGATTTTTTTTGGTTTTTTGAAAGTAAAACTGAAATTACAGGCTCTAGGTAAACTGAAGCTATAAAAGCAAAAGATCAAATAATATTAGATAAAGAATCGGTATATTAGTGTTCTCAATCAGAATTTATAACCTCTAAGGAATAGTAAGATCAAAATTGTAGCAATCATTTTCGTGAGCCCGAGAAAATTGTTGGTTCAATTTTAGTTGCTTCTTTGACACTACTTAGCCGAATCAAAGATCATCACAATACTGTAATAGAATGCATTCCTGGCTCTTTCACTAAAACCTAGTAATATAAGTAAGTGTAAATAATAAAAATATAACTGAGTTAAAGATTATTTGATAAAAATTTGAAATCACTAAAAATTAGAGGAGATGTTTAGCAAACAGCCTCATACACCCAGTGGTGGGATTCAGCCGGTTCTATAGAACCGTCTCACGGAAGTTTATGAGATCAGCAAACCGGTTAACATTACTGGTTACTGTCAATGTTCTGTTTGTAACAAAACGGACTTGTGTAAAGGAACCGGCTGACAAAAAAATTGAATCCCACCACTGCATAGGGCCTACACCTGCACACAGATGTGAGAGTGCAGTATCAGGGTATTGGGGGAATAAACAGATAAAATATCATTCCCAGGAACAGACTATTTTAGTATTTTAAACAACTGATCTGGCCTACCACATAGATAACTGTCACTGATAATTTCCCTTAGAGTACGCTAAATATACTCCCTTCTTTAGCTGAAGCTGCTCGTAGACCTTGCATACTGTATTTCGAATTTAACAATTGAATGGCTGCGAACACTTTGACAATAGTCCAACATCCTACAGTCCTTATTCATCAATACAGCAAAATTCTACTTTTTTTTAGCTTTCCCTAAAAACTGAAAAAAGATTATTTGACGTCAGTTTACCTTTACACATATTCTGCATAATACTGTACCTGTGTACAGTAATATGCAGAATAGCTTCAGGCCTATTAGTTTCAATTATACCGCAATCAGACAATGGGGTCTGAAATTTATAGCCCTACTCATACACAGTCTATTTTTGTACATGTATTCATTCAGCTATGGTAATTGGTACCGGTACCGTATTGCAGTAGATATTAGTCAATACTGCAATGGGCTAATGTACCGTACCGTACCGGTGCAGCAATAAAAATATATCTTTAACAATCAATCATCCAGAGATGGGTCAACTTGAAGAATTATAAACAGTTGATATTTTAGAAATAAGTGAAAAAACACTCGCCATGACAAGAAGTGAAATAATCCTGGATTTCTGAACTACTCGCTGCTCATTTGCCCTGATGCCGAGTGGTGTTTAGCAGCTGACGCGGTTGCTATAGATGGTTGCTATGTTTGTACCGACACCTAGCGTAAAATTACGAGCCCTCCCCCCGCTGGCTTTTGGGGTGGGGAATTTTATGTAGCACTACATCCATTTTTAGATTTTCGTGCGAAGTTTCCACGTATTATTTATATGCAGTAACAACGTAATAATTACGTGCAAAATCGCAAGAGAATTTGCGTTATCTACCGTCGGAGCCGAACAGCTTTAATCATCGCCTCCTTGCGCATCGATTTCCTTGCTTACTTCTGTAACAACTACAAATCAGCAAAAAGGTAACAATTACGTAATATTCAAAATTTATGCCGCGATCAAATATTAATCACTCAGACAGATATTTAGACGTGATTGCAAACAATGCCTCTTGTTTGCGGCTTTGTGTGTTATTTGTCAAGTTTTAGTTGTGTTTCCAAAAAGTAGTTGTAAATCAAATAATTTAATTGTCATTGTGTATAAATACATGCTGATCGACGCTAGCCGCTATCACGAACTGCCTGATCTAGTTTCCAAATTAATTAGCCTTAAAACTTATGATTATTCCGATCAGCCAGCACATACATCAGGTAGCAATAGTAATATCCGTATCGTGTATCAAGCCGCTGCCCGCTATTAGGGTATCTCGGCGCGCATCGACCACTTCCGCCGAAAGCTCCTAATGCAGATGCATTGTGGACGTAACACATGAAACAAGCGAAAACATGCCCGTCTCGTTTCGCTGTAGGCGGGCCGCGGGCAGTAGCGGATAAGGGCGATCAGACAAGGACCGGCAACGCTACAAACCGGTTCAGCGAATAAATACAGTATGGGAGATGAAGATCGAGTTGCCGCCATATTTTAGCCAACTCATAAGTAGGGCTGGGCATTTTCAAATAATGATGATTTCAGAATCGAATCGAATAATTTTTTCGAATCGAATACTTGGAAGGTATGAAATTGTATGTAACTTTCTTATTATTTTAGGTCTTCCAAACACATAAATAACTGAAAACATAGTCAATACATCACTGACAATAAAAAACACGTTTTCATCAATACCTCAATACAGAAAAGAGTCATGTGTCAGAATTGTGTTGAAAAAATATGGCTTCAGTGAAAAAAAATGAGAAATTTACCTCGACCATTGGCGGAAAAAGTAAAACAAGATGGCGGCGATTCGAAAATTTGCTCTTAACCGATTCGAATAATTTACTATTCGATTCGAAATGCCCAGCCCTACTCATAAGTTAATTGTTGCAATGATTAATGCAATAATGGGTACAACAGGTTAAGAACCACTGCTCTAAAATACCCAAATTTTAGTTACAATTTGCATGCCATCTTTTTTGTTTTGTTTGAAACTTATTGACCCCTGTCTCATTTTTGTGCCCAAAATTCTTTTTTTTTACGCTGACTGCTCGCTCAATTGCAGTATTATTATGATAGGAAGATATAATTAGTGAATAATTCTCCAAAAAGCTTGTCTGAGGATTGACATTTGACAACCTCTACTTTATAAATCTTCGGCACTCGAACCTTGATGCAAATCAGCCTAATATAGTGCTTTTCCCACACATGTTAATAATGAAAGTAATACCCGCACGTTGTATTAATTAATGATATGTAGATAGGAATTGAACACTAATATTTCTGTAGTCAGGCGAAAGCACGTAACTTGTACGAGCGTCATTGCTATAAATGTTGTCAAAACGGGTAATAAAAACGAAGATCATAGAGCAGACTATTGATTCGTTAAGACCAGATTATTTAAGCCTTTTTCTATAGCTGACGTCATCACGTTTTGTATTAAAAGTACGGCTTTTTCTTGATACATCTCATTTACTTGAGCCCAAAAATTCATTCTTGCCTTATTTTGCAAAAAAATAACATACGCCAGCACGACCGCAGGTTTTAGCCTCGACGGCTACATGTTGTGTATACCTGGCTTAGACAGAGCAAATCTCGATTAAAGTAAAACCTTCCATAACGATGGTCAATCAATCAATCATCATATGTCTGGTCTGGTCGCCATATATCTCTTTCGAATACCTTCTGTTCTTTGGCAATCAGTATTTTCACACCGTGAGTACATCATTTTTCTCTTGTTCCATCCACGACAAGATAACGTCTTTGAATATCTTCCCCATTCACATGTAAATATCGTAATGAAGGTTTGGTTGGATATCAATCGATAGTGAAAATTTGTCAGATATAATTGAGATTTAAATTAAATTGACTAGACCAGTGGTTCTTGAATTTTTTGAGCCGCGCCCTCCTTTGAAAAATTTTACAGTCTTCGCGCTCGTCACCCCCTTTTCTTTTTTTGCAATGAAAAAAATGCCGTTGTGATGGGCAAGTTGCTCCTTTTTCCGCTCAGTTTGCAATACCTGGTTAAGTCAAACTAAGTTTTAAGTAAAACTAAACACGCTATAAACGTCTGCTTTTTGCGCTCCAATGCATTTTCTGCTTAACGTTTACATAAGACACGTAAAATTTCAATCAATTGTTTACTTCATCACTACTGACTCACAAATACACAGCAATTACAGACTTTATGGCTTGCCTAACGTCTCCAAATTTCACTAGCAATACCTTTGGATAACCTGGTACAAAAATACAGTTTACAAAATGGAGGAGTGCAAATGAATTGATGTACATTTTTAGCATAAAGAAAGCAGTTCAATTTTAATAGTTATTATGCATGTGGACATTTCCCCGTTCATCTGAAAAATAAAGTCGGTAATGATGTTTGCGATTGCATTTTGCATAAATCTTGATTGTTTTCTCAGCGTGACGTGTTATTTAAGTCGTAAAAATCTTTATTTCGGTGTTTATTCTCCCTAAATGAGAAATTTTTCTCTACATATTTTTGTGCCGCGAAGACGATAATTACTTTTTTTTTTTATCTCGCATGGAACTATGACACATGCGAGGAAAACGAGTTATTATATATATAAGCATCAGCGACGAGATGCTAAAGATAGAATAATAAAGTGATTCCGCAACCAAAAAATTATTGACTGAAAAAGCGACATTATAAAATACTAAAATTAAAACGGAAAACACCATAAGTTTTGTTTTGAGGTGGACCGCGACAGATTGAAAACACTTTCTTAGACATTGCAAATCTCATAAATTCCTTGTGCATGCGCACACCTGTAGTGTTCTAAAACTACCGACCTGAAATAAATTTTACTCAGTGGTATTTTATCGCAGACTTAATCTGCAATCGCAAATTTAATTTATCATAATTAAATAAATAAAGCAACCATTTCAAATATGTATATCGGTCATGAATAGAATTTTTTATTCAACAAAAAAACCATTATATATCCGTTGAAAAAGTCGGCTCTTTTGAGTGGCGGCCGTACCGCGGAGATTTAGGGGCGATGGATATGTATTTTTCATATGCTAATATACTTTACATGTATTTACATTCTACTAAATTAAATATATATTTTGGAATTTTATACCAGACCATTCTAACGACGATAACGAATTCGCATGAGCGCAATATATATCAAAACTAAATATAATCGGGCAGTTGATCACACATATGTCTTCGGATTGGCGTGTTATTGTAGATGGTAATGAGTTCATTTTGTCGCGAGTCGCCGCAACCGCGAGTTACCTTGACCACAAATGAGTTAAAATAGAGAGACATTTTGAATTCTTGTAGTTGTCATTAATTGAATATTACGAGACAGAAAAAAATATTATACCGCGAAAAAGCCGGAGTCAAATGACAAGCCTCATGCTATCATGGATAAATGATGAGTCATGGAAAACCTGTACAACAGCACTGCAGATTAGTCTTGATTGTCTGGTTTTGAATCTGCTTTTAAATAATACTTATCAATTTTATGCAAAACCAAGATTCTTGGCCCCATTGTTCGTTCGAGTGTTGAGGTGCAAAATCAGGTCGCTACGACAATTTTGAGGTAAAAAATCACACTGTGATGAAATCTGGCGCTGCGAATCTCACCGCATTAAATTATATTTGTTTTACTTTGCCAAAAGAAAGGCTTGTACTATTGAGTTGAATTTTGCGGAGTGCTGCAAATGGAGGCTGTGCTTACCCTCAGGCCAGCATTCGATATTAGACCGTTTTATATTTTCGTGCAAACATTTAGCATGTGCATAATTTACCACCTGGTCCTTCATACCATGAATGATTAAAGTACGAGCTTGAATATTTCCCAGGCATTTTTTGTAAACATCTCCATCATAATCTTCAAGTATCTTTTTCATAGTGTCCAAGTTTTCGGTCCAAGACTTTTGTAGTTGTTCTGCACCGTACATTTCCAAGTGTGCATCTCTTGCACGGCCGCTCCAAGATGAAATATTTTTCAATTTATGCCAAATTTCAACATCTTCTTTGTTAACGTACGAATTTGCACCCCAAACAAAGTTTATTAATCCTCCCCGGATAAGTTGCTGCTAATATAGAAGCGGCAGTTCCGCCATCACTCCAACCAAGAACGCAGTATTCATTGAATCCAAGCAATTCCATTAATCTGGCAGCATCATTCGCATCTCGTGAAAGATAATCTATTGGAAAATCTCTCGGCGGGGGTACGGAACGCCCACATCCTCTCGGATCAAACGCTACAAGCGTAAATTCCTGTTTATCATAGCCGCGTAATTGTGGTTCAAAATCCCGACTTCCTGAACCAAATATTCCAGGAATCATAAGAACAACTATTCGACCGCTTCCACATTTTTCGTAATATATCTCAACATTGTTAACAGAAATTTTCTCTGCTGTGCGATCGGCCTCTGTGTCCATATCTGCGTTTACTGTTTGGTCGATTAAAACAAACGAAGTAGTGAAAATCGAATATATGCGGATTTACATATAATATGACGCAACAACACAAATATATAACAAATTAATTGTTACAAATAAAAAGGTCGATCAGAAGGATCAAAATTGCTGAAGATCAACCCGAAACACAGCAATAATAAAATCCGCAATTCCGACAGTGCGTGACGCAGAAAAGTCGCGTTTGATGGAGAGTTTCTGATAATTTTAGGCGGGAAACGCAGATTTTTTTGCAAAAGTGTTTTTCAACCCCAAAAAACATTGTCCCATTTTTTCGACTAAATTTAAACAAGCGATCCCACCTGAATCCGTTCCGAGGTTTCAACTACATAAATTTAGCTTTTTATGTTGATTGCATGCTATCCAATAGGAGACACAGTATTTTTAGGTATGACAATGAGATTTATTTATTGGAAAGTCCTGTAGCAAAAATGTTTGACTTTACCTGAGACATTTTCACAGCAATTTATTGTGAAATTGCGCATATTTGACAGATATGATGATTTGGAAATAGTTTTTAAAAACGGTTAGAGCGTGGAATTGAAATTCAGCAAAATTGGAGATATAGTGTTGACCCATAGGTTAAAAGTAAGTACCGTAAATATGAAATAATTGCTAATTTTTTCAGACATAGGTTATGAGAAATGAGACTTAATAATGGAATAAAAACAAATCAAGCCAAAAATATTGGATTCTAATTGTCAGAAAACAGAAGAACACCCAAGAAATCTTTTCAATAACTCACACAATCTTTTGAATAAAATTTAAATATATTACTTCTGCAAAATCATGATTTATTGTAAGTTCAATTTCATCTAATTTTTTCTAAACCGACTGATATTTAAATATATTACTTCTGCAAAATCATGATTTATTGTAAGTTCAATTTCATCTAATTTTTTCTAAACAGACTCGATATAAATCTTTATTTTAAAAAATTCTAATTCAAAACGAAACCACCAAAGAATTGAAATCATCATGAATAAACTCAAAGACAAAATAAACCACCTCAGCCATACCACATACCCACACAATTTATAAACGGCATCTCTTACAACCCAGATCAAAATATTATAATACCACTACTTGAAATTCCCATAATTTATCATTGTTAAATAGTAGCCTTGATTTAGGTGAATTCATTTTTCAGACTGTAGTATGCTAACAATTCCATGACTAGATTGACTACCAAAGAAAGTTTATGATACACATTTTGCTCTTAATACAACCAATAATATCAATATGAACATTGTCATGGAACATGAAATTTTACAAGGAACTGTTTAAAAATGTACTGGACCTCAGGCTGCTATCAAAGAATTGTACTAATCAAAATTGGTACGGAAATGTTTTCGTCTACAAAAAATTTGCAAATAAAATAACAAGAAAAGATTCACAGTTTATACTTGGATAGCAAACAGAAAATGTAACTGATGGTGTAGGACCAAGAAAAAGGGGTCTCATCTACAAACTTGAAACACATTCAATACCAAAAAAAGAAGCATGTGATATACATTCACAAATTACAAGGGTAAAGAAAAAACATATGAATAAATGTTACATCACTGATTGGCTGGTTGAATGCTTTGAACATCATCATAAAAAAATCTAACGCGAAATGTGGCACTCTTGTCAGAAAGTTGAATGCTTTGAACATCATCATAAAAAAATCTGATGCAAAATGCGGCACTCAAGATGTCAGAAAGTTGAAAGAAATCTGTTCTGCAAACCCATTTAATTTCTAGATTTTAAATGATAAAACAAATGGCTTTTCAACTTTTCCACCATGATGAGTTTGCACAATATTTTCATAACTGATATTGTTGATTATGCACATTTGTGTATTTATGTTCATGTAATCCCAAAAGCTTATACCCACCAACACCAGATAAACAAATAAGAAACAGCTGGGATTCTAATAAATTATGATGTATTATCAGTACTTGAAATTGCTGACTTGCTTTTAGCCAAGCTTCAATAGGCAGTCAACTTGAATATAAATACATATACCGATACTTCTCAAAATAAAATTGTGCTAAATGCTGCATATTTCTGAATCTGAATTAAGGAAAATTGCAAGCCCCACCTTTATTTGGAATTTTATATTTATCAAACTGAACGAAGATTCATATTCATACATATAGAGCTGTCATTTGACTGTTGCTTCAGCACTTGGCTTATTATTCAAACTGCGAGAATTATCGTTATTATCAAGTTTTGGTTCAAACATATCATCCGTCCATTTACTTAAATGTTGTTGCATGAGAGCTTTATCAATACGATTGGGATTCTTTTTGCGCTCACGCTTAAATTTTCTTCTCAAATCATCTGGAGTTCTTTCTCTAAACATTGCTCCCATTAAGCTGAATTCGGCACCAACAACACAAAGACATTTGTAAAATTTATCAGTTTCCTCTAATGACCATTTTGCAGTTCTCACATATGGACGTCGCATAAAACTACATTGATTGATTGTGCTTTCTTTTCCAAATTCATAAACAGTACTGATTTTAGGATCGACAGGTTTTTGAGTGTCTAAAACCAAACTGTCTTCATCGACAACTATAGAACCGTCATCAGCAATTCGAATTTGTGGCACAGGAAGTGCAGCATCTTCACCTTGTTCTTCCGAGTTTGATTTCGCTACCTCCACTGAGGATGCAGACAATTGGTCTTCTTTCTGCGACAGAATTTCTTCCCTTGCTTCCTCTTGACGTACATTCATACCTAAAGTCAATCCAAGCTTATTAGGTGGGTTCAGAAAAATTAAATCTGACATAGAAACCAGATTTTGATCAAACTCTGGCCACTCATTTCCATCTTCTTGATTTTCTTTCAATTGTTTCAATTTTTTGAAAGCATTACTTCGATGTTTAGCAGTCGCTGAATACTGTTTTGCTTTGAGATCTGATTTTTTTGGATTAGAAATATAATCTACTTTTTTGTCAATGTTAGGTTTTAATGATTTACTGGCGTCAACAGTTATCGAAGTCTGAGTGTTTTCTTTGATTACAGATAAGGTACCAGTAGGGCAGTCTATCACATCCGAAGGGTTACAAGATACAACAGCAACATTATTATTTTTTGGTATGTCGACATCACTATTTGAAACTGGAATGTTTATTTTGTCTTGTGATCCTGCTTCGATACTGCAATCCCCAGCCTCTAAAGCTGTTGATGTAACTGGAGTCAATGTGATAAATTGTGATGATGAATCATGATCCATAGTGTTAATTTCATGAGGTTGGGAAACTACATGTATGGGAGATAGAAGATTTTCAATAGGAGGTAATTTGTTTGAATCCAATTGTACATCATCAAATTGTATTTGAGTGGAAGTTATAATTGGTGCTATAATGGCGCAACGAGAGATTGGGGGTGAAGCAGCTTTTTCACTTTCCAAGTCAGTCTTTTCTTTGTGTTCACTAATAGAAATCTTTTGCCTCTTTTTAGCCATAAGAGGGCAAGCAACAAGTTTTCGTCTTCTTGATATAGCTGGTGTTTTCTGGGTTGATTTGTCAGGTATCTTATCACTTAAACTTTTATCAACACCACTATTTCCATTACTTTTTACTGGACTAGTTTTTACTTCCATGTGAGGTTCTGGCATTTATTATCTACACTGATCATGGCAGTTTTGATTGATCCAGATGGTTCAGATTGAATTGAAGCAGTTCTGTTTTCGTCAATAGCTTGTCATCATTAATTTTTTGGTTCAAAGAGCCAGTTCCTTGGGATGACGATAACTTTTCTGATTGCTGGACGTACTTTTAACTTCGATCGCCTGATCATTTTTAAGAATTATTCATCACACCACATAATTCTGTAAAGTAGAATAAACATTTATAGATTTAAAGCCTAAACACAATTAGATTGCAACTACGATAATTTATAAAAATTAGTAATGGCTGCTGTAACTACTAGGACTGGGAAAACACTACAATGGTTTAATCTAATAATTCGAGCAAGTTATGACCGAATGGTTCCAAAGCAATTTTGCGTGATCTATCCTGGTATCGCTCGAAATTATTCATGTATCAGGATGGTTTCATGGTCGCACTAATGGAAGAAATATGCAGCGTACTTCGGACATATTGACTTATTTTAATAAATTTAATTTTGTTAGCAAACAATATTTATGTGGCTTTCAGTGTAAGATGTGCAACTTCTACTTTGAGATATCAATATCATAAAGAAAAACAGCATCAACTACGATCAAGAGCTACCTGAGATGTCAGTTAACGAACAAAATAAATCGTAACCGTTATTAAACATCTAAAAACGGTTAACAGATTAACCATTCCCAGCCCTAGTAACTACGCTTGCAGCTTGTAGTTCGATAAGAATAGAATGTACTGTAATGACAAGAATAGAATGCAAAAATGATACTTTGCCAATATTATTATGTTATAGACTCACTTGAAAAGATAAAAAGAGTCAACAGTCTGGGTTTGGCACACTTTAATTGATATCAGAATTGCATTTTTAAACTCTTGGAGTCAAAATTTCAGAACTCTAATGATGATCGAAGTCAAATCTTTGACAAAACTATTAAAAAGTTGACTAAGCGTTTTCAACAGCCTATTGAAGTAGGCTTGCACGTGACAAAGTTCTGTTATCAAAATTTAGATATTTCCAAAACTGGAAACTGAAGGCAGAGTAAAAATTTTTTCAGCTCAGAGTCTGGAGAAGGAGTAAAAATTTTTTAACTAAAAGTCGGGAGTCGATTGTGAATTTCAACGAAATTCAAATGTTTATCATTTCAAAAGAAAGTTTTCGACTTGAGCATTGAATCTATCCTGCATATTTTAAATGAAGGTTGTGCTTTGCATTTTCCCAGTAATCAATGATAGATCCTTTTATATTTTTATGTAAGTATTCTGGATGGAAACGAGGCACCATTGCATCCTTTTCACCATGAATAATGAGAGTTGGTGCACAAATATGCTCGAGTTCCTTTCTAAAAATATCACCATTTCGTTCATTGAAGATCTTGATGCAGCCGTTCAACCCAATCGCTCCACTTTTGGCGAAAATATTCCTCACCATAGATATCGATCATTGGCTTGCGCATTGCTTCACTCCAGCGTGATATATCTCTTACTTTTTCAAATAAATCCATGTCTTCTTTGGTGATAAAAGAGTTCGATCCCCATAGAATTAATTTGTCAATATTATTCGGATATTTTGCAGCAACAATTCCAGCAGTGTTACCACCATCACTCCAGCCAAGCAAAGAATACTTTGCAAACCCAAGATTTTTCATAAGACCAGCAGCATCATGAGCATCTCGATAAAAGAAATCAACAGGAAAATCCCTATCTGGTGGAATAGAACGCCCATATCCTCTTGGATCCCAACTAACAATTGTTAATTTATCCCTGTCAAGTCCATTGATTTGGGGGCTTGAAGTCAGTTTCCCCACATCCAAGAGCCCCAGGAAGAAGTAATACCACATGCTGTCCAGTGCCAACCTTCTGGTATGCCAAGTCCACACCATTCACATTAATTTTTGAACTAACAGATCTAGATATCATATGCTGACACAATATCTTAAGTCTAGTGGGTGCCCTTATTGACTGCATAGTTTATCACATTAGCACCAGGCCAACTTAATTAGGAAAGACTAATGCCTGAATGCAGTACCCGTACCTAAATGAATGCATTAGCAGACATACATTATTCAAACAAACAAAAAAACAATTAAAATTTAATAAGTGTTTTGTGAAAAAATACAATACAGTGTCATGACTAGAAAATCAGCACATACAAACACCTTTTAAATTGCTCAAAACAAATCCAATTTGATGTCAGATGAATCATAAATCTGTAAATGATGTAGACCAGTGTTTCTCAAACTTTTATAGTCCCAGAGCCGCATTTCAAACCTCAAAGTTATGAAGAGCCGCACACGAACAATGCAAGGTAAAATAGCAACAAACCTTAAGAGCGTAGTTAAAATACAAAGTCATCGTAACAACAACACACGTAACAACTAAGGCTGGGCAAAATATTCGAATAATAAAACATCCGAATGATATTATATTATTCGAATATCCGGTACCACGGTACCCCAAAAAAGGATAAATTTTGAAAAGTCGTTGTCTTTGCGTTATGGTGTTATATGCTTATCTTTGCACTTAACGAATCGTTTCAATTTCCTATTTTGCAAAAAAACGGACCGACCCTTCCGTAAATTTAGAAACGTCAAACCAGAATAGGTATTTGAAATAAATTTCCCAGATTTCAAACTCCGATTTCTTGGGAACATGTCATCAGTCATTTCATGCATTACCGAACCACGAAGTCGATTAAAATTAAATGTTAAAATGACTTTTCGGCGTTTCATTGTGAAAAAGGCGATTTTAGGTGGTTAGAAAACTCTAGTTATATAAATAGCATGGATTTAAAAATGATAAGCCTTACGGAATGACATATTCAAAATCATTAAGTGAAGTGCTGAACTTGCAATTTCCGTAAAGAAAATTGAGCATTACTCAGTTAGTATTTTAGCTATAATTACAATCGGGGGTGTTGTTTTGTTGAAAATAAAAACGTTAAAACTTGAAGGAATTAGTCTTAATTAGCGTCTGACCCTCTATTAAGCACAAAGTCCTAGAAATGCCTTTATTGCCAATTTATTTAATCGCTATTTTAAATCAACATTCAGGATTCACGCAATCGTAAATTTGCTAGGTTTATCTATCCATTACTAAAAGAACACGAACACTATAGAAAAAAGCATGAGAATTTCAATTATCATTTTAATAAATATCTGCATCTCGGTTACCGTTCACTTTAAACAGGCACGGTTAATTTACAAGTTGACAAAGACAATGAGCGATTATGATGAAATTACCCATTAAAAAACGCTTTATTGCCGACTTTTCAATGTTTCTTTTAATTTCCAAATGGAGTATCGACCTCCGACGTTCTGGATCCCTGTTATGTATAAAAATATATTTATTTTCCGACTCTTCGGTATTCGTTAAAAATATTCAAATCATTCGATTCGAAAAAAGATTCGATTTTGCCCACCCTAGACTAACATCCATTGGCTTTGATTTCGGATAAGTTTGTCAAAGCGTGTCGAAATCGTGGAGGATGCAAGGTGCAGTAGCTGCCTGAGATGATCGCCAGATATTTCGGGACTATTTACGATTACTGGAACAAAATTAAAAAGCTATATAAATTTAAATAATCATTGAGTTATTTGATTTATACATAATATTCGGGAATGCGACAAAAACTGAAAATCCACGAAAGCGAGCCAATGATTACAGCTATGCCTAAAATCTTTCCAAGCGAAAAGTGGTCGCGTAAACGCTTACTGTTGCGTCACTATTGCATCTTGTAGATTAGTCAACGCTACACAAATAAACACGGGGGAATCCATTCAACTAACTAGTAGACTTCCGCATTTTAATTTCATGTCAAGGATTAGTTTTCAATGAAAATTTTTTTTGAAAGTAATTAATTTTTAAAGCATCCACAAGAGCCGCAGGGAAGGTTGTTGAGAGCCGCATGCGGCTCTCAAACCCTAGTTTGAGAACCACTGATGTAGACCAAACCTATCATGAAATTCAAGTTATCACCTAATTCAGTAATTGCAGAATTGAGTTATTTTCACATAGACCTGTATAATCACCAATAATTTTAGAATTTGCAATAACTGAATAAATACGGAAATACTGAAATTTGTCTACAAGTCTAATTTGTGTAAGTGTGTGGACATCCAATAAATAAAAAAGGTACCGTAGCCTATAACCACATGGCGAAGCATGGCCACTCGCCAAGTTGCGGTACCAGTCCATGTCGGGTATGCTGGTGGTCAGATATGGAATTAGGTAACCAGGTACCTGTATTCTGTATTTGCTCTCGGAAGAGAGAGATTTTATTTCACAAAAAATGGGAACACCATAAATCTATAAGAAATCAGTCAGATAAAGCATGGACTTGATGTAGTTGTACTTGTAGACCAGTGCGGCACAGGTACCTACCGTACCGGTGTCTCTGTTTTCGCTGTTCTTATAATTACGATAGCGGAACTTAAATTACTGGAAGTTGGTGGAATATCCACCTGAACCTATCGGAACGGACCTATAGATACCTTGCAAAGAACATTTTAAACATTGGTGTTGTTGTTGTTCTTTCCACTAGATGACCAAAAAGTGGAAAGAGTTATAGTTCACAGACTGAAGTGGTCTGTTGAAAAAAATGGCATATTATGTAGAGAACAGAGCGGTTTTAGGTGGAGGAGATCTACGACTGATGCATATCTTAAATTACACGATGACATATATAAAGCTTTACCAAATAAAAGATCTGTACTTGGCATTTTCTTAGACATGGAAAAAGCTTATGACATGGTATGGAAAAGAGGACTGTTATACAAACTATATAACATTGGTGTCACGAGGAAAATTTAGCTTTTCGCAGCATCTTCTCTGACAAATCGTTCATTTCTGGTTAGAGTAGGCAGTCGTCTTTCAAATATTTTTTCATTACAAAACAGGATTCCTCAAGGGAGCGTAATCAGTTCGCTGCTTTTCAATATAATGATAAACGATATGCCTAGTACTATTTCATCAGATAATGTTGGATTGTTTGCAGACGATGGCGCTCTATGGCACATTGGGCTCAAAATTGAAGATTTAATCATTTCTTCTCAGAACTCATTGGATTGTATTCAGTCTAGGTGCAACCAATGGGGTTTTTAGATCTCGGTCACAAAATCAATAGTTGTACTCTTCACCCGAAAGAGAAAATTACCACCAATACAACCAGTCAGGAATGAAGTAAAATACCTCGAAGTCTATTACGATAGGCGCTTAAATTATAAGAGACATATCGAATATGTTATACAAAAATGTAGTAAACGGATTAATCTGCTGCGTTTGCTTATTGGAACCAGCTAAGGAGCTAACAAATCACCCATTTTGTCATTGTACAGATCCCTAGTTCGACCCATTATTGAATATGGTATGGAAGCGTATTTTTCAGCATCACTATATGACATAGGAAAAATCGAAACTATCCAATCTCAATGTCTACGCATCGCCGCAGGTGGTATGATGAGTACGCTTAAAATTGCTTTACAAATTTGTTTTAACGAGATGCCGTTGAGTATACGACTACAATTATGCCTCTTATATAAAGCTACACTGCTAACATTTGTTGCCCATCCATGCCTCGAAGTCATCGAACACTCATGGCATGAGATATTTTGAATATTGACAAATTGGACATTAGTATTTTTGAAGCCGAAGAAATTCCTCCATGGTATTTGGATGAAATTAATATTGACGATACATTATCGAATATACTTTTTGCTTGGTATACGCCTGACCAAACAAAAGTTATATAAGTTTAGAATATATAAATGAATCCTATCAATCACACTGCATAATATACGGATGGATCAAAAATTGATGACAAATGCGGTGCTGCGGTCTTTGTTCCATATAATAATTCTCGTATGGGTTTTAGGATAAACAAAGACTGTATTGCCCTTACATGGTAAAATAATAACTATAAATAACTAAAATTAGTACCGTATTTCTTCGCGTATAATACGCACTTTCATGGTCAAATTTAGTCTTACAAATATGGGGGTGCGTATTATACATTGGTCTAGAAAATATCAAAAAAATATTAATTCTCATTTTATGCTTTAACTGGCTAATAATTGTCACATTTATTAATCTTATGTTCTTAATTTTATGTGGCAAAGTCTGTAAGAATCAGATCATGCTTGATTTGGTAGAAGCATACCCAGTTCAACAACAATTTAGTGTTGATAAAGGCACGGAAAGAATGGTGAAATAAAAGTGATAAAAACACGCTGTACATCCGTTAACTGCTGTCATGTTTGGTCTGTTTCGCCGAATCGGCAAAACTTTACCATAATAAATCACCATATGATGTACCCACTGCTTTTCTTTGAAGTGCGGCGTCTGAAAACACGTTCTGATATCGGGCCTTGTCAGCTTCTTATAGGGGGAGGGGGGGGGGGGGGGGCAAATAACTTTACAAGATACTTTAAGGTCAAATCACATCATGATTGGCAGATGTTTTACAGGCAAATACATGAAACATATTACCAGATATAAATAGTTAACAAAAGGCAAGCAGACAGAATGCCTGAAACGTTCAGGAAAAACACCTACAAGGCAAGAGAGGACGGAATTTTGATATGCGTATTATGCATGGAGTTTGAAAAATTGTTGTTAAAACTCTCTAGGATCGGCCCGGTCATAAATGGCAGATCTGTGTCATAATTTGGGATTATGGCTAAATTAAATCTATTTTGGGGGGTCAATAGTATTTCATAGTGGTCTGCATGTGAACAAAACCAATTTCAAAACTCAAAATGTTTGAGTTTAAATTATCCATGCTTGATCCGAGTGTTCTCAATTACGGGACGTCATCATATTTTTTTTATGTATAATTTTTATTTTGCAACAAGGTCAAATTTATTTGTATGAGTATTTCAAAGCTTAAAAATAAACAAATATTTGTTGTTAGTTGAAAACGAAGTATTTTGAACGCGCGAGCAACGTTCTCCGGCTCATAATAAACAAACAAAGATACCAGACAGCACGCGATCAAATGCTCTTCGATAAAACGAATATCACTTCACTTACAAATCCCACTTTTGTTTTATTTTGAAGGTGACGTAAAACTCGTCCAAAGGAAAACTCTTTCTCTCGCATATCAATCACGTGTTGACCACAGCGTTAAAAGTGAGAAACTTTTTCTCGAAATTTTTTGAAATTTCTCTCTTCTTACTGGCATATGGTCGGACGCATTTACGCTACGTAATGTGGGCGCGTTTTAGTGGAAAGCGACGAAAATAAGCTTTTTAGGGACACATTAATGATGTCTTTGGCATTTTTGGTTGGTGAAATATTAAAAAAATTATAGAGGGGTGTCAAAATGACCCAGGAACACCAGGGGTCATTAGGTTTTAAAGATGCACTAAAACATGGGTGCGTATTAAACACGGAGAAATACGGTAATATATCTTCAAATATTCAGACTTGTCTTTTTGAATTACAGGAACAAGGATGCAAAATCACATTACTATGGGCTCCAGGACATGTTGGCATTCCGGGGAAGGAAGTCGCCGACAAACTAGCAAAGATATCAGCGGCGAAAGTCGATGTGGACAAAAGATTATCCCAATCACAAAACAAAGTCAAATCACAAATTCGACAATTCTTCGCTAATAAATGGGATCAACATTTTATACACAGTGACCAAGCGTTTCATTACCAGGCAATTTTTCCCTCAATTGAAGACAGCATCAAGAACCACGAATAATGGACAAAATTTTATTTCGATTTCAGACGGGACATTGTCGTTTAAATAAGCACCTTCATAAAATAGAATGTCATAATAATAGATTTTGCGATTTCTGTAATGTTCCAGAGACAGTGGAACATTTTCTAATGAACTGTCTTGCATATAGAAATGAAAGACACATACTTAAGATGAAATGCCGCGATTATGGCATTGATTTTCAACTCGGAGGTATCTTAAGTAACCCTAGCATTTTCCTTGCTATTGTTGACTTTGTGAAGTCTACCAAGAGAGTACTATAGGCATATAAAAAGTTTGATATAAATTGTCTGGCGCAAAAGACTTAAATTGTTGAAAGCGCCATATACTTTCATAGGTTCCATTACATTTGAACCCACGTACATTTGAACCCATGACAATTGCACCTGTATGCTATTGCACCTATGGAATTTTTTTTGTTTCACGGATAGTTAAACCCATACTAACCCTAACCCATGGGTTTTAGCACCCGCATATAGATTGAACCCGTGGATATACGCATGGGTTCAAATGTACATGGGTTCAAATGTACGGTCACCACTTTCATAACACACACAAACACACACTAAATTTATTCGATCTTGGTAGATATTAGAAATCGTTTTCTTCGAATATATAGCTTATATATATATATATATATAAAGCAGGGGCAATATAAAGCATATTGGATCAATTTATCTGCCTTTACTTAACAGTTGTAGGCTACGTGTTTTCACTTGGTAATAAAACAATTAGAGGACCTGTAAGCTACAATAACATCACGGCGCCATGCCCTCGTGATACCAAAACAATTTTGTGGGGGACTAATTACCAAGACTCAGCCAACAGCAAACAACAACAGAATTAGCCAGCAACCAACAACCAGAAAGATTTAGAAAGAAACCTACACAGTCATGTAAGTGATGTACATGAAAAAATCGATGTCATAAGCATATCCAGTCAATTTAATTTCCAATATTCAAGGGATGCACATGCAGAAGTCAAGTAATACCAGTAGTTGCGAAAGTATACATAATTGAGGCTACTGCGCAGATTATCTAAAAAAATAAATATGCTAAATGAACAATCACGTGAGAATGCACTGAAAAACAAAAATGGGACAAAAACAAGAAAAAATAAAAAAAAACTCAAAGAGAATGCAAGTTTGGCAAATGTAAAACTAAAAACCAAGAAAAACAAACAATACACACATAACGTTTTTACCAAATAAATCTTTGAAGGCTTATATACAAATTAAAAAGAGGGGAAATTAACGGACTCTAATAAGGTTACAGCGAAGACTATATATTTCAAACAATACCGGTACGGTATGCAATCATATGTATATAAAACTCGCGACATATACAGACAACTAAATAACGTACTCACACAGACATTTAAATTCAATTTAGTTTTATACCCAGCTTCATATGCATATACAGCCAAGGACATATGGATATACAGACGGTGTCATATGAATTTATCCATATATGTCATATACGCTGTCAATTCCATATAACATACGGCCATTGAAGTAATGTACACACTCAGAATATATAATGAACACGATAAACAGCCAGTTAATGCCATATAATGTACATAGATAGCCAATGTCATACACTTATATAACCAAATATTACAATGATTACAACAGTGCTGGATCTGTACAAATTGACACTGCCATCGATAAATTATATATAATTTGCAATATAACTTAAATTTTTGTCCTATGAATCAATAAAAATTTTTGTTTTATGAATCGGTTGGCATACAACTGTTTTAATTAGCTTCTGTCACAGATCTTTATAATAAAATATTTTTATGCAACTGTCGATTTATTAGTTATAATTAATATTAGTCATAAATAAATTGTTAAATCCTATAAGTTGGCCTAAGCCCTGAATTAATACGATTAAAACACTATAATTTTATTCGTAATTTTTTTTATTTCCCACGAAGAATGCATATTTTCGTAAATTTGTATAGTTTCATCAATTTATAATACTACACTGCATCGGATTTTGGGTGTCTTCAAAAGTGCGTACAACCTTGAACGAAAATGTAGTTTCACAATGTTTTTTAAATTCTGATCAAAACAAACAGAATTGATATACTGTATTGGATTACATTGAATTGGGACGCTCACAAAAATATTCTTATATTGACCACGTGACATATAACATGGATTCAATCCTGATGGGTAAATGATCATAACCATTTGACGCTGATGTTGATGTATCTGCTGATGTTGATGTTTCTGAACGAATAAAAAATCATCCAACTTTATTCATATTTATATGATTCAAATATAAAAAAATATTTGAAAAACGAACTATGGAATTAACTGATGACCAATAAATTGATAAATTCTCACTGTAGCAGTATTTTAAATATTCACTGTAGTAGATCTTCAACTCAGTCGCTCTGTATGTTTGTTAATTTGCTAGCCTGTATGTCCAGATGTAACGTCCAAACGGCTGGATGAAATTTAAACGTCACTCGAGTAATGTTCTTATCATTCAGCGCAAAAAAAACGCTCGTTAAGAAATTTTGGATTTTTTGATCACTGGTCGCTGTTTTCTTGTTGAGTCAAAAATCAAGAATGCGAGATAGAGTTCAAACTTTGCTTTATTCCATTAAATATATATAGTAAACACGGTTTCCATTATTCAAATTTTTTTTTATAAATTCATGATCAATGAATAGACACATTTTCTAAATAATATTAAATCATAGAATGATTAAAATGCAATCGAAGAACTATATCAAGTTTACTATTTTATATAAAAAAATTTTAAACTTCTGCAGGTGAATCTTCTTGATTCTAAACTTTTTCATGTGGTGACAATAGCTGCTTATCACTATCACTTCTGATGCATGAAATGCTGAAAGAAAACCTGGTACAAAACCTTGACAAATTCCATTGCATACATTGTGGGATTTTCAGTGATAGCAGCTTTCGATGAAATCCCAATGCGCAGATTTTTTGGCGCTGATGATTCACAGCTTACAACGTACTGAGGAAAAACCAAATTTCCGGACTTCCACTACGATACATCGATCATGGGAAGAAACTGAAGGTTAAAGTATCTAAAATATGCTCATAAAGGATAACGTATTTCAGATGATGAAAGAATTCATGTCGACAAACATTTACTGACAAATCCAAATAGAAAGCATGAGGGATAGCATAAGTTTGAAAACAACTTCAGACAAATACCGGTTGCATGACAGATTTTACTTTGTATTAAGTGTTTTATTTATTTTTTTGAAGATCAAGAGAGTATTGATTTAATCAATTAAAGAATTTTGTAAATTGATAAAATATTTTGATGTACATACAAATTTGTGCTCGATGATATGTATAGTCATGAAATTGTTTAATATATATATATTATAATTTAATATAATTTATATATTTTAGGAAATTATTGCAATTGTTGAATGGACAGTTCTGGCCAACTACAGCATTTTAAAATGAAATGCCTATAAGCTCATTCGCTGGATCTAAATAGGCTAAACAGTTTTAGACATTACCCTATTCATTAGATTAAACCGAAACATTTTAGATTTAACGAACGAAAGTATCAAGAAGTGTAAATCATTTAACACAATTATTAAACTTTAATTTATCAACGTATTTCATCACTTGTATTCTTAAACTGTATTGAACAGTAAATACAATTACAGCATCATGAATAAACAAAATAATAAACTTGAATAAAAAAAAACAATGAACAGACCAGACCAAGACAATTTTCGCATTATTATCAAAAACATTGTTAATTCTTAAAGCAAATTTTTGCGCAGCGGACTCTTGTTATGTAAATACATAGGCAGGCATCTTAATGTATTCAGAGATCCGTTATGTAGGATGTAAAAAAATAAACACAATGTGGGATTTTGCATATTGGGAATATAAGTAGACGCAGACTATAATTATATTGTATTCCCTATTTTCAATTCTGATATAAGGTTCTTTTTAGGTCGCGGAATAAATTATATAGCGTGATTTTCATTCAGTGATGTAGCATTTTGAAATATTGCTCTTAATAACATTATGCTTCCTATGGTTATTTAACGCCACTAATATGATTGGAATCAATTGCTGGTTTGTTATGTTAACATTTCTTGCAACATCAATTGCAGGTATATAGTAAAGTAAATGCTGAGTTTTATTTGATTTTTGTAATGATAGTTATAATAAGCAACGATAATTTGCATGTAGTATGCAATGGTACGTTTTTCTCAGTAATTGATAAACATGTGCATTGACAAACAATATATTAATTTGTTGTATTTGTTGTTTTTCTTCTGTCAGTAGCATAGACATTTGTTGAAATTTTGGTGATGAAGGAAACATGTCGATATTACCTAAATCAATCATGTATGTCACTTGGTATCCGTAATATTCTAATGTTATTATCCCCATGATCAATTTATAATTTTTGTGTTCACTGTTCATTATGATTTTAAATGATTTAGGACCTTGGAAAAAGTGAACAAGCCATTTTATGAACTCACATTTCACAACACTGCCTCGACCTGGCCACAAGCAAAATCGTTTTGTGAGAACAGCAGATCAAGTCTTGTTCAACTTGATGTTAGCTCTGTGAAAGATGACGTTTATGATACAGTCAGAAGGTGATGCTTCATTTTATCGACGGTTTTACATTAGGTATATATATAATAAATATCCCCGCGTCAATAAATATGTAATATTCGAAACGCTGACGCCTATAAATCGCATTTTAGGCGTCATCACTTTTGAATAATAAAGAAATTAATTTACTCGTGCTTTGAAATAATCATTTTATTACGATTTTGTTTTCTATCTCCAGTGAATAGTTTTTGTTGTAACCAGTCTTTAAAAATCAATAACTGCATTCTTTATTTCTCAATTTTGTCATGTTATCGAGCAATTTATTACAAACTGATTACAGTCAAATTGTTGGGCCAAAATATTTTTGTCCAATTCAAATTGCATCAGTTTACTTTGAATGCATGATAGAAATTATTTCGTTGTTTTTTATCATCTTTACATCTTCATTCAAAATGAGCTTATTCTCTGCCAAAATACAGCTCACTATGCGTGCACATATTTTGTATTATAATAAGAATTAATATATTATAGTTCAGGAGCCATTTCTACCTATTGGATCGGAGCAACAGACGAAGCTTCGGAAGGAGTTTGGAAATGGATAGATGGATCTTCAGCATCGATTGACTGGTACATATCTCAATATCATTTGGCTAGAATAAATTTTGTAAGAATTTATAAATTGAAAAGTTGTAAGTAATCAAATCCTTATTGATATTTACCATTCCGCTCGGTTATTTTAAAAATATATAAGAATGTAAGGCTTTGTAATATGTGAAGCAATTCATCAGGAAATGGTTTTCTATTTGTTTTTACGTGATGCTTTGCAGGGCACCTAATGAGCCGGGAGGAGGGTTAGAGGAAAATTATCTTGTAATTGAGAACGCAGAAAAATTATCTGATTATCCTTCAAACCATAAAGGAGGGATTATATGCATAAAAGGTCAGCAAATCAATTATTGCATATATATCAGTGTTTAGGGCATTTTTGTTTTCATTTTTGTGAAATAAAATATCCTGGAATATCCTCAAAATTTGCATTGGAATGTATATCGTATAGAAATTATCATTTTCACTACCAAATCTTTAGGTTTAGGTAAGCCTAAGTACAATCCGCATAATAGGATTTGTATTGAACGCTCAATCTTAACACGATTCATTCACATCTCAAGACCAATCTAATCTATACCTTGCTAAACAATAACAGCGAATGAAAAACAGTGCTATGTACAATAACCTCATTATATGAATGTTCAGATTTGATTTAACAACCTGATTTATAAGAGTCACATCAAATCGAACCTACATATCGTTACAAAAAAAAAAACAAGAAAATCGGTTTATCCATTACACACTACATGGAACTTATTTGTCACAAGTTAGGTGAAAGGAATAATGAGTGACTTTCGACGTTGATCAACACTCGGGGCATGCCCCTCGCCTTCTCTAACCGCCCAACCCCGATAGGCTAACCGCTTGTGTGTTAAAAAAATTATTTTTGATGTTTTTATTTTAGTTAAACCGCCTGATATGATGTTATCAGAAACCAAACTCACTGTGACGTTGTATAAGGGTGAAAAGGAAATACTTTGCATGGTATCTGGCTTTCCAACTACGACAGTTCAATGGATGAAAGGAAAAATGACCAAGCCTTCAATTCGATCAAATAAACAATCCAGAGTAGAACAAAAACTAGTTTTGAACCTGAAGCAATTGACAATTGCAGACGAAGGACAATATAAATGTTTGGCATCAAATACAGTTGGGAAAACTACTACATCGATTTCGAAAACAGTTGATATAACTGGTAAGATTAGTAAAATATTCATAAATAGATTGCTTACATATGTAAATGAAAATATGTAATAAACACAAAAAGTATTATGCGTTCATCAAGCTAATTGAGGCAATTACTATTTTGCACACGCTCTTAACCCTAAACTTATATAGAACTTTTATTGCTGATATTTGTAAACTCCCAAAAAATTATTTGAAATGTTAGAATTTGTCCTCGAGCATAATTAAATATCTATAGCAGATACAAAAAAAAAAAAACGAATAATTTTGTATATACAAGGTGACCCCAAAAAACGAAAACCATAGAATATGTTCCAAATGAAATGGGTTCTTTTTGTGGTTACCCTATATTGCAGTTCCAAGTCAACCATCAATCCTGAACATTACAACTTCACCTTGCAACTCAAGTCTATGGATTACCTGGAAGCCACATCTTCGCGGGATTGGAATTAAGCACAGGTATCCACCTATCTATCTATACCTGAGCATTTACAATTAACTTGCTATAAAATGCAATCTAATATAGTCTACTTATCCAGCGGAAGCACCCACACGTAAGGTCGGAATCAAATATCGAAAACTCAGTAATGATTTAGTAATAGGCTCAAGCATATCTGGAAGTCGACTCTGATCATCTTTTGACGGTCCTTAACTCATCGTGACAACCCACTCATTTACCGAAAACGATTTGGTAAATCATTCATTTTTATGTGGGATTTATGTTCTATTTGCTACGTCAAATAAAACTCTTCAATATCCAGCAAACAGATTTGACCAGGACACTAGTATTTTCCATGAATTCAGACAAAATAGAATATGGCCGTTAGCATACAATACATTTGCCGCCTGAAATATCTGAAGAATCCAATTTAACCCCAAAAAGTCTACAAGGTACAATTTATTTAACTAATGCTAATTGAATATTAGACAAAAAACACGAGACCGATACTAAGAAATTACTGACTTAATCAAAAAGGTTTTTCTTGTCAGCCACATCGTCCATAATCTGATTCCAAACGTAATTCTTTAATTAAAACCTCTTCGGATAGTTACGAGTCATTTCTGCCATAGATATATTTTATTTTACATGGTATTGTTTTATGTTTTGTCTATACAATATCATGTCTTAAAATCCGTACTAGGTTTTTTTTGTTTGTTTTAAATATTGCATACGTATTTTTACTTACTATCCAATAACGTTATGCCATAGATTTCGAATTGTGGATCTTAGCAACAGCACCAATCACATCATTTTCTTTGCGACACCGAATAAAATCTCCATTACGTTAAACGTGGCAGGTCTTCAACCGTCAACTCCCTATTTCATCAAGGTGAATACTAGGTTAGAATATAGCAACTAACCCCCAAATGTACCCCATTTCATGTTAAAAATATGAAAACAAAGTTAATTTTTCTCAAAATTCGAACAAAGACTTTCGTAGGAATCAAATTACACCAGGTTTAAGAACATAACAGGTTCCATCCAGTCATTATCAAATTAAAATCTATATTCTCAAGACCTTTGGCACTGATTGAAATAATTATATCTAAGTTCCCATCCGTACGATGTACCTAATTACCCTTATTGAGATAATAGAAGTTTCTGTTTATAACGTGAATCACGAGCTCACGTTTACAGCATTTAATTGGATTTATGATCAACGTATAAATACGACTCCGATATCTTTCGATAGAAGAGAGAAGACGATGTAAACCATTCTAAGCTAGTCTGGATAAATGTTATAAGATTTATATTCTGTGTGTTGTGGAAATTTACGAATAAAAACATATAGAGATTTTTAACGCATCTTCATTCACGTGGGCGTTGAAGCTGAAGGGTGAACGGGTGACTTGCAAGTCAGAGACAATCTACGAAATAGCAATATACGGTAACATCCCATTCATCTAACAACCATTTATGCTATAAATGGTGACAAAACCGACTTGAATTAACCTTCTGAAACGGACCAGATCAACGGACAACAACCAGGACAAGCAACAATTGGACGGAATCAACCAAAAAGCTGACCAAGCGAAAGCTTTCAACAAGTGCCGAGAAACCGTCTCCACAAAACGTGCGAACTTACGAACGTCGGGGAGATTCAAATTGACTGGAACAACGAGTGAAGTATCAAATTGCTGACAAGCCGAAATAATCAAAAACATTATGAAAAGACAATAATCTCAATTGAAAACAGTTGAACTATGGTAACGGACTCTGGAAACGTTAAAATCATGAATATGGACTGTATTGAACATCGATCGAAATGAACTCTTTTAGAACATGATATATGTTCGAGGTGAAAAACCTAATCAAAAACGAACTGTTGAAAACAATGAACTATATGGACTGTTTTACGGTAAATTACGCGCTCTATTCCGAAAATAGAGAGAGAATTGTCGCGCATACCTAATGGATATACAGATCAGGAGCATGTATCTACAATTTGTTTCATGATTTGCAGGTTTTTCTCCTCATTGAGACAGACATTTTTCATTCTTCCACTAATACTAAGGTAAAGTACTTCTTTTTCTTCTTATATATACATGGCGTTTCATTTGGCTTTCAATTTTTATAAATTAATTAATGGTAACAACTTTGAATATTCTAATTTCAAATACCTTTCAAGAGATTTATATTATTGAATATTTGTGGTTACATTCCTTTTCGATTAAATAGATTTCGTTAATTAAAATGCTTCTAAAAGTAGATTCGAGCGAGTCATACTTTTAATTATTTACAAAGCCGTCATATAGAACGGTGAAATAATAAGCTCGTTAAACAAAAATTGTATCAAAAGCGTTATTTTTTCAAAAAAGCCCTGAGATGGCATAAACTTAAAAATGCGTTTTTTCATCCCGACATGGGACAAATATATAGACCAACTAGGTCTCAACGCGTTTTTTCTTCCCGACATGGGACAAGCATATATAGACCAACTAGGTCTCAACGCGTTTTTTCTTCCCAACATGGGACAAATATATAGACCAACTAGGTCTCAACGCGTTTTTTCTTCCCGACATGGGACAAGCATATATTGACCAACTAGGTCTACAAAATCGTAACAATGCGATAATGCGAGCAGTATTTTAGCGTAGCGAAATACATTAAATTGAAAATATGTTTTAACCGTCCAAACCAAAATTTTTAAATAAAAATACGCCATCCTTCTGTAATTCTACTTTACAATTTTACTCTTTCTATAAACTCTTTTATTTCAATGTCGTGTCTCATTGTAGATCATATACATGTAAATATTTTTTTTGACCTATATCATTAATTTTAGCATTGTGTATTGTATTTTTCTATATATTTTCAATTTATTAGAGGTGCCAAATCTTTAAACTTCCAGTTAGTAAGATGGGGAGATAATATAGCAACTAACCCCCAAATGTACCCCATTTCATGTTTAAATCATCAAAACAAAGTTAATTTTTCCCAAAATTCGAACAAAGACTTTCGTAGGAATCAAATTACACCAGGTTTAAGAACATAACAGGTTCCATCCAGTCATTATCAAATTAAAATCTATATTCTCAAGACCTTTGGCACTGATTGAAATAATTATATCTAAGTTCCCATCCGTACGATGTACCTAATTACCCTTATTGAGATAATAGAAGTTTCTGTTTATAACGTGAATCACGAGCTCACGTTTACAGCATTTAATTGGATTTATGATCAACGTATAAATACGACTCCGATATCTTTCGATAGAAGAGAGAAGACGATGTAAACCATTCTAAGCTAGTCTGGATAAATGTTATAAGATTTATATTCTGTGTGTTGTGGAAATTTACGAATAAAAACATATAGAGATTTTTAACGCATCTTCATTCACGTGGGCGTTGAAGCTGAAGGGTGAACGGGTGACTTGCAAGTCAGAGACAATCTACGAAATAGCGATATACGGTAACATCTCACATTCATTTACAAATAATACATGCTATAAGAATATATGATTTGACCGCTATTAATGGACAACATTTTCTCTGACGTAAACGCAATAGCTCGTATGCTTATTCCCTTATTTACTCCCTTAATATTTTACATTTTAGATTGATCCATGTTTAACAACTTCAACTTGCTTTAATCATTATGAAACAACCAGACATGCTACTACTGGAGGACTGCCGGGTCCAGTAACCAAAACAAGCGTCGAAATGACTGATGATGGTTGTTGCAATATTTCTTGGGCGATACCAATGTTTTCAAATTTGATGTATATATTTGATTTTAAGGTGAGTATAGTTTCTATTGATTGAATGAATGGGAGTTATTGAGCCTTCTACGCAAGACAAGTTTTAAAACTTTCTATTTGAACGTAAATATTGAGTCATGCCCTATTGTGTCACACACTGATTACAAAAGAAATTATTTTAGGTAAAGGTTAATTAGAATTTCTACCTCTACGGGTGTTTGATGTTGGATTATCTTAGCATATTGGTGTGAAAAACGTTTGCAATAATAATTGTGTTTGGGAAACGGTAAAATATGCACCTGCAAACTGTTCATTGTATTTTAGCTTGTGATCAACTCAACAAGAGCCAAGATATCGCCATACAATAATCATAATTACAAAATTGATGAAATTCTGCTGCGATCTCAGATAACCTCATATGTTATTCCAAAAATTTTTAACAGAAAATACAATGTCTCTATTCGAGCGAAGTCTTGTGCAGGCATTGGTCCAGAGTCAGGGGCAGTATTAGAATGCGTTACCGATACCAATGGTAAGAAATTTAGAAATTACTCATGGATTTTCCATGAATTTGTTGCAATAAAAATGTGGAGGTGCAACGATGTATACGTTTTTTGAATATTTATGGTCTACAACATAAATCTTGTGATCATATTCTTTCTTCGGCCTATATGTTTTCACCAATTTGGCACTCAGCTTATTGCTTTTTGTTTTGTTTTTGCTCAGTTCTTTTTTGCCTTTTGTATCAAATCACAATATTGTTTTTAATATAAAATGATGGGTTTGCCGTATTATATTGCTTGACACGATCTTTCAAAAAGTAAACAATTCTGAACAAGAAATATCAGCATCGAACTTTCCTAAAAAAAATTTGGAATTTTGGGTAAAAAAATTACATCACAACGTATATAAAACAAAATATTCCGCATCAAGTTATGCAAACAACAAAGTTGCTAGCGTCTTGCAATGAAATTTGACCTATTGCTATATATAATATATAGCTGAAATCACAAAAATAAAATGAACCGTAGACTGATGGTATTAATTCAAGTCTATCTTCAAACAAAATCTCTGAAGCATGGCTCGATTTATCAGGATTTAAATATTTTATGTTCCCTACTTTAAATTCGCCTTTCCTTTGCGTCAAATCATTAAATAACTCTTCGGTGCAAATCTCAATATCTCGCAAAAGATCAAATATTTTTCTCTTGAGAAGTCAAAGCTTATATCGAAAGAAATACTTGAAATACTCAGGGGTACTCGAAATACTTTACGAAGTCACCGAGAATATTCGACCTTACCTACAACTAATTAAACCTCTTTAGTGAAACCAGGCAAGTTTTGTCTTTCAACAAGGATGTCGCCTTTCCTTTCTGTTTATTATCGGTTTATTTCACTGGAAATGTGTATGATTGCTTGATGGGGAAAATAAATATACGGATGAAACATTTTTTTTACTAATTCAATAAATTCAAAAATAAAATTGCAATCAATATTTTAATGGAATTTGTAATTTGCAGTACCATCTAACCTTCAAGCACCTGCATTCAAGGACAAAATGACGAATGATGGAATTGTTGAGATTTCAATAAACGCTCCGGATGAATCTAATGGCCCTATAAGGTAATTTTGTTATCTTATTGACTTTTCACACTAATTTGAATGTTTTTAGCGACCCGACTAATGTAGTAAGTGAGTCAATTTTAATATTAGGCGATGTCTTTGTTGTTGTCAAATGAAAATTGTCGCTTTGAGCTCGGGGTAACCCTGAGCCAAAGCTAAGTTGAGCCGAGATAAAGCCGAAAACGTTTTTAATCGTAATAAATGTCTAAAACGTTGATAACAACATTGAACATAGTAAGCAAATTCTATTCATTTATTAATATACGTTATGTAACATTGTCAGTTGCTTATTTATCGTTGTACAAGTCAACGTGAAAAGAAGAACATTGCCTGGTTTCAACAAAGAACGTATGAATAAACTAAATAATTCACAACTTGAAGATGAATATATTGCAATAGCTTTAAACAGAACCAGGTATGATTCATTCATTAAACTTCGCAACATGATATTAAATTATGTTAGGATAATGCATAATTATTGTGTGGGGTGTGCCTTCTGTTATCAAAACATCCAACATCCCTGGTTTGCTGCTTCTTATCTGTTTGAATTAGGTGTACGTGGGTGTAATATAAAATTGCACATTTCGGCAGTTCTATATTACATCCTGCGCGAAAAACAAAAAACAAAACGTCTGCGTTGGCTTATTTTATATACAAATTCAGAATGTACATTTGGCTGAATATATATCTATTAATAGTTTCAATCATTAAGCCTGAGAATAAAATATTTAAATTCTAGTAAACAGAACTATATATATATATAATAAACTGCATGACAAAACACTAATATGTATTATACTATTGAAGAGCCAGGCAAGATCATTCGAAATTACATCTAAAACTTGGAGATCGAGTAAAAACAACTTGTGACATCAGTGGTCAAAATAACGCAAGCAGTGTTACGAAAAATTTGTATGTTGCCTATAACAGGAGATTGGCACTCACCGAAACTTACAGGTAGAAGAAAAATAATACCAATGCAAGATTTGTCGTCGATATATTTTAATAATACCTCTGAAATGAAAGCATTCAGTTTTAACTATTTAAGTAGATTTATATTATAAATAACAAGTTTCAATCAGTATATGATCTGCAGACTGCAGATATACATATTATTGAAAATATTTAAAAAAAAGTGTCAAATACAATAATCGATACAATTTTTTAACTAATTGTTGATCCATCTAACTGTCGTCATTGTATATTGCAGTATATTTCTTGTGACTTCAACACCAACTAAACAAAATGTTTCGTTCAGTGCTAGTGAAGGCCTCTTGATTGAGAAACCTAATCCAGGTAAAATAAAAATTGAATTTCTATTTTCTTTAAAAAGTAAATATTTTTTCTTCGAAAAAATAAAAACTTTACTAGGAAATAAACATTTTGCAACTAACGAAAAACTAGTATTATGCATTACATACAATTCATTTCATACAATATATAAATATATTTTATAAGTGAGCGATGTAATTCTTCATAATATAATATTGTTTTAGATGAGTGGAAAACTTTCGTTATTATTGGTTTGGCCGTGGCAGTTTTTATATTCCTAGTTGTTGGAATCATTTTCATAATCAGGTATTAAACATATGTATTTTTCGACAAATTTAGTTCGACGTAGAGACGATTAGGAACAACATTGCATACTTTGAAGGCATTTCTTTCATTGTTCTTTCGATTCGATACCTTATTGAAGTTTTTGTCAAATTTGTGAATAATATCCAAAACAATTTAGTTTACTTTTTTTTTCACTTCACTGGCGTTATCTAAAACAGAAAATTCTTTTTTACTTGTTATAGACGGAGAATGAAACCTCGCAAGGAAGATCAAATTGTTTTTCAATATCGAAACAATGAACAAGGTAATGGCAATAACGAGCATCTGTCTTTTTTGATTTTCAATCTAAAGCCTTGTATTATCCTGTAAAAGGTTATTATCAATCAATTGCATAAATACCACACAGATGAAGATAAAGAAATAATCCCCAACACAAATGTTCCGCTTCATAGTTTCGAAGAATATTACAGGAATCTATTTCACAATGAGAAGACATTGTTTCACGAACAGTTCAAGGTAATCTGGATTAAAATTGAGTAATATGTAGGTAACTTAATTTCAGCTATTCCAAACCCGCAATCTGGAAAAAAATTGCTTTTTTCCATGTTATATGACACCCGATGATTTGCCTAGTATATTACTTAATTACGTAATTAAAAAGGTCGTTTTGAATAAAAGCTAGATGTCACTAGAAGACAGTTAAAACATGTTTCTCTTTTTTACAAATAAATGAGAATCAATAATGATTCTTACTGCAAATATCATTTTAATATTGTTTTCATGAAAACATACCAAATTAATAGAATTTTATTTTACATATATTTTTTAGAGGATAAAGACTGAATCAAAAGCAAGTATGAAAAGTACAACGTTCGCATCTAATCCTGGATTGAGAAGGAAAAATAGATATAAAAACATATTACCATGTTAGTGTCTATTACCTTTTTTGGATGGACCCGAAAACATATTATACACAGTTGCACACATATCTCTATGTAATTTTCACAGTAAAAACAATCAAAAATAGCATGAGAGGTCTAATATAATGTGAGTAACAGGTGGTACTAATCAAAATATCTCGTTTATTTATAGATGACGAAACTCGTGTTTGTATCAAAGCAAAAGACACTGGATATATCAACGCATGCTACGTTAATGTAAGTGGTCTTTGCACTGCAAATACGAGTTAAATATGCTCATATTCCTGAGTACATCTTATCTTCTTGTGGATGTCAAATACAAAAAGTGCAAAGATATATATAAAACAATGTTTCACTTTATTTTGACTGTTACATATTTTGACTGCCTTTTTTGCATTAACAGGGTTATGCTAGACCACACAAATACATCGCAACGCAAGGTCCTTTACCAACAACTGTGGATGATTTTTGGTTGATGGTTGTTGAACAAGAATGCAAAATTATTGTTATGCTGGCAAAATGTTTTGAAGCAGGAAAAGTGAGTTTTGAAGCAGGAAAAGTGAGTTATTAAATGATTAATTAATGTGGTTTTCCATTTATTTGCAGAAAAAGTGTCAAAAGTACTGGCCAGATTCTGGTATTACTTCATGTTTCGGAGTAGTTAAAGTTTTTAACTCCGGAGAAGTAAAGTATTCTGGCTTTGTACGAAGAACATTTCAAGTAGAGACAAACGACGGAGTGAGTACAGTTATGTTTTATGACAGACAATGTGTTTCCCTGTCAATCGATAAAAATCTAATCTTTATTCAACAAAGTGACATGGCACTAAACACGACAGTTAGAGTCAGACTCAGATTTCAAACAATTCTATTTCAGAAAATAGCAATGGAAGTGTTGCAATATCAATATGTAACTGGCCTGACCATGATATACCATATACAACATCAAATCTTATTAGAATGCATAAAGCTGTGATTCAATGTTTAGAAGAGTTTGGAGCTGATAGACCGATGATAGTGCATTGCAGGTGACTGCTATGTTTTTAGTCCCCGCTAGGCACGGGATATATAACACGCAGTACAATGATTATAATCGAAATTAAGTTAATAGTATTTGTGAATTTTGAGTGAAACAAATATTCCATTTTAGCGCTGGTGCTGGAAGAACTGGAACATTTATAGGATACGACTATTTGCTGGAAGAAAGAAGACATATAGAAAGTGTTGATGCATTGCAATGTGTATTGAAAATGAGGTCACAACGTGTCGACATGATACAAAATTGCGTGAGTGTTTTATTTTATTTTTTTCAATTTTGACTTTTGAAAGCACTTCAATCATCATCAGCACATCATCAAAAAAAATCAAGAAACCTCATCGTAAATAATTAGTTTTAAACTGTAATTAGAGTCAATGATATTATCAGTTGCAAGATATTTTAAAACTTGAGCAACTCTCATACCTATAGGACCAGTACATACTTCTACACAAATTGATCTTGGAAAACTATCTATTTGGAAATACGGATTATAATGCACAAGATATTGGACACAAATTTCAGGAAATAACAAGGTAGGATCAACCAAACAGTAGCAATAGTATTACATCCAATAAAAAGGATTTTGTTTTTACGAGACTTTAGGTTGTAGGAGGTTAAGCAAGAAAAAGATTTTTTTTTAATATTCAATACAGCCATGAAAAACGAAGAGATTTTCTTGCTGAATTTGAAAAATTGTCAACGTTGGAACCTTTGAAATGTTCTAGACTGATGGGAAAACGTTATGAAAATAAAGTATTCAATTTATCAGATGATGTGATTCCTTGTGAGTTGATCTAAATATTATAATTTTGTTTTTTTATTGCATCTCATAAAATATCTTCATTTCTGATTTTTTTTTATCAGATGATCATAATGCTGTTGTTCTGGTAATGTGCAACAATGAAACAAGTGTACCATATGTAAATGCATCGTGGGTAGAGGTAAGACATCACAGATATTGATTATTATTTGTCTTGCAACTGTGATCTCATAATTTTTAACATATCTTCATACAATGCCTCTTTGTCTCAGACATACGACGAAAATACTAGTATGATTGCAGCACAAACACCGATGAACGAAGGAATTTCATTCTTTTGGAGATCTGTATTGGATAATAGAGTTAATACTATTGTCATGCTTGCACGTGCTGAGGTAAATTCGAGTAAATGACTGCCTAATTATGTCAGTCAACAATGTTTGATTGAAGATAACGTAGGATCTTTTAGTTGAAAGAATTGAGTAAAACGTAATAATGTAACAATATTGAATGAGCTCTCAATTAGTTACCACCGTGGATTCGGTGTAATCAAGGATAATCATTTCAACGTTTCGGCTTCATGAATGCTGTTGATATCTGAAGCTTCGAGCGGCTAGAATCCCAACTAATATTATAATTTTTAAAAATTGTTCCCAGTGAAATCCTGACTTGCGATACAAGCGCAGAATAATCTATGGCAGGGTGGTTCAAGATTGCGAGGTTGGCGGGCCGCAAAAACTTTTGAGGATGTCTCGATGGCCGCAGTCGGAGAAAACCCAAAAGTGATCAAACACCTCCAGTTTACTCCCTTTAAATATATTTATAGTTTTTAGGGCAGTTATTAAAAGCCTTTAGGTATTTAAAATTGCATCCCGAGAAATACCGTGGTATTTTTTCTGGTGTTTGGTTTTGTAATGTCGCTTAAAATTACATTCTTTTGTGACAGATATTATTTGAAAACACACCAGACACTGTGGTATAACGTTGTTGGGGGTAAGGAAATACGTTTCCTCCCAGTTTAGCTTGGTCACTTTTTTTTATTACATTCATTGTATGATGAATTGTCATATTCGACTAATTTTATTACATGTAGAGTGAGCAGGCTTGGTACTATCGTCAATGAGCAACCATGTCCGTCTAAATTGGGACTCCAGACCAAGCTAAAAAATGTTTGGATCGCGCGGCGCTAAGTAAGCTCTGCGATTTGTCACTGCTGTCACATGGCCAACGCTTGAAAATAGAGGAGTGTTTTTACTAAAATGAAGGCACAAAGCGTCTCTCCAAATGAGCAGTTACTTGCGCGGCTCATCTTATCGGCATTGTTGCACAAGACAATGCATTCTCCTTGTTACGATCACAGGAAGTTATTCCCATATTGGCACCGTCTTGAGGTTTATAGATATAACATTGAAATTCCGGGATTTTAACAAACATCAATCTCGACGTCGGGATTAGGGAAGAGGCTATTCCCAGTTGGAATTGTATAAAAATACCTCAAGAATGGTCTGCCAATAAATACAAATATCTGCCAATGGTTAAGTATAAGCTAAATTTGTTCTGCGGTCTGGACCACCCTGATATATGGTATAAGATGAGTGGAGTCTATATTGCAAGGAGTGATCTAATCGCTGGACAACTTTCATCTGGTCACTATCCCACCATAAAATGTAACCGATGTTTACTTATAAAAGCATAACATTTTTTAAAGTATAGCTTGTTATGTTATTATTTGTTGTTATATATTATAGGCCTATCATCTTCATAGAACTAAATTATAATTTTGAAAACATCTATAGTAAATAATGACATTGTTCAATGAAATACAATCTTTTTGCTTCTATACACAGGAGTGCATTCAATATTGGCCACAAAGGTTTTGCGAACCGTTAGAATAGATAACGTTAGTGTTACCTTGCTGGGAGAGAATATAAATGGATCGATATCATAGATTTTTTAAAGTCCTCAGAGAAAGCAGGAGGTAAACATTGTTGATATTAAAACTAATTTTCAACGCATGTTTTAACTTCGATACTAGCAAGGTTTGCGTAGTTAAGTGCTAAATTTAGATATTGCAAAACAAACAAATCAAGGCGAACATACAGTTTAAAATTTTTACCAAACATCCGATTATTTTATTATTTCAGACTCGTGTTACACAAATACAATATTCTGACTGGAGTAATGAACAATGTCCAGAAGATGGTAGCATTGTATTGGATATTATTGGGGAGATGCAGAGAAATACAAGAGGTGTTCGGGGATCAGCTTGTCTTATTCACTGCACGTACGTAATTTAGTATAAATTTTTATACATGTCAATTTTCAATTGATAAGTGATAATGTTACAAACATTAAACATCCATTTTGACGTATATTTATAGCGATGGTGCTGGACGAACTGGAGCATTTTGCGCAATCACAAATTTGATAGAGAGATTGAAATATGAGAATAAAGTTGATGTTTTCCGCGCAGTAAAAGATTTGCGTGATTGCAGACAAGGAATGGTTAAGACGTTGGTAAATGATTCTAAATGTTATTTCTAGATAGATCTCAAAAGAATATTATAAACATCTAACTAATTAACTTTGTTATAAACTTTCAGTTTTATCCCTGGTTATCGTATACCATCACTCATTATATATAACCTTAGATTATGTCAGTATGAAATACTCGCAATGCTGGTATTCCGATTGCTCAAATTGAATTAGTTTTTATGTAACAAGTGTACGATTTTCCCCCATATTTTTTATATTTATATGCAGACGCGTATGTTTAATAGTAGGGATTCTAATCTTCGTGTATTCGCTTTTACTCATATCTACTTTCCTTTGAACTCTTTTATCGAGAAAACTATAGAGTAACAAAATATATGATAATTGCAGGAACAATACAAATTCTGTCATACTGCAATCTGCAACTACATGAAGTCGTTCGAAATTTATTCTAATTTCGAAGAAGAGAAATGATTGATAAATGTATAAGCTGTATATTTCAACTACTATTCAACCCACATCTAATGTAACTACAACTCATTATCTTCGCTCAGTAGTGGTCTATCGAAGTGTCTAGAATATTTGAGGCGCCGAGCAATCTTTATTAAACTTTATGTAATTTTTTCACATTCATCAAACTTTAAATATGATACAGAATATTTTAAAATGTCCTATCAGCTTCATACTATTAATTTCATCAGGCTTCAATCTCTGAGTCAATTGAGTTATGACATGATAATACTTCTAGAAAGCTAACGAGAGCGACACCCAATCAATATACAAGCGCTCAAATTAAGTGGTAGAATTTGCCGACAAGATGCTCTAGATGCGCTCACACAAAATTGATGGAACCAATTGTTATTTTAACGTCAAACAATGCGATAACCTTCATACAGCGGTATGAGATGGTTTTAATGAAAATAGGATTTATGGCTCACGCTGATGCAAGAGTATCTAAGGGTTGTTCCCGGAAATCGCGGATCGTAATTGCCCTAACTAAATAATGATTGTAAGATTCATACTTTGCTGCGATTGCTTCAGAAGAGATATATATTTTATTTTATACTTTCTTGTCAATGAATCATTTTAGTACTTTCAAATTCCAATTCAATTTATAGGATTTAATATTAAGCATTTTGATATTGGTGAAACTACTGTCGTAGACCAATTTTGCACTCCAGGTATATATATATATATATTAATTTTTGATATGATGGATTTAACAAAAGTATATTCGTAATGATATCGAAAAAAATTAAAACAATTAGTTACATATTTTTGAATGAAAGCTTGATTTTCAATTTGGTATTTACATATCAAAATTAAATTGTCTATTTTAAATTTATGTTCCACGTATTCCGTATAAATGTTGTTATACATAAAAGTTGGTTCTCTGATTCACCGAGATAAGATTCCATTCATTTCATGACTACACGTGACGTCACATTTACTATTTCCATACGCTACGATGGTGTCAGACTGAATTGTAATTAAATCTGAATTTAATTGTTGAACCTATGAATTAAAAAACAAGTTTTTCATGCAATTGTAAGAAATTTTCACAAGTTTCTTCGTGGGCGGGAGATCCGAACAAAATTCTTTGGTTCCTATAGTTGACTTATTGCTTCTTGCTCAGCTAAGTTTCGAAGTGATGCAAAATTCTGTATTTTATGACGTTGACCGACCATTTAAATTAAATAAATTAAATGATCCAAAGGCCTAGCCTTCGTTAGGTACGACCAGTTTAGTAATCCACATGATATTCGACTAGGAGCGTTATAGCAAGCGTGCTTTTTTGATTTATTCATTGCTCCTATTGTATTAGTGTAAACTGCCTATATATATTACAATTTGATGATAACTTCCACATATTTTCAATTATCTAATAGTTTTTTTATTTTGATATTTAACTGCGTAATATCAAGTTTCAGTTATATCTTTTAGCTGATATTGCAAATTCGGTCTTTAAATTTTAATGTTTGAAAACATCTCTCAAAATTATACGGCCTTATATTATTGTAAGTCTATTGTACTTATTGTCATAAATGGATGTAATATGTTTTGCAGAAATAAGTGCATTCAATCTCATTTTACTTTCAACAATTTCTTGGTGCTTTGGAAATGAATGAGTGATGAAAGCTTTTTTTTTTACCAAACTAGATCTATTCATCGTTGCAAATTTGAGAAGTCAAAATATAACGCCCTCAATATATTGTCATTACTTCATAAGTAAAAACTTCGTCCGGTTTGTACCATTTATGTGCTATTTATTATCCATGGCACGGCAATTACATATCTTCATATTATATCAGTTGCCTGTAATTTCGTTCGTGATTGAGGTTGGAATGGGGCAGGTTTGAGAAAAAATATAGCAATACTTATTTCTGGTAGCGTGCGGTCGACTCGCGATTCGCGACAACATAAAAGCGTTACTATTCTAAAATACCACCACAACCTGCGGAAATAAAAATGCAAGGAAACTTCGATATATTCAGTTTAATGTTTATTCTTTGCAATCTTGCAAATTCGTTATCACTGTAGGAAAAACACAATATCTGATATAAAATCTATAAAGTATATCAGAATAATAAATCGAAAATATTAATTAACTACAACTTTCTCAACGGATAATGATTTTTTGTTTCGTAAAGTACTCAATACCATGCCCGATAAGGATATATTAAATGTATTGCTTTATTTTAACACACCGTATATACTTGGTAAAGTTTGTGATATTTCGAAAACTTTGTTTTTTGAAACTATGAGTAAAGACAGTGGTTATGGTAAGTAATGATGCTAGTAATATGGTTCTGGTGATGCCCGTTTAACAATCTTCTAAACATGATGAAGAGTAAAATAACAAGTAATATACCAACTACAATAGATAATACAATAACAGTGTACATGTATCCAGACAAGATGATTCTACTTTGGTAATCTAGGTTTATTTTGTCGGTAGCGTTTTCCTCGAAATATGTGTAACTGACACTGATTTCTCCAAAATCATCAGGCTGTATGTCTCTAAAAGAGAAGGAGGAATATTTCAAAATACTCCCTTTTATGACATGTTTACTGTTAGCGATGGGTGGAAATTGTGGTTTGCATTTGTGACCAAAAATATGCATTGCGAACAATGGATTCATCACTCAAACATAAATATCATTTTATTTTATAAGACTAACTTTAATTTTAAATCACCATTCAATATCAAATGAAAACTAACGTAATACACAGATAAAGGCACTCGTGAAATTTATGTGCGAAGACATGGATCAGCATACATATGATTTAGCGAAAAACGTTTATAATGCAGCAGCAAATCTTTTCATCGTTTCCAAAGAGTTTGGAAAATAATTTCATTCCGAAGGAATTCTATTTTTAAGCGCGGCTTTCAAGCGTAGTAACGTCTCTACCACCCACTGATATCCCAGAGTTCAGTGGTCGTTAACTCGAGCCTATACAATTTTTCTGAACGGCATTGAACGCGGGAGAATAATAAAATGGAAAGTATTATATAGTTATTGTATACCACCAAACATTCTGCTAGCCACGTTGGTTCATGCACCTCTAAAAGGAAACCGCTGTAGCAGGATAAGTTGCGGAAATACACAGATCAATTGCACTGATGTGTTATAAACGGTATAACCTCTTACCTTATTTCAAGTGTCATTTGTAAGATGTTTTCAATAGGTTCTTTCTCGCGAACAGTTGGTTCATAAAGATAGCACCTATCGTTGTGTTCTTGCGATACATTACTGTTCAAACAAAACTAGAATTGTAGAGCTTGATTCAAAAATGATATAAATCCGTTGTAGAACAAAAATTAAATAAAAATTTCTTTGTGCGTGAAAATTAGATGATAAAAATGTAAGTGTTCACAAACTCATCGGGCTTGTCCATACCCAATTACTGCATGTGTATATCGTATTTTACGTACTATATTCTTCCTGTTTTAAAACATACAACAGGCGCTGTGAAACTGGTTCAAGGCAATTTTTTGGGGTGTGTTATCAAAATTACTCAACATCAGACACGATCAATTACTATACGTGGCGATCGACGTGTTGTTCACCTCTAAAGTATTGAGTGAAATTTCTAAAGACGGCATAATTTGTATGGGTAAACACTATTGTTTTCGATTACCCCTAAACTGCTACAAATAAAAAGAGCTCATTGGTTAGTTTGGTATTAGTTAGGATATTACTGACTCAGCCATTCATTATTTATTTGAGTGCCACTGCGTGATATATTGGCTTTGTGTATAGATGTCAATTGAAGATTCAACAAGCCTTTAGTAAAAAGGAAAATGCGTGATAATCTAAATCAGAAATTTTAGTTTTCGACATAATATAATTTCAGGGACTAAAATTATATTAACAACTTTTAAGTTGCTGGAATCCTAACTACCTGTAGCATTGGGCTTTCTCCTTCCATCCGTGCATCGTTGAAATGCCAGCATGTGAACAAGAATATGTTTTATTTCGATTAATCTGTGTAGAAAAAAGGTTTGTATTGAACGTACAATAAAATTAACAACCTAGACTAATAGTCCAGCAGATGAAGGGACCTTTTTGGCCCAAGTTTGATTTCAGACATAAAGTTTTTTTTATTTGTGATTATTCATCTTGGGATCATTGCCAATCATTTCTACATGGGTGTGGAGTTTGCAGCCTTGAGCAATTTTCTTTACGGCTCGATATTTGTATTAGTGTTTTTTGTCAAACCTGTGCATCATAATGACGCACAACCTGAATCATAACCTGTTACAATACTACGTTCAGGTTGTGCGCAATCTTGGTGCACAAACTACGCAAGCGCCAAATTTACTAGGAAATAAAATCAATAACTTTTAGGTATTTGTTGAGATATTTGTATTAGTGTTTTTCGTCAAACCTGTGCATCATAATGACGCACAACCTGAACCATAACCTACGACAAACTACGGAAGCACCAAACAGAAATACTGTTGAAACGTACGGGTAAAATAAAGAGTACTATTTCAAAATACCCTCTATTGTTGCAATTAACGATACAAGCCTGCTAATGCAGTCGCCAGGGGTTCAAGTGGATATACACCCGGTGTAGAACAGTCAATTATTTGTTAGCGAGAATTGTTATGCAGCGGGATGATCACGACGGGCAGTGAAAGATAATGATATCACGAGAACAAGAATGAGAAAATTGCTACATTTTATAGTATTTCCCTGGGAAAGAATGTAGTTTATTGTTATGTTCCATGCCAATGCTTTTCAAACTACCAAACACTCTCAACACTTTTGCTTCTTCTCTTCTATAAAAATACGTTGTTATTATATATTCGCATTTCCATCTGTTTGTTCTTTCTCCCAGATAACCGATCCAAGGAGGACAGGGTCCCTTTGAAGAAACCCTGTCATAAACTAAAAGAGGCGACCGTGCTTCTCTTGCCTGTTGTCATGCTGTCCCTGGAATTCAGCTACAACAAAAAATTCACGAAAACGGATTTTTAAATTTTTTGATTTCAATAATATTCTCAACAATGAATGATATACGGGTGGTAAAATGCCAAGTTATTCCAACAACATGATCATGTTTTGCAATTAACAGCCAATATATGTATGTAACTTTGCTTGACAGAGCCCAAAGAGCTCTAACTACAAATATCAAAAATGTAAGGCCAAAAAAGTCACACTACAACATTGTCAAATGTGCTGTATTTACGATAGATAACAGGTTTACCAAAAAGAATTACATGAAAAATGGTAAAATAAATATCAATTCAGCAATATCTACTTAGTGATATGCATCTGTTGATGATTTTATGTGTTTGTTGTTATGTGGTTGTTGGGGATGTTTAAAAAAAGGTTGCATGGAAAAAAGTTTTCACAAAATGTCAAGGTTTGATAGTAGTAGAGAAGTAGAAAAAATACTCGTCCCATGTTTTTTTTTCATTTGATAACCACGCCACAGAACTTCGATAAGTATACGCAGCAATTGCGAGAGGCAGAAATGCCAAGATGGGATTTCATCGCATTGCAAACCAATATCAGCAATTCTTATATATATACAGTCCGAAACTTTTTGTCTGTAGCTGAGCTGAGCTGAGCTGAGATGCCAATTGGCACTCATGTAAACTGAACTGTAAGAGGCACGCGATGGAGCAGATACTAGGAGTATCCATCCCCCAGCTGTCATTTGAGTGGGTGCTGCTGGTTTTATTGCAGATGTTACTAATCTTTTTGTATTGAAGATTTACTGGCATCACCGATTTAGGGATGTTGAAAACCAACACGCTTTCAACACGCGGTTTGAATGGATGAAAAAGATGAAACTAGTATTGTTTAGAACAGCATACAATTCTATAGAATGAAATCATACACAAAAGCTCGTCAGAAACCTATAGCTCAATAATCAAGTGGAATTTGATGCATTGCGCAAAAATGTGCGCGTTACTACGTACAACCGAAGCACACAGGAAAATGTGTGTGATGTACTAGCATTCAAAATTTTGAATAAACTATGTTGGCATAACAGGTGTACATCTCGGTTTTGCATACGCATACCTTCTATCTCCACAAGGATATATTAATTTTGTCAAAGTCAATGCAGCACTGAAAGGTTCCGGTTCTTCCAAAAGAAAACACGTTACACATCGTTAGATACCAGTGGATGGTTTTACATGGCCTTGTTCGGAGTGAAAAACGAGGTCAAATATTCCAATCCAATTCAACTAATAAAATATTTCCAAGTTCCTAAGCTTAAACTAGGAAAACAAAATGCGCGCGGCAACGCAAATGTAGTTTGAAGAGCGCAGTAGAAAGTGGCTAGTTGCTGTCGATGGATCTTGGTTGTTAGTGAAATAAACTACCATTTATTCTACTAAAATTGAATTTCTGACATGGTAAGAAGATTCAATGTTACTATGTATGCAAAACTATACCATGTAGTTATGAAATAATTGTTTTTAACAAAAAGGCGCTCCTGAAGTATTCGTACCAAGATGACGCACAACCTGAACATTGTATGTTTACCAGGTTAGGGTTCAGGATGTGCGTCATCTTGGTACGAATATTTTAAATCCACTTAAAAAAAAATCGCTCAACATTATATACTCCACACCTACCTGGGTATCATTATATATGTCATCTACATTATATCTGAACAATAAAAAAAAAAAAAATGTCCCAAAACAATGTTAAGGCCCGATTCTGCCGGACTATAAAATGAATGCATACCTGCTGCCAAGATCCTTCCATCGCAAATGTGCTTACGGCACTGTATCCCACACTAACGTTACAAGATATTTTTACTGATTCCCCAATTTTTGCTTTCACCAATTTTGGACAACGTATCGTGGGCTTGCTAGTCTGGGTAGGTGCTAAAAATATGATAAAATGAAATTAGGGTCTTTTATTGTTTTAGGCTTGTTTGCTTACATGTTCAGACATTCGCAATCAAAAATCTCTTCTGTTCGTATTATCTGATATATTGGCTGTACAACATTAATCAAATCAACTTAGCAGTAGGTGTTATATGTATGTTATATTTCATGACATAATATCTGAAATGTTAGTTTGGTGAAATATTTTGACGTAATAAGATTAAAAAAAAACTTCCAGGAGGGATCCAGAGACGAATCCAATCTCAAAGATGATAAAAACTATGAATGATTCAGAATTTGGTGATGACATTATGTAACATCATTTGCAACAAAGGTTCTGCGTTTTTATCGCCAGAGCAGCTATCGCGTCTTTAAATACCCGCTTCATCATGTTATTTTATGTTGTTTTATTGATAATCGAAGCCAATCTTCCCTAAAGCATTGAAATATAAACTTGTCGTGTCACGCATTTGGTCCCAGATAAATATTTGGCAAAATAGCAAATTAAATAATTTGTTATTTCTGATGGGCATATTTTTGATGTTATTTCAATGTTCGTATATGTGGTATAAATCAAAATAATCAATTACATACGTTTAGCACATAGACTAAATGCTATCGGGTGCCTCGTATGTCCATTGTATGTTATTTTACAAGAATATATTCCAACTATGCTGAAGTCCAACGACGATATAGTGAGCTGAATAATATGAAAATGGCCAATATTATTACTGTTTATATTACAAATCAGGCAAAAGAAGGAATAGATAATGAATCAATAACACATACTTTTGATCCCATCATATGGTATACATCCGGGCGCCTTTTTGGATGAAGTTCAGTGCAGTTTAAATACCATGTAACGTTGTAATCGTGCATTTCTTTAGTTAAATCAAGTTGAGGCTCAATTTCAAGCGGTGCTGTGAAGTGGAATATGTCAATTTCAGTATACAACTTTACAAATGGAATATTCATTTTTTTGTTATTGCTTTAAAACCTGTTCAGACTGTAAAATTTTTTTCAGTATTCTAGGTTGATCTTCCTTTCTGATTCAAAATTATTATCCTGGATATATATTACAATACTCATATATCGTATAACATTATGAAGCGAGCAAGGAAGGAAGTTTGGGGAAAACAACAACACATTCTGCAGAAAACAAAACTTCCACTTAGCACACTTGATTTAACAATGCCAATCTTGTTTTAATTTATATTTAAATTGATTACACAGGAGAAAAAAAATGCTATGTTAACTAGAATTTATGTGTATCAAAAACTGTAAAAAGTTGTAGGCTACATCAGCATATTAGCACATATTAATCAGTCGTGATTAAATATTTACTTGTACATTCCATTGATTTTATTTGGCCTTTCCTTCCTTCTGTTGGCACAATGGGATATTTTTTCTGATTGTCGGCGCATGTTTCCTCTGGTTGCTTTGTTGGCTTAAACATGAACAAGTTATAACCTTTTATGGCACATATTTATGAATTTATTGAGAAATAGGAAAAAGTACGTTGATGCCAATATGATAAGTTTAAGCACTACATGAACTCTTTAAAAATTTCGAATCTTCCGTATTTGTGCAAATGGTTACACACGTGTTTGGTGGACGGGGAATATATATATTGATATAACACAACGAAAATACTTTCCTTTTTGAAAACGATTGAAAAATCCATTGCGTAATAATGCGATTGCGACATTTTAAATTAACATATATGAAAACATAAGTGCCAACACAAAATGCAACCCCTCTCATGGTCCCAGCCAAAACGTGGCGCAGGACAACTTTGTGCCTTTTACGCCCCACGGAATTAATTAAAGCAATTGTATCACTCAATCGAAACAACAGGTGGAATAAACAAAAGTTGGGAGACAGCACACGGAAAAGTCACATCACAATAAAACCTTGTGTTTGTGTTATAAAAAATATCCTACCTTTATATTCCCTGATACACTGTATTAAATAGAACAAGTGAATTTTTTCATACCAACAAATATACCTTTATATTGATTTGATATGTCGTCGGAGAATTGCCCGTTAAATCTGTAGTATAATATTTAGGCCCGTCATAATAATTTGATTTATCCATCGGCTTCGACCAAAGTGTTCTGTTGGTGACAGGATCGATAATTAAGCACTAAAAATGTTAAAAACATATTTTATATAACGATTTCATTATTTTATTATCTTGCAGTGGCATTCGAGAGAGAAATGAAACTTGGTATTGAACGGATATACAATTCAATCATTCCATTTTTTCATATCGAAAAAAAATGATTATGTTTTATAATACGCACAGTAATAAAAAGTTCGTCTTACTGTTAAATTCCCAACTCCGTTCAGACCATAATTTATGTTCCTACGAAGGGCGGCAATAAGATGAAAGCAAGACATAGCAACGGGCCAACCTGCGTAAACTTGTTTAATTTCTGTCTCTTCAAAATGACAACCAATTGTGCCTGTAAATAAAAGATCACAAAGTCAGTAAAGTCACAAAAGCAGAGCTTTCATACGTTTACAATCTGTTTTATGACCAACGTTTTTTCATGAACTTCAATTATGTAGAGTCGTGGATCAATCGGCATTTACTTAGGGGGTAACTAACTCCACACTCCACAATCATTTTACTCTCGTGAAACCTTAGTAGTCGTCCATAACTATGCTCAATTCCTTTCATAACTGAGTGATAATATTTGCTTTGAGCAAATGTTTTTTTATAACGGTTTAGTTAAACAATCGAACGTCCTTGAAATTTAGCTTGTACAATCTAGGAAAAATGGTAATAGTAATAAGATGAAGAATTATAGACTACTATACTATATGGTTATAAAATGATCTACATTTTTCCAGTCGTTGACCTTTCTTTCGTTGGTTATCTACGTACTTGGGATTCATAACGTATTATATACACAGCATGCTATTGGTATACGAACTTGTCCGCTGGTTTACACTATAACTTTATAAATATTTGATTTTATATTGAAATTTGGTGTAAAATTTACTTTCAGTTAAAATAGATTGTAATATATTCGCAAGGTCTCTCTGGAAGACAATTTCGAATACCGATAGATTTGTCAAATTTTATGATAATTACGAACATTCAACTGAACTGCTTGTGATAGAATTTACTCAATTCAATCAAGTATAGATTTAAATAATTTCCCCACTTGAAAAATCTTAACTTCGTTCATTTTCAGATAGTTTGATTATTTATGGGCGAATATGCTCAGGCTTTTTCCTAGTTTGAAATCCAAGAAAATGCGGCCTACAGTTCAATGACTCTTCTGTTTGTCAATTTTAACAAAATAGTTCATTCATTCAGAATAAAAAAAGGCTGATCCCTGAGAAACGAAACGGCAACCAATAAAGTGTCACAATCTACTGGAACTATATTTAAATAAGCGGGCTTGTCCATTGGAATAGGATTTCAATGGGAATCCCATGGAAAACGTCCCATGGGTTGGGACAGCACACATTTGTATTTCCCATGGGACCCGTGGGACACGAAAACTGTATGATTTTCAGGAAAATAATGGCAAACCTTTCGTAATGGACTTCGTGTTCATATATTTGAGCATAGCTCTCTTGTTAGTTATAAAGAGCAAAATTTATTCAGCCTTAACAACATACTTCGTGAAGGGGTTGATGAACACATGCATTGACGTTATGAATATAAAGTTAACAAAGTCGATAAATTTGTTGTGTTGCATGTCTCTTCGTACATGTAGTCCTGTTTAGTAGACGCTAATCCTAAATTTAATATTTGTTATTGAATTTTATTCCAATGGGCATCCCATGGGATGGGGTGGGACAGGCATAATTGCTATACTCAGGGGTCACCAACTTTTTCGAAGTCGAGGGTTACTTTCTGGGTACAGATTAAGCTGCGGGCTACCAGTTCAATGTTCACTTCTAGAAAAATCAGTTGCTCGATTAAGCTTCAATTATTGATATAATTACTGGTATTTAGTGAAGTATAGACACTAATAAACTTTAGGATTCTTCAGGAAATCAAACGATTATCACAACGTTGCAAATAAATTTCTATCAATAACACTTGTATTTCAAAACTGAGTGTTTTTAAATTGATTTTCAACACTCTGCACACGTCTAAGATAAAATGGACTTAACAGTTGTACTATCAAATGTTATAGAGTATTATACTCCGACGTGTAACTTGACACTGTAACTCTGAGCGAGTCTTGCAGATTTTCATCAGTGAGGCGTGTTCCATGTTTGTTCCTGGTGGAGTGAGTCGCAGCGCTATGGCCCATCGTGTTAAGCGTGAGGTTCGCAGGTTAGAATCCCATGCGGGGATTGTTATGTGCAAATGGATAGCTGGACTCCTCGCCGCCGTAGGGTGGTTCACGTAACCGCTGGTCGGTTAAGGCTTCCTTCGCCATCAAGTCCAGGCTTCCGGAAACAAATAACTAACCAATTCCATACCCGACATCGAATGGTAACCGGCGAGAAGCCGTGGTTTATCATATGGTTAAGCCGTCCTATCGGCTATCTTCTCCCCCGGGATAAATATGTAAATCTCCTCCTATCCTGAATTTATGTCAAAAATGTTGTTTCGAAAGGATAGGTTGAAACAAACGATGGTCTCGTAAAATAGGATTGCTGTATGATTTGAATCGCGAGCTTTTTCTGTCCGTTCTGTGCTGACCAGTGGGTAGTTAGCGCGGAAGATTACGTGACAAGATGTGAAATATCTCTCCGCTTTGCCGTCGCTAAAATCGCCCCGCTAATGAGACACACGTAGGCTGTTTTCATGGTGGTATAAATATATCCACCTCCCATTCATCGTGAAAATGATGGGGTTTGCTTTGGAATCAATATTTGTATTATTAGTGCTCCGCTAACCAACGGACAAGAAAATGCGCGGGTTCGTGGAAAGTGATCTCAGTGTGATGTCATAATTGGAAGAGTGTTAATTGACCCGTCACATTACTGAGGTCAAATAAAAATAAGGTTGATGGTTACAATAATTAATATAGTGTCATTTCTAGTTCCCATATAAGTGTGATTTATACTTAAATAGCAGGACAAAATATAATTGATGTAGCTTACTTATAAGAGCCATTATTAGGCTTAGTTTGGAACAGACCTGCGGGCGACTAATATAGTCTTCGCGGGCGACTTGGTGCCCGCGGGCAACGCGTTGGTGACCCCTGTGCTATAGGATGGGAATGGGACAGAAAAATATGTCCCATGGACAAGCCTGGAAATAAGGCAGTGCATTACGCATTCATTGTTATTTGGTAAGTTCACAGTTAGTAAACAGATGTGAGCTTGCAGTCAATCAATCGAGTAACAAGATCAAAAACTTTCGGGAGAAGTTCCGATATTTCAAAGGTCTGCTATAATATATATCTGTAATTTAATTAATTTTGACGAGATAAAGGGTACCATTCTGTAGCCAATTGTGGTCCAATAATATTTGTAATTCAATCCGACATACTTAGTACAATAAAGAATAACAGCCCAGAGATGACATTGTCAACCTTTAGTTAGGCAATGTAAACTAAATTTTAACTTAAAATAAAAAAAAATTCAAATTGTGGTTAAAACAAAATAAATATGCAACATTTTTGCCAGAGACTTTCATTTTGAGTTCATGTGGTAAATATATATCGTTACGTATAAGGCAATAGTTACACTTTTAAAATAATAAGAAAAGATGCGTCATTGTAGAATGTCCGAAATCGTGGAGGAAAAAAAACGTTACTCACTTCGTTCAGATTCATTTGAATAGCCGAATGCCACAAGGAATAGTACAATGAAAAGTATTGTTTTCGATACCACTCGGTGCATTGTAGCTGTTTTGATTGGTGAAAACTGAAATGCGTCAAAGTTGAGGCTCGAAACTGATTCCCGACGATCGATTGTGAGCAAGTGCACGTCTTTGAAATATGGAGTTCTATCTATGTAATATTGGCCGACTTCAACAACTAGTTATTTCTACGAGTTAGTTTCCTCTTCCGTGGATAATTTGATTCACTTCTAATCTTACAAACTCAAGATAAAAACTCAAACCGTAGGCGGAACCCTGGTATTGAAGCTGGTATTATACAAATAAAACATGTTTTCAAGATTTGGTCATAAAATTTCATTATATTGTTAAACGTAATTTAAAGATGCTTTTACTCGAACTCATAACTAGATGGATCTTATTTACCTTTTTTTTTACATCGACGGTGAGGTGTGCCTGAGCATAATGTTAATCTCACAACAATTAACCGTTTATATAGGCCTAAAAAAAACTCAATGCTGACACCATGAGATAAAAACCGATTTAACTCAGATATAGCGATGTCTTAATTAATTAATTAATATTGACGGTTTTACAGATCTGTAATAGCTGATATATAAATCGAAAATATATAAATTATATTTGACGAAAGTGATACGTCAGTTTCTTCCTCTTTACATATTGTACAGGAAAGGGCCTATTGCGTTGTAGTTCTCCAAACCGGGCATTCACGACTAAGTAACGTAAAAACTGCTTCCCACTCACGAATTATATCCTTCATTACAATGACAGTTACAATTCGCATAATGTTTTTAACATATTTCTTTATCAATATTACCTTGAAATATAAAAATTATTTTCGGACAGTTAACCTGTTTTGGTAACTTTTTCGTGCGGTTTTACATATTTCCATGTAATAATATAAGTTTTTATCCGGTCAGCTGATAACTTACAAATAAAAGTCTGAACTGAATTGAAATATTCATATATAAGCTAGTAAGAATAAAGAAACAATTTTAGTAGGTGAAGAAAAGCTTGACTCTACTGAATCTAACAACACTTTTACTCGAAGCTACTGAAAGATACCAAGCTAAAAGCTAATACACGGCGAGCGACACGTTTGATGACTCAAATCAAAATATAATATTCTCCACAGTCAATTTGGTTGTGTCATATCACAATCAAGTGGTCCATTCAATAGCCAGACATATGGTATTTTGTATCTAACATAGTTTTAATTGTATTAATGCCTTCCCTTAATGCCTGAACATACTTTCGAACATTTCTGTCCTTCTATTTCCTTGTTCGAGGAAATTCTGTCTTAAGTGGGTTTTGACGGGGCTGATCGATCAGTCATGGATTCGCAATAATGTGATAAAACACTCTCAAAGCACCAGATTCCAATTCCCAGAACCAATTCAAATATATGATCAACCACACGGCTTTTGTTATGTTGTTCACTATGCTAAAAGATACCCAGCGTAGCAACTACTTAACAATGATTATGAAATCTCATCTTGTAGTGATATAACTCATTGAAAAGCCAATACCTTACGTTACAATTTGAGATGAAACATTTGTGAATATACAATACAAAATATATTCGTTTAGTTTTATCAAACATACATAAAATAGTGCATTTGATACAATAATAAATGTAATATTAAAACATTTTTATTTTGCAGAATATATAGCAGATTTATATTGCAGACATTTGAAACGAAACTGATTTTAATGTGAACGATTTTCACATTTCAAAGCTTGCATTTTGTTTTCCGGCGGGAAATGACTTCGAAACTTTTGTTCATATTTCAACTTTCTACCCGTTATCACCATTGCACATCACATGACAGCCTTGTCAGTCGGGCCTTGCACAAATTCTACAATTGCTTTATACGAACAAATGATCATCTAAACGTCCCATAAGAATCCAATTCGTCCCAGAACATGCAAGTCTTCTGATATGGATCAGAAAGAATCTTATCACCGTCAGATTTGAGTTCAATAGCTGAATATGCACCGAAGCTTTGCTCTGTAAAACGTGGCCAGTAGGCGGCGCTGTACTCGCCATATGTTCCTTCTTCCCGTTGCCCAGAGGTATTTTGGAATTCTCCCTTTCAAAGTAAAAGTTTGGAATTCATTGAGAATAATACTTCAATATATGACTTCTGCCATAAACCTGTGCGCTATCGATAGTTGTGGTATGGATCATAATCATATATACATGAATATTTGTATACGACGTCAATTAATCTAATTTCCCGTAATTAATATTAACCATATATCAATGCTAATTTTATGAATCACATTGAAATTTTTCCATATTTCAAGAATCTGATAATTATTTTTGTTTTCAAACTCCAACTATAATAACATTCAATATGGAAAAAGTAAAAAGCCCTGAAAATATTCACTAATATATAATTATTGTAAAAAAATAAATACCTCGCCATTCGGATTGCCATATTTAGCAAAATTTGTCCAGAAGTAGACTATCCTTTTTGCTAACATTTGTTCCTTATTATCAAATTTGTAATCTGACAGACCAACAGTGTTAAAAATAAAAGGCAGGTCCGCGCAATGGCAAACTCTGTCGAAACAAAAATCGGTGTCCCAGAGTTCCTGACAAAAGATATTATTAAGAAGACAGAATATGACACATGAATGATGAAAAAATATATTGCTAACAAATGGTTAAAATTCCTTTCGAATCTTATTGAATCGTGGCTACTGTATTAATTGGGGCCTAATCCAGCGTTTCCCAATTGAAGAGAAATTCATTCCATGGAGGAAATTAGTTTTTTGGGGGGAAGGAAATACAGCCGTTTGACTAAAATTGAATAATAAGTTTGACTATTTAGTTATTTAGCATTATTTATACATATTTATGGGCACGTCATGAACTATTCATAATATTTAAATGCTAGAAGGCGATCTGCGCGGAACAGTAGTAATAAATTCTTGAAGCTCGAATAAATAATGAAAACATATTTTTATGCATAGTGAGGAAGAAATAATAAGATCCAAAGTAGGCTAAAGAGGGAATCATCGAAGAAGGTTGGGAACCACTGGTTTAATAAAAAAAAATAAGTCAGTAAATATGGTCGGATTCTATGATAAATAGAAAAATTAGCAGAATTCGTTTTTAATGAAGAATGTGAGACTACGAAAAAATGGAAAAAGAAAATCATAAACCTTTTTGTTTAATATATTAGGTTAGAGCCAATTTTGCTATGTATCTAAGTAAAGGGCTGACTTATATGAGTATATGAATCATAATACGGTCGCATTCATGTTTTATATATGTCGGCCTGGGTCTATTACTTTCGTGTCAGATGTCGAAAAAGATTCATTTCGGAAACGCGTCATGCGTCGATCGGCAAATGTGCCTAAGACGTCATAAACGCACACTGAGAATAAGTTTACTCACGTGAATAGGTAGTGATTCGTTAAATATGTAAAACCAAGAATCATATCTGGTATGAAATAGTGTTGCTCTTTCTGGACAAAGGAATGCATAATCAGTGATTATTTTTCCGATTGCAAACCGGTTGTCGCATGATTGCTCGCTGCACTGCAAGGTAAAATAGTAATATTGTTTAATGAATTTGCTACGTAATAAAAAACAAGATAACAATGCACAAAACGAAGAAGTACCTGTATCACGTTTTTTACATTATCTGTACATTTGTAAAACACTCCCGGCTTGACAACCAGATTGTTCAAATGTGATCGCGGAACCGCCACACGGAGCACATTTTTTAAATTTAATTGCGTCATAAAAAAAAAACTTTAACGTGAAAAACGATTCTCATTGAGCCCATATAAATCTTTGAAATATAGCCGTCTAGCGATAACAACAAAATCTAACTGTTGAAAATGCCAAAGCATTTCGTCCAGTATTTAAAGTGAAAAGCGTTTTTCACACCAACGATAACAACACAAATAAGAATACTAACAACAGCATAATAACAAAAAAACGATCCGTAGATACATTTCGTGTCCAACGATATCTATATCTATTGATAGGGTACAAACCCAAAAATACATTGTAAAGTGTATATATTGCAGAATAGAATAAGATATATTATTGAGTTAAAATCGCAAAGTTGGTGAGACTAAGATCAGACTATACTTACCGCAGGATACTCCTTGAGTACTTGAGAAGTAGCAGATGGCATTACTGTTCCAATAGTAAATTGATAAATAAAATTTGCAACTGGTGTTTTGAAAACTTCTGGAACGAAAAACATTCCCTCATCCACTGTTCCTCCAATGATTACTGGTATTTTCATCGTTCTTTTCTAAAATTCACAATTAAAACTCAAGTATACAAGTATATTTTGTTGAAGATTTTAAATCCAACATAATTTAACATCATTATAATACTGTTCCTATCTACTTATTCCTATAACGTTTTTCTACTTCTGTTTCGCTCTTAAAAATGTTTGCAAATATATGAAAATTTGTTGACAATAACATTAGTAATTATCCGTATTGTAGATTCCAATGTTCTTCTCCTAATCATCCGAGACAAATATCAACTCATTATCTATGATATTAATTTACATTCTTGAATGCTTCCAGGGGAGATTCCATTAAGAATTTCCCATCAATAACTGGGCCCCATGGTTGAAGAGCTAACAGTTTTCTACCACCTCCGAATAACGACCATCCTTGTACTTGTGAGGCCTTGATGATCTCGCTTGTGTCTCTATAAAAAAAAACTTTAGTTTATTCAGAGTATATAATCGAGCAAGCAACTGTCTGAACATTGCGATTGAATGTATACACAAAACACTATCAACAACGAATTGCCCTTTAAAAATAAGTTAATATTGATATAATATGATACATATGTGGCATTTTACTAGGAAGTACTTTAGCACGAAAATGATTTGGTTGAGTATACATTTTTTTCCACTGACATTTGGATATACAGTTATTTTATGCAATTGGTGAGCGGGTAATTTGCTTATTTATCAGTACATCGATTGGCTAAAGGATGTAAGTTAATTGCATGTTTTATAAAGTAAAACATCTCACGCTGATCTAATGCATGTCATGTTATCTGGTAAACATCCAAGTGCTTCAGCAAATTTTGCACCATATTGCCTGGCGTTTGCAACATCACGCAATGGAACCGACATCGGATTGCTTGACATGATTGCTCTATGGAATAAGTCTTTTGCGTCCGGTGACGTCATCAATACTGCAACAGATTCGGCTCCAGAACTTTGCCCAAACAATGTGATCTGTGGTATTCAAGGGCATTAACACCTTGTGTTTTGATTTATTATTTTAATTCTTTAAAATACAGAGATAATATAATGTCAAGAATTTATAAATTCAAAATTCGACATTGTCAATTAAATTCATTATATCATGCTATATCATTCGTTCATTCAAAATAGGTGATCTCTTCGTAATAAAAACGCCATTTTATTAAGAAATAATTAGTAGAATAATTTTGAAATAAAATAAGAAAAAGGTGGCCGAAGGTAAATGTAGGCTCGTCTGTTGTGAGGATAAATATAAAGATTTACCTTTTTTGGATTTCCACCAAAGAACTTGATATTCTCTTGAATCCATTTTAAAGCAGCAATTTGATCCCATATTCCATAGTTTCCTAGCGCGGCATCTTCACCGTCACCTTGAACCAAAAATCCCAACGCCCCCAATCTGGAAGATTACATTTTAAACAGGATTAATATCAATAGAGTAAACTTGAAGAATGAAAGGAAATTGACTTCTGCTATTTTAAATAGTTGTCCATGAATTTATGACTTCTGCAAGACTGAAAAATAAACGTGCGATTATTTGAGAAATGTAATATGCTTGTGGAAGAACTTTTTCGGCAATTTCAACAATATTTTATTTGTAAATTATGACACACCAACCTGAAATTTGTGGATACAACTATAACGTTCCCTTGATCTGCAATAAATCTGCCATCGTATAATCTAGCTGATCCAGCACCAGTCATGAAATTTCCACCGTGTAAATAGACCATCACAGCTAAAGATTCTTCGTCACCTTTTTGGTATTTGTCAGGAATTGTATAATGTTTCCCAAGATGTAGATCACTCGTAGCAACAACTTCTAGTATTTTTTGCGGCACCCAAACGTTTAAATAAAGGCAATCTTCGTTTGTCTGAAAAAAGTTGAACACAAAACAATTTAAAAACTTTCTAGGTGTAACTGACGATTAAATTATTTTGTTATTCTGTACATACTATATTGAAATTCAAAATAAACAAAACAATCTTGAATATATTCTAAAAATATTTTTTAATTCCTATATATTATTTTGAGAAAAACAAATCAGTCTACCATAGCCTAGTTACAGCATTGAGCAGAGAACATAAATATTTTATTAACTCACTTCGTCTGGACACGTATATTTCTTGCTTTTGTAAGTGCATGTTTGTGGACAACCAGGTCGAACATATGTCGCATTCCATATATCTTTTGAAAATGTTGTCAATGGTTGTGGTTTCTTCCATCGGAATTGACCAGTCGGTGGATGACTGAAAGGGATACCTTGGAATATGCCAGCTTCAGGGCTTGCTAAACCAACAATGATACCCTGTTTCCCTGGACAATTAACATTCCATAAATTAGACAAATTTGATCAAAAGTGCAGATTCAATAAAAACACCATTCGAATATAATCCTATATCATTCACTTACCTTCTGCGACAACAATTTCAGGTTTTTCCGCCTCCTGTCTTTCAGAAATTGTCATTCCAACTACAATTGCTGTAAATACCAATACTGGCAAGACGAAGACGAAAATCAAGTAGGTTATATTCATCTTGCGTGGTTGACTTCTACATCTAAATGATACAAATAACATGCTCAATGCATCGGATATCAGATTTGGATTAGTCATACGCGTGCTACGCATATAAGCGAATATTTTGTAATATGTCATTCTTTTCAATTTTGTAATACTTGAGAACAGTGTCGGACACTTATAATAATCTTATGCTATTGTTATGGATGGTTCACAATTTAGGCGGCTGAGAATTAGGTGAAATAAATTATTTAGGTGTTGAGAAAAAAACATTTTCCGATGGATCAACATTGGCATCCACAAACTCCTGGCGTGGTTCTAACGAAAATCCCAACATGATTGAAATACAGAAAAAAATGGGGTAATTCAATATAATTGTTGTTTTCCGGAAAAGGTAATCTCTGGAATGCGCAGAAAGAGTAAATAATCCAATGCAATTTTCTCGATTATGATTACAATATCTGTGAACGATTGAACTCGCCTTTCAGTAAGGTTTATCCTGCAAGTCATGGCATATAGTATTGATGGTGTCTGTTTCTATCATTCTAATCTTTGATGCAATCTATCTATGCACTGGCCGTTGTGTCGAGGTACTTAAACAAGAGATAAATCACAGGTCTTAGTCATTCTTTGGACATCCGCCATGTGCCATTTTAAGCTTACGCATTAAAAAAAGAACTTTGCTTTTATCTGCGGCGACAAGCTAACTATAACACGATGATATACACCCTTGCTATAAGCTTTACCTGGTGTAGATTGGTAATTCGACAATGGTGTCATGGAATTACAGAACTTCTACATTTTATATTATGAATATAACAAATGTATATGTGTTGCAGTATTCAAGTTGTATTACTTTCATGAATTTGAATAGTACAATATTTATAGTTTGTAGGAATTTTCCTCCAACCGTACCCCACTGATAAATACTCTCTATTACATGCCTTTGAAGTCCAATCACGCAGAAACTGACTGATTAACACTGATACAGGCAAAAACTTTTTCATGTGATATTCATATTTACGAACTAGGCTAGTCAATTAAATATTCAATATTAGACTTATCCTTTCTGTCTCATTCTTTAAAAGTAATCGTCTTGCTACATTTGTTTGAGTACAATGGGGATATTATGCTTTCACAGCATCAAATATTTGTGAAAGTTCCGCCTATAAAATTGTGTCAATATTACAAACAAAGTTGGTTGAGTTGAATACCGATGAGATATTTTAAATATCAAACTTCCAACTTCCACAAACATAGCCCAATACCTTCTTTGGTCGAACTTTTAACAATATCGCCCAACAGTAAACTGCAAAGTATGTTTACAATGCTACTACATTTCATTTCATCGTTCACTTCACTCACCTCATTTATGCTAGGTATATGTGACTGGCATTTTATCTGTACGCAACTACAGGTGAATGAGTGTAATAAAATTTGCCTCTCACAGCTGACCGCGCGCAGGGCAGAGGAAGTGATTCGTTTAGCCATTGTGTCTGGCAACTCGGGCGTAACAGCAACTGAACGTATGTTATCGTTGTTCCGAATGTTGCGAGGTAGCGCTTACTTGACATATTCATAGAATAAGTTTAACAATAATTTCCTATTCAAAGTCGAATAAATACCATATGTATTTGTAGACAATATGTGTAACAGAAGCCTAATAAAATTTTAACATCAGTCATATGATTTGACTCATTTCATACGTTCATCCAATTCGATGTTATAGGTAAAATTTCTAAACACATTGAGAATCTATTATGAAGTTCTAATATGCGATACAAATGGCAAGCGCATTCATAAATGTGTTACACTTATTAGTTTACATAAGTGGTGTCATATCCGCTATGCAATCTATGACACTGTTATAATCATGGAGTATATATATTAACACGGTGTTTTCCTAACCACGATCCACGGTCTACTAGACTCTAGACTAGAGTCTAGAGGTCCAAGTTACAGTTGAAAGTTACTTCCAAAACATTATCTATCTTATCCTCGGCTACGATAGCGCATTTTGATTTATTTCTCATCTATTTTTAATAGCGTTAAAAAGCTTGTGATTGCAAATTTGAACCACGTATGTGGTGTTAATAATGTATATATATGGGGTTTACTATCTTTGTAGTTTATATCTGTAGTACTTACCTTGCTCCACCACACCACTTGCGTTTGCAACTATACACATAGACAGGCTTGGGATAGAATGGGATGGGACAGCACACATTTGGATTTCCCATGGGACACGAAACCCGTATGATTTTCGAGGAAATGATGGTAAAACAGTTTGTTATGAACTTCGTGGCCATATATTTGAGCATAGCTCTCTTGTTAGTTTTAAAGAGCAAAATGTATTCAGCATCAAAATACTTCTTGAAGGGGCTGACGGACAAATGTATAATAGTTAATATAAAGTTAACAAAGTCCGTAAATTTTGTTGTTTTGCATGTCTCTTCGTACTATTTATATATATATATATAATATTAGGATAAGCAAAAATAGCGTAATACGCATTGGATTTTTATGTTTTTGAATGGACTATGTATGATTCTGCAATTTTACTAAAAATAGTAATTTCAATCATCTTGATTCCTAAAACATTTTATTTTCAAATTTCTTCGAACCCAATTCTTCGAAAATTACTACTACTACTAAATTACTACAACTTACCACTACGGACTAGTTCTTTATTAAGCTCCGAATTAGATCCGATCAAAATTGTACGTACACAGAACACAATTTTAATACCTAATATATACAATATGAATAATTATTTGCTGTTTGCACAAGTCAAGACTAAGGCAATACGAATTCGAAGTTCATTTTATACATAGTCATGTTTTCACACAATGAAAGATGATGATTAAAACAAATCGTGAATCTCAAATTCACCACAAAATTGCCAATTTCACTAATACAATGCATTGAATTACACTATTGCTAGAAATATAATGCAAAAATTAACTGCCTAATAGGAAAATTTATACCATGCATACAATCTGGTTTCTGGAAAAAGTGCGATATACTTATTTCATATATATTGCAAAAATAAAACCTGTTTACTTTGGATTTAATCCCATCGGAAATTAGGATATTAAAATTGATGTACAAACTCATTAATTGCATACTACTGACGCGTCGTCTTCGTGATCGCAAAGATATGTTTGTTTACCAAAAGTTCCATGGCAATGATAAAAATCCGTGTTTTCATCGCTGCAGGTATGCTCGAAAGCAATCCATATAGGTCCAGCTCCAGATCCAAAATGTGCCTGTCCTAAAGCAAACTTTGCTCCACTAAATCCCAAAGTATAACAAACAGCATTTGCCTCGTCAATCTCGAATTCACTATCGCATATTGTTCCCCATTTTCCCGCATGGAAGATTTCCACTCTGCCCTCTTTATTGTTTCGTCCGTCCACAAGCCTCAGTGCGCCTTCGTGTTCTGTAGAATGTTGACCATTATCAGAAACTATTTATAACGTTAAAAAGTTTTGCTTTGCGTGCATTAAATTCGAAATCGATGTTTTTCTTCAACTCAATGCAAATTTTTAGGAATTGCCTGTCGTACTTGCTTAAAAAAAGCTCACATCGAGGCCAAATTGAACAACTGAGATGACACAATTAACACAAATTGGCAGTCATATAATATGTGGCAAAGTAAGTGGTTTGTTGCCATCATTGTATTCCCATGGTTTGATATTGAGTCATTTATAAATCTAAAATACAGTGTAGTTCATATATATAATATATAAAAGTGCTGGGAACAAAAAGCGTGGTGCTCAAAAATTATTTACTTGAAAATTCCACCGGGCTGGTTTGTATGGTGAGGTTTAAATTTGTTTAAACTATCTTAAGTTAAGTTTGTTAAAATATTGGTTTAGGGACAAATGTACTAACGCAAAACTGAAGTTTGACTGAAATAGCTCCGACTCTCAGCTTTCAAGTCTTAAACTACAATTTCAAAATTTTAACTCGGTCTGAATAAAATTCAAATTGCGCTTTAAGCCATAACGGTAATTAGAACTCTCGTATTTGTTATCAATGTCAGACAATATAAAAAGTTGACAATTTAATGCATACACGCTATTTTTACTGTTTATAGGTTTGTTTATTCGAGAATATGGGCGACTCGAACTTTATTCAGCAGAATTCATTCCAAGTCTTGAGTACAAAATGTCTTACCTGCTACGGTTGTTGGTTTGACTCTAGATACTGGGCTGGGCTTTGATGTTGCACCTTCTTTTTATATGAAGAAATGATAAGCAAATTTTAAATTGGAAAGATAAAAATATGTACCTGGTATGACAACCGTTTTGGATTAGGCCAATATATTATTTGCTGATTTTACCTCTTCAATTGTTTTTGTTGTTTTCATCATTGGACAAATGTCTCTCTTTTTACCTACATGGCCAGTCTACAGCTACAGAAGTTTTTTAAAGAACATTACATCATATACTTTCAAATTTTTCTAGGGTTCAGTTGCAATCCTATAATCTTAAAAATTAAAAATAATGACGTTTTCCACTTGATAAATTTTGGGGACTTATGAAAATACCAGTATATACCATAATGTATATTTTGATAAAAATGGTTATGTCACTGCCTACAATTACCTTTCATTAGGGCCCGTAAGCTGTCTTTTATAATTTTAAGTTCTTTCTTTTGCTTTTGGATTTCTGTGAAATAAATTTCAATCATTTTATATAAAAATAGTTTTTAAAATTGCAAAATTTAGTAAAGCTCCCAATAATACTATTTCTACAATGAAGTGGAGCATAATATGTTGCTATATATTTCGATACTGATATCTTTGGTTATGACAAAAGTATGTCCTTGTTTGAATACAGTGTTTTGCACTTCCATGGCTTTAAAAACCGTCTTTTTTCTTATTTGACACACAAATTTATATTGACCTGAATTCCACATTACTCACGTTCTTGAGTTTTGGTGTTTTCAGTTCTCAGTTCAATCAGTTCTTCAGCTTGCCTTTTGTTGATTTGATTATTAATTCTAAGCACTGTAACAAAATGATATATTGCAAAATGAATATTTAAATAGGTTGAGAATACATGGCCTTTTTGATCCGATTCTAGTTAAAATAAAATTTGTTTTTTTTATTTACGGCATCCGTTAGAAGGCAATGTAATGTAAAAAGTTTAGACCAGAAATAGATCAGAAAAACAGTGTTCACCGTATCAGAATAGCTTCAGATCACGGATTGCTTCACTTGCTTGTTTGCATCCTAGCATAGTTATGTCCGCCCTTAGAGACCTTGTCAATTTATTATTAAATCTATCTCCACAAAAGTTAGTTATATTCAAGCCTACATAATAAGGCTTGTTTCCATGTATATGCACACCGCAGAACTGTGCGGAAAATTAAGTATCTTTCAATTTGAAATTTGTAGATAATGTCTGTAACCTATAGGTAAAATGTATATAGCGTTGAAGTTCATTCCAATTTTAAATAAAACCTTGTACGAGGTATTATCTATATTTAGTACTCATATGCATGTCTGGTAAAAATGTTTGAAATATCGAATAGTTTATATCTGATCCCAATGTTGTACCATGTTAATACTCACTGCTGTTTTAAATAATCGAGTAATCAACGCTATTTTAGTGTTTTTATTGTGAATGACGTTGTGATATATGACGACGATTCAATTTGATATTATTATCTAAGTGAAAAGTAGATAGGATGAAGCGATTGGATATTGTATTTAATTTATATTTTTATCTATATATCTCCCCCTTCCACGTGATTAAACATAGAATATATATATATACATTATGTCACTGTTGTGAAAGCTGAAACATGAAAGTTTACTGAGATCATAATATAGTAATCACCTTAAAGTCCATGTGTTAACTCAAGACATTGTTCAGAATAATAATTATACTCGTTAGTAATAACAATTAAAATCAACACCACGCCTCGAACCGCAAAATCATATTTTGAATTATTTATGAAACTTACGGTCTTTGGTTTGACGATTTTCGTACTTTAATATTACTAGTTGCTCGTTTTGTTCTTTGACAGTTCTTTCAACGCGTCGCAGTTCTACGAAAAGCAAAAAAACGTTAAGCATTTATCACCGACTGCTTAATAACCTAAAGTAGAGTGAGCGTGGTGCGATCCCGCCAGTAATCGCCAATCTCGTAATGAATGTTAATGGAATTTTGTGAATTAAACTGTAGACGTGCTTACAATATTGACCCTATTTTAGTAGGATAATAATTCACTGCGAAGCGTAAAACCAATTGAGGCACATATGTCGCTTGGATCTTATTCCGGAAGAGAATCACTAGTTACTTACCTTGCTTGAGAACATCAATTTCCTCATTATCATTTATAATTTCTGGTAAAACATTGTTACTTCTTTGTTGACCTCTTGCTTCACAAACGATTGGAAATTCTTGCACCTGTAGATAATCATCGATATTGAAACCGAATTTATTTAAAGCCCCTGGAATTGGATCGCATTGAGGAAAATTGCATCCTGCCTTCATTTTACATTGAAATATTCCTTGTGCAGCACCAGAAGTTGATTCGAAAATAAATAGAGCAAGAACGAACGAACGAAAGACCAACATCATTGTTTGACAAATCTCGACCTAAAACTAAATTATAAGGTTAATGAAGGTTCTTAAATTTCTACCCGCATTCTTCACTTGTTTAAGTAAATATACAATATCGTGCTAATATAATATTCAATGTTTACGTCAGTACAGGAATGACTTTTGTATCAGATTGGGGATTTTCTAGGTTGCCCAAAGCGGTAAATTAACCGCCGGGTATTATCAAAAAACTATTGAACCTTCAACAGTATTCCACGAACAGTGTATTACACAATAAATTATATTCATTAACGACACGTTTTCCATAAAATAGATCCCCAAAACTATTCTTATATTTAATATAAAAAGCATCCTTACTGCAGTTGAACACTCAAATCAAGTTTTCTGAAGCTACTTTTGTCTATATTTTTGTATCAATCATACACAACCCACTTACACCAACGAATACTTCAAAAGATAACTTTGCTTTAGCCTGAGAAATCGAAGCACTACATTTGGCTAAAGTTTGCCTAAGGCAATTTGATGTAACAAAAGAGGTGATGTTGTGCAATAACTATGATAAAACAAAAATTATGCCATTTTCAATACAAACTTTTTAATAGCTTCATATTTTCGCCGAAAATTTGTCGTTACAAGTTTTTAGTTTCACATTGAGATTCTGTTTCAAGAGTGAAGAGCTCAGTTTCAAAATGTTAAATAATTTTGAAACAAAAGAATATGTGCGTTGAAAATTGAACAACAAACACTAATCATCACAACACATATAAAGAAAATTGCAATGAAAAATCGAAATTGTTTTTGTATTTGAAGAGAAAGGGGAAATTTAATATTTCTTCCCAGTATTATTCTTTACCGGTTCTTGAATGCCAAATGTAATTATTTTCACCAAATTCAGAATGAAAGGGAAAATTATGTAAACTCCTCCGAGGCTAAGCATGTTCGCGCAAAACTTTACAAACGTAAAAAGGCCCACCAACACTGGCTTGTCAAATCCATTAAAATATTTTATGTATGCTTCAATTTAAACAAATGTCACAGAAAAACATCACACTGTACCAGAAGTGTCTCAATGCTGTACGCTTCAGTCACGCAGCGTCCTAGACCGTTCGTTCACGGGCGATTAGTATTATCTGAACGGATTCTTCGCGAATTGAATAAAATGTGGAGTAGCCTTCGAGACCAACAAATAGCATGAATTCAAGGAAGTCGTAGCGCGGAATTTATTATTGAACACGAAAATGCACCAATGGATAAGTTCGTTGAATTGGTATTTGTTGTTAGTACTCTTCTTGATATTTTTTTTATCCGTTCTGTTATTGTCTTTGTGTTGATTTTATAAACCAAATTTTGTGATGCTAAATTTTGAAACTATTGCAATTTTTTATTTTCAATGGTATTTAACGCGGATCTATAATCCATCAGCTAGGTTTTGTACAAATAACAGTAATATTATATTGTTATAATATATGTAATTAAAGTTAACTTGAAGTGAGAAGTAAAAAAAAAACATCACATGACCATACATAAGAAACACTGTAGTCCCCAGCTTCGGTGCTTTTCATTTGATCGTAAATTTTATGATCGCTTTTTGTTTGATCGTAAAGTGATGAGAGGAAGGTTATTGACACAATAAAATGAGATAGAATGCAGCACCTTTATGGTTTATTCTGCAAATATCATGTGATAAGTTTCAGAATATGACACAACGAGCTTGAAACAGTTAAATACAAAGAAAATATAGTGTTCAGATGAACTGAATAGGTAATAAAGGCCACAGCTGTACAGTAGAAAAACATGGATGGTTTCAGGAAGCATACCTATATCAGAAGCAATGTGTCACACTTTACTGAGAAGGGTCTTCAGAGCATTGGGAAATATAAGATTTAAGTTATAGAATTTTCAATGCGAGTATATGGGAATTATCATTCAAATACTATAAGGGTGTGCAGTCCATAACTTAACTTCATTAAATTAAATGAAATTTTATGTAAGATTGGTTGAAAAACGATTCACATAAAACGAAAATCCAGCAGAGGATCGTGTTCCAAATGAGTGAACATCACTCTGTCTAGCAAAATAGTTGGTGAATGACTGAATGTAGAAGAAAGTTTTCTGTTGTGAATATAGCGCAATAATTCTAATGCTTCGATTTGGTGCATATCCGTAAGATGATATTTATGACGTCATTATTAATGCTTTAATTATGTCGATTGGTGTCACCGCTGAGCTCTCTCTCTTTTGCTGTAGTGTACTGCATGCTGCTTGGTGATGTGATTTAAGATGTCTATGTTATATCCGTAATATACTCAAGCATCTTGAGCAGTTCATTGTTTACCCACAAAAAAACATGGTGCTAGAAGCGGGATTGATTTGAAATTTCCTAAAGATTTCAAAAAATCGCGTCAGTAAGAAATCAATTTAAAGGTGATTATTTTAAGGCTGATTCGTCATTAAACAGACCAGATCCTCTGATTTTTTATGGTAATGTTGCTAGGAACTGGTAAATATATGTTCGTGAATATGATAATTTTATCAGAGCACTGTACAGTGATTAAACAGACAAAGCTAAAGCTTTCATATAAATTAATTTGATTGGGAAAGACGGCAGAGCAACGGCAAAATATGAGCCAAATGAAGGTGACGTTCCTGCTGAATCTCGTAATGATCCAGAATGCTCGAAAAGAAAATTTGCTGAAATATCCCTACCCAAGTAAACATAGTACTAACAAGACCTCAATTTAACATGAGAGCTCCGATAACAGATGAATCTATTCAAACAATTGTTGTAGACTTGAAAACCAAGCCAAGTCTTGCGAATTGGGTGATCTCAGAGATGAGTTGATTAGAGACAGATTTTTGACAGGTGTTTTTGATGATAACCTACGATGACAATTTATATAAGAAGCTATTGATATATGCGTGATATATGAACTCACGAATGAGAGAATGAAATCTACATCGGTAAATGCAATGAAAAAAGTTTATTTTTTAAAACAGTGTTCCCATGAGTAAATTTAAAAATAGCGAAATTTAGAATGAAATATCAGATCTCATAGGATTCATAGAACATTTAAAAATAAATAAAAGTAATAGCCTTCTTGAAAAAAAATCAAACTTTCACCACTGAAAATTTCAAAGCAATTGGTCCAGTACTCGAAGAGAAAAGCGATTTTATAATGATGATGACGAAGAATAACAATAACAACAAGAGAGCTATGCTCAAATATATGGACACGTAGATCCACATATTTTTTGATGACGTCATAGCAAAAAGTAAAAGCCCTCTAGCAAAAATAATATTCTCTGCTCACTGAAAATTTCAAAGCGATTGGTCCAGTAACCACAGAGAAAAGCGATTTCTTCAAAACGTGTCAAAGAACAAGAACAACATAACGCCAAAACCATCGTTATGTCCACTGCGTGTCCAATAACAACATGAGAGCTGTGCTCAAATATATGGACACGTCACAAGGTGTCGCTATTTTTTATTCTGACACATAAGAAACGAATCTCTCGAAGTTCACAGAAATTTTTGAAATAAGTAAAAGTGATAGCTTTCTGGCAAAAAAATCAATATTTGACTACTGAAAATTCCAAAGCAATTGGTCAAGTAATCAAAAAGAAGAGCGACTTTTTAAAAACGTGTCAAAGAACAAGAACAACAACATAATATTGGAACAATCGTTATGTCCACTACCGTGTCCAAAAAGCGAAATATTCAACGTTTATGTGTAACAAATTAACCAATAATTTTGGAAATAATGACATCAAGACTAAATATAATTCTTGACGTCATAATATATTGGAGATTATTCTAAAACATTCTAATATAATATTTCGACACATAGCCGTATGCAGAGTGAATAATTCTCATATGATATGATGAATCACCCCTGTTTTACATGGATTTCTCTGGAACAGGGTGGTCCAAACTGCGGCCCGCGGGCTGTATGCGGCCCCCGGACACATTCCGTGCGGCCCGCAGAACAATTTTAGCGTGTACTAAACCATTGGCAGATATTTGTATTCATTGGCAAACAATTTTTGAGTGTTTTTTAAAATATCTCAATTGGGAATAGCCCTTTTCCTAATCCCGTTGTCGGGATTAATGTTTTTTGAATTCACGGAATTTCAATGTTGTCTCTATAAACGTCAGGACGGCGTCAGTTTAATTAGTAGTTAGAACATAAGACGTTTAATATGCAAATGGTATACCCATACAAAATTCTTCTCTTGTATCGGTATAGTGATCAACAGATAATGTGAATGGAAATACGTAGTGTCACCAAAATAAAGACGTTTAAATTTCTATGCACCAATTATTATCAGGGTATCGCAATGTAACCAAGCAAACATTCCCCCATGTTCACTTTATAATAATTAGTCAAAATGGCGTGATTATGAGCTACCATATCTTGGTCAAAAAATTGGTTTAGGTAATTCATCGTAAGTTTTCCTTTTCGAAACTGATAATTTATTGCTCCTGAAGAGACCTTTCTCCCCTTAGAGAGAGAAACTGTGATTAGAGTATATTTCTAGACTAAGTGCGAAGCAAGTTCACATAAGATGTCGAAAAATTTCGTAAGATATCCTATGGCGCGTTTTGCAATTAGATTTACGGTATCTGAAATTCATTCGTTTTTCTTCAAGCACATTACCTTCCTATTTATTTTGATGTTTATCAACGACAAATTCATTTCTTGTGCTGTTGGAAAAACATGAATATTGATCTGTCAATATGAATGTAGCGGAATTTCCGTATTTACTGTATGTATTTGTGCGCATATGATATGGCTATTTAATTCTTTGGTGTTATTTACTCTTGATCACAGCCGATTTTATTTCAACACCAAGATAACGGCATATCACAACAATCTACACCTTCCATGTTTTTTGCTATGATCTTGGACCATTGACGGACCCGTGAAATTATTTTCAGCTTCGCAAGCTTTCTCTAATCAAGACCCATATGCGTAGAAACAAGTTCAACAATGCTAAAATCAATCCAACTGGTTAGTGAAGTATAGGCTTTCGCAATGTTTCTGTCAAGTGAAGCAAATTAATCATTGCGCAAAAATAATGGTTCTCAAAAAAATGTAATTTTTCATATTAATTAGCATTCCAATCTGAAAGTATAACATGTCTATACTTTCATAATTTAATAAAAATGGTGAATTCCTTAGTATCTAGACTTTGTATTTATACATTTCCTCCAATAATTGTGAATCCTAATCATAACAGTGAATTTGAGGCGTGTTGACATTGACGGTCATATCGCCTCCTCCAACGCAATACATTGTGTCTGTTATCATTGTTTGCTTTCGTTTATGGCTGTTTTCGGTTGACGAATCAATAAATCCATATATCACAATACGACTTCGTTTCATGCAGCCATCACATGAGGCACAATTTGGTTAATGGATATTTGGTTAATGGATATGTCCACCAACCAATGAAACGAGATAGCGATCAGAAACCGCCGACTTATGGATCTAGTGGCGTGTATCTTTCGCTATGAATCAATAGCGACACTGCGTGTCCCATCACTAATTAAATAATACATCGCTAATTATTCGACATAATTCAACCGAAATCAATAGGCTTCTGATCCGATATATGATGAATACACATGCAGAATTTGGAGCGGATTCAACCTCGCTTTCGTGAGATATCGCGTGTGTCCAACAGCCAAACAGACAAATACCTATCAACATACTTACCGATCAAGATCGATAAGTAAAAAGGGTGCAGAAAACGTTCAGTGCGCTACATACAGCAATATGGTGCGTATAGTACGCGCATATGGCGCGTGTTTGTGCCTATGTATGCATATTTTAAAAGTAATTGAAAATTATGTTGCCCAAATGGATGAAAATGGAATGACCTCTCGTACAAGAGGACCTGGAGTTCTAAATAATAAAAACATAAGAGCCTGTCTCTAAGCTCATAGATAATTTAGAAATGTCTTATTCAAACATGCCATGTTCTGCATTAATTTCGCGCCATTTCTTAATATATTAGCCGTTCCTATTACCCTACTACGTAAAATTCTGGTACTTTTGATCGGATAACAAACACAATCCTATATAGATATATTATGACCATTGTGCCCTTATATTTCATTTTCCAAAGTCATTGATCATACTATAACCGGAATTGTTAGAGTTTAGGGAAAGATAGTGAATATAACCAAATTTCTTAATAGTATACGAAAAAAAGATTAAACTCGTTTAATTCGATCTAAATTAAATGAATAAATTATGAATTCTTTCTTATAACAAGCTTGTATTTACCCTCTTGTGACAATTGTCTCTATTCGAAACACGTTGACGTTTTTCTAAATTACAGAAAAAGAAATAATTGTCCCAATTCTAATGCAATTTTTTATATTTCACGCCATGTTTAAAGTGACACGAAAGACATATTTATCGTCTCACTAAATCATAAAAGTCTTAGAAATTTCTGAATTTTTACCGACTCATTTGACTAGCAACTACTACAACATCAATAACAAATTTTAAACACGTTGTTAAAATAATGTTTTCTTGCAAAAAGATCTGACGACAATCAAAGCAGCAATCAAAGCATTACTCTGCTACCACTGTAATGTGGTGCTACAAAGCCATTCATCGCTCTAGTAATTTTAGGGCATATTGAACATTGCAATATTTATATTTTTCAGAAAGTAAACGAAGTGGTTCTATGGATCGTTTTTACGTTGTTTGGTCACCATCCTGCAGTATAAAAACGCTATACGCTGATTATAGGTATTCATATTCAACATAATCGGTGGAATCATAAGTAAAACCCGACCGAAACGGTTATTTGATTTCAAATCGCGTTGGTTCCATGTTCTGCTAAAACACGAGTAAAAACAACAAATCTATTCAATTCAAGAGACTTGCTGCACACGAACACAAATATATTTCTGTAACGTTTCGTCTGACCGAGGTCAGACTTCTTCAGACAAGCATTTTACAACTATCAACAATGAACAATGATCGCAATCACTGCTAATCAAAGTTTATAAGTATTTACACTTCACGTAATTTTATTACACTTCAATTATACTATTGAAAGATTGCTATTACGATACAAAATATTCTTTCCTATTTTATTTGACAAACATAAACGTCTTGTTTCTTTTGTGATCTGTAACGAACGATTAGCGGTATAAACGTTAATACTGGTTATGTGAACAGCTGTGATATAGAAACCATTATAAATCGAACATCCAAATATAATAAATAGTCCAAACTGATGAAGAAATAGAAGATTCTTCTTTATTTGCCTTTAATTTTGTTTCAAAATCTCGCAAAGAGCCAAATAATGGGTACATTTTGACACATTCTAAGTGTTTCCTTCATATTAATTTTATCGCAAAACATTTCGACATTTTCAAAAACTCTGAGATTAACATATTTTAACACACTTACATTATTTATTATAACACTCGTTTGGTAAAATAGTCAATGATTGAACGCAGAAAAAAATATATGTATTGATGAATAATAGCTTAAATACACACTAAATCAGTGGCTTTCAACCGGGGATCAGCGAGCCTCTGGAATGTTTCATTGGGGTTTTGCTCCACCAAAAGGGCTGAAAACCACTGCACTAAATAATAATACTATTCACAATAAAGTAGAACAAAATTCACATGATTTTTATATGAAAAACGAACATATAAATAACTTTGTGTGAATAAATTCAGTGTAGACTTTTCCTTGAAATCGATTCCTTTTCGTAGAATATATAAAATATTTACACGCTTCATAAAAATCAACCGCCACACGAGACAAACTTTACTTCGTTGGGCTGTAGTACATAAAACATTTCCTAAAAGTATTTAAAGCATTTGATGAAATTCTCAAAACATTTTAAAACATATTTTAAAAGTAAACGACAAATTAAACTTCATGTTTCAGGTTACATTCGATGTCCACCAAAGGGTTTGTGAACACAGGTGCATCCAACAGCTACTTTGATATAGCGAGGTCGAAATCCATCCTCCGCTCTTCTCACTTCCTTTTTTACGTAGACTTTCTCACTGTAATGTTCTCGCAGGATTTTAGGCTCGGAACCAGACATGTCAACGCAGTGGGTGCATGCACAACACACTACTGGAAAAGCCTGGGGTGAGCGTAAAGGATCCATGTCAATTCTGTAAACAAATCAAAACATAATGCTTTTATAAAATGAAAAATTGAAGGTTCAAATATTTTCTCAAAATTGTCCTACATTTCCACTACAAAATAAAGTAACATAATGCAACCCCGCGTTGTAATGTTAAAACAACAGTCAATGCAAATTTTATGTTTGTAAAACGATCAATCGAACCTAATCAACTTACTTTGTTGTCCAAGGAGTAATGCTACTTCCTGATAGATTTTCTTGGTCATTCGTTCCAGAGTATCCTCTGACGTATGGACAATGTCTTGGCGAGTCAATGATTGATGGACAATCAGCCTATAATTCAAAAGCGGTTTAATTTTGCATAATCAACAACAGTGGGAATGCTACATATGACATACAGGTGCCACATAGACCACAGAGAAAAGCGTTGCGCCGCTTACAACATGACATACGGTAGGTAGTTGTGTGCACCGGGGCTGTATGTTTTTTATCTAAGCATCCTTAACTTCAATTGACGTGCTATAGTGCTTGGTTGTTTTACGCAGTCAATTAGTATTCTTGGAGAAAATTTGTTAATATAGAGCAGTGGTTCTCAACCTTTTTGTCTTTGCGGACCACCCTTCTGGTGCTCTCAAATGTTTTTTATTTGAAATTTAGTTTATAGCTTGAACAGCAACCTAATGTTCCATACAGATTTAACCAAGTCAATAATAACACCAAACTAGTGGACATTTTCATTTATTTTGTAAAATCGAAAACACTTAATGGGATTTCTGCTGTTGCATATCAGAAGCAAGTCTTGAAATACGTGGTCGTGTTTTCGATAACGATAGACGCATATCGTCTTCGACGTTTAGTTGGCTACGAGCCTTGCATTTGATATGGACGAGAGCAGAAAATCCACTTTTACAAAGGTAAGTGGAGGCAAATGGGACAATAACACGTAATGCTTCCATCGATACTTTTGGGTCCGACGGCAAAATGGCGCTCCAAAACTGAGAAAGGGATTTGTGAGAAAGTTGCTGAGGACAGCATAGCATAAAACGCATTGCGGTTTTTCCTTGCCACCCTCTGACACTGAGGTAAACCCCATTTCAAGATAACTTTCCGAGTACTTTCTCAATTTAGCCATGCTGGTTAAATTTTGGAAAGCAACACGATCTCCTTTGTTGGCTGTAGAACAACTAGCTACTTCGCTTCAAATGAGAATGTGACCAATGACTACATACCCTTGAAATCACTGTAGCTGCGTTCTCGTATTTATCATTGTGATGTCATAACTCGTATTTGTCACAATAGGTCTACGGGAGGTAAATCAAAATAGTTTTTGTAGGCTATTGTCACATTGTCATAGGCAGCAAATGTTCGAGCGTATTACAAATAAAAACGATATTAAACTGCAAATAATTTCATAAAATCTAAATTTAATCGCGGACCCCCTGGAAATGCTCCGCGGACCCCCGGTTGAGAACCACTGATATAGAGCTTGAAAACCACTTTAACAATCGCTACAACAAATTACATTTATGAAAAATCTATTTTGTAACATACCGACTGTCTTTTTATTTCTCTGTAGCTTGGGAAATCAGCTGATTCATCTAGATGTTCGCTGGAAATTGAGGAAATATTTATACATTTCTTACATATCAATATTTTTTCGAAGTTGGCTCATTTTAATTTGTTTTTCTTACCTGGATAGAAATTGAGCTTCTGCATCATAAATTCGACGTGAAAAACATCTTTGACAATTTGCAAGGAATACAAGTATAATTACACCGCTGACTTGATGTGCCTGAAAGTAAAAAAAAATTGTATTTTAAATTTTCGTCCGTGAATTATCCACCATTAACAATAGTGGAACAGTGCATATATTCAAATAATCTAGAATAGATGAATAAATCTTAAAAATTTACTTCACCTTCATTTTTGTATAGTGCGTATCGACGTTGAGAAATTTCCTTAAATTGAGTACTACTTCTTCTTGATAGTGTGATGTTTGAATTCAGACACATTTTTTGCATTCTATTTATACCTTCGAGAAACGATTTTCGTCAAATTGAGAAAATAGAAATTTTATATTCAGTGAGTTGATATCGCTGAGTTTTCGGAATTACTTTACATAAATATAGAAAGATATCGTTTATGCAAGACTGATGACGGATTGTTTTATACAACGAATGGTTTCGTACAATGAAACAATGAATTAGTATTGTCAACACAGTAGAAAAAAGACATATACATGTATAGAAATTAATTCACTCCTGGTCCGAAACAAGATTGTTACTATATTGGTCTAAAATCAGAAATCGTATGTATTTGAGAACAATGTTTTTCTTGGTTTTGGATGCAGGTTAATAAGATCTAGCAAGACGTACGTGTTTGGAAACATGAATAAATCTGGAATTCTCTCGGCATTGTGATCTTTGGTACATCCTTTTTGCAGAATCAATACGCAAGACTGGACTTTCCATGGCTTCATATCATAGGTAATTAATGAAAGTGAAAAACAATACGGTTCCGGGCGCTCATAAAGCCTATATTTTACTGGAGAATCTAATTTATATCTTGTTAATTGTAGTGACATACATGTAAATGATATGAAGATAGCTCTGACCTACACACACTAATATTCAACTAGAAGCGAAATATTTAATGTTAATGCAAATTATATACGCGTACAAAATTCTTCTTTTGTATCGGTATAATGATGAACAGATGTTGTGAGTGGAAATGCGTAGTTTCACCCAAATAAAGACGATCAAATTTCTATGCACCTATTATTATCAGAGTATCGCTATGCACCCAAGCAATCATTCCCAATGTTCAATTTATCCCAAAACGTCCGAGATACTAAATTGATGAAAATATTTGGTCAAAATGATTTATGACGTGAATATAAGCTGCCATAATATTGTCAGTAAATTGGGTTAGGTATTTATTGTAATTTTCCATTTTCGAAGCTGATAATTTCGTATTTCCAAAGAGACCTTTGTCCCCTGTAGGTACGTCTGTCAAAAAATTGGATTAGGTAATTCATTGTAATTTTTCTTTTTCGAAGCTGATAATTTAGTGCTGTGCTTTAAAGAAACTGTGGTTAGAGTATATTTCAATAGGCTTGGTGTAGAAGCAAGTTCGTATAAAATATCGGAACATTTCGTAGTATATCCTATCGCGCGTTTGCTGTGAAACATATCCCTAAATCTGAGTTTACAATTAGTTTTATCTGGAAATCATACGTTTTTTTTTCAAGCACATTACCTTCCCATTCTTTTTGATGTTTATCAACGACAAATACTTTTTTTGTGCTACTGGAAAAACATGATTATTTGATCTGTCAATGTGGATGTAGCAGAATTTTTACATTTACTGTATGTATTTGTGCAATTATGCGCAGAGGCCCATTTATTTACTTGGGGTTATTCCATCCAGTGGAATTTTCATATTTCTTTGTAATGATGAATCCGTATGCGTATAACGTACAGATACTATTGTACAGATAAAGATTACTATATTATGTATCATTCATGTATTTTCAACGTTTCTCATTTGATTAACGATTTGGAACGTTGGAGAGTCTAGGAATGAATATATAAGAGGGGTAGCCTATCCATTTATTTGTTTAATTTGAGCGTTATATACGATTACTGACTGAATAGTTATTAGCCATTTATTTTAAAAGTGAAATTATTCATAGTCAACAGTTGAAGGTCATCGTGGCGTTCACCCAATCAGAAAACTTCATCTGTGCTGTTTGCGGAGTACTTGAAGAATGTTTAGTTTACTAATATTTATTCGTCACAAACACTGCGGGATATTCAATTCAATAATTTGCTGCTTAACTGTCCCTCCCTATTGTTGTTCAGGTGCCCATAATTTGCCTCATTGAAACACACTCACAATGTTATACCAATTTATGTGCATGTATGCCTTTTGTAATAGTTGAAACATGCTCATCTGTATAAATCTGAACTCGGCATGACGAATTAAAAAAATAAAATAAAAGTTTGTGTTAAATGAACTCGGAATTCTCTTGGCATTGTGATCTTGTGTACATAATTATTGCAGGATTAATACTTAAGACTGGACTTTCCACGTCTTCATATCATAGCTAATTGATGAAAATGAAATCATTTATCCATAAAGGAATACGGTCCCGGACGACAACACAGCCATAATTTCACTGAAGCAACTAATTTACATTTTGTTTATTGTAATGACATACATGTCAGTGATATGAAGATCACTCTGACCTACACACACAAATATTCAACTAAAAGCGAAATATTCAATGTTAATGCAAACGATATATACGCGTACAAAATTCTTCTCTTGTATCGGTATAATGATCAACAGATGTTGTGAGTGGAAATGCGTAGTGTCACCAAAAAAAAAGACGATCAAATTTCTATGCACCTATTATTATCAGAGTATCGCTATGCACCCAAGCAATCATTTCCTATGACCAATTTATCCCAAAACGTCCGAGATACTAAATTGATGAAAATATTTAGTCAAAATGATAATTTAATATTGGTCGGCACGCGGGAGAATTTTGTCGTTAAGTTTAGCCGATTTTGGCACGCGAGCCGAAAAAGGTTGCCCACCCATGTTCTAGAACATTCTAATATGAAATTTCGACACATAGCTGTATGCAGAGTGAATAATTTTCATATGATATGATGAATCACCCCTGTTTTACATGGATTTCTCTAGAATCATCGAGAAAAGCCTGTTTGAATTGTGATATACTTTAAAATGCGATCTCAAACAAACAAAGAGATCTCAAGTACAATTAATCTGATAATCTCTATTAATCAACCGTCAATAATAATAACTTAGAATTGTGAATAGGTTTATTTGATTTAAGTTATTGTAATATATTTATCAAGGAAATAAAATCTATACAGGTAAATATTTGGATCTTTTTGCTGTTATATCAAATTAACAGACATCTCAGCTGAACACGTAACCTATTAATCTTTCTGTTTTGGAGTCAGACGAATATCTAACTAATTTAATTAGTAGTTAGAACATAAGACGTTTCATTTTCAAACGATATACCCATACAAAATTCTTCTCTTGTATCGGTATAGTGATCAACAGATAATGTGAGTGGAAACACGTAGTGTCACCAAAATAAAGACCATCAAATTTCTATGCACCAATTATTATCAGGGTATCGCAATGTAACCAAGCAAACATTCCCCATGTTCACTTTATAATAACTAGTCAAAATGGCGTGATTTTAATCTACCATGTCATGGTCAAAAATCTACCATGTCATGGTTTAGGTAATTCATCGTAATTTTTCCTTTCCGAAACTGATAATTTATTGCTCCTGAAGAACCCTTTCTCCCCTCAAAGAGAGAAGCTGTGATTAGAGTATATTTCTAGACTAAGTGCGAAGCAAGTTCACATAAGATGTCGGAAAATTTCGTAAGATATCCTATTGCGCGTTTTTTGTGAAACCTATTTCTAAATATGAGTTTGCCATTAGATTCACGCTATCCAAAATTCATACGTTTTTCTTCAAGCACATTACCTTCCCATTCATTTTGATGTTTATCAACGACAAATACATTTCTTGTGCTGCTTAAAAACATGAATATTGATCTGTCAATATGAATGTAGCGGAATTTCCATATTTACTGTATGTATTGGTGCGCATAATGCGCATATGATATGCCCTTTTAATTATTTGGTGTTATTTACGCTTGATCACAGCCAATTTTATTTCAATACAAAGATAACGGCATATCACAACAATCTACACCCCCCATGTTTTTGCTATGATCTTGAACCATTGACGGACCTGTGTTATTATTTTCAGCCTCGCAAGCTCTCCCTAATCAAGACCCATATGCGTAGAAAAAAGTTGAACAAAGCTGAAATCAATCCAGCGGTTTAGTAAAGTATAGACTTTCGCACTGTTTCCGTCAAGTGAAGCAAATTAATCAATGCATAAAAAATAATTGTTCAAATACAAATGTAATTTTTCATATTCATTGGCATTCCAATCTGAAAGTATGACATGTCTGTACTTTCATAATTTATTAAAAATAGTGAATTCTTTAATATTTAAACTTCGTTATGCATATCATCCAATAGTTGTGAATCTTAATCATAACAGTGAATATGAGGCGAGTTGACATTGACGGTGGTATTGTATCCTCCGGCACAAAACATCGTGTCTGTTATCATTGTTTGTTCTTGTTTATGGCTGTTTTCGGTTATCACAACACGCCTATGTTTCATGCAACAGTCACATAAGGCACGGTTTGATTGGTTAATGGATATGTCCGCCAACCAATGAAAAAATGGGGCAGAAAACGTTCAGTGCGCTTCATACGGCAATATGGTGAATGTATATATTATGAATTCTTTCTCATATCAAGATTGTAATTACCCTTTTTGTGACAATTGTCTCTATTCGAAACAACTTAATTTGCCCCCCTAACAATATTAATTCGACAAACCACTTTTTCATTGTTCTCGGACAACTATTCCAAATAATATAATTAGGCATGTGACGCTATTATAAAATACATAAAAAGAAATAATTGCCCGAATTCTTATACAATTTTTTATATTTCCTGCCATGTTTAATTAAAGTGACACGAAAGGCATACCCTATTTATCATCTCACAAAAGTATAAAAGTCTTATAGAAATTTCTGAATTTTTACCGACTCATAATTTGGTCAGCTTGGTTAGACTACTACTTGAACTACTATAACAGCAATAAACAATATTAAACCGAGTTACAATATTGTTTTCTTGCAAAAAGATCTGACGACAATCGAAGCAGCTTGCATTACTCTGCTACCACTGTAATGTGGTGCTGCATAGCCATTCATCGCCCAATAATTTAGGAGCATATTAACTGCCCATCAAACATTGCAATATTTATATTTTTCAGGGAGTAAATGAATTGGTCCTATGGATCGTGTTTACATTGTTTGGTCACCATCCTGGAGTATGAAAACGCAACTGATTATAGGCAACGTTCCCTCGAGCTTGCGTAGTTGCGCGGAATAGAAGGCCATGTGAGCTCCAAAAAAAGGTTTGCGCGAATAATTTAGCTTGTTTTGTTGTCAATATTTATGCAGTGCGCGGCAGAACGAAAGTACTGCGAGGGGATTCCCGGCCAGCTTAGAGGGAACGTTGATTATAGGTATATATTCATATTCAACATAGTCGGTATAATCATAGGTAAAACCTGACGGAAACGCGGTTATTCCATTTTAAATCGCGATGCCTCGGTTCCATGTGTCGGCAGACCTCTGGTCTGAAGTTTTTTGGGTTCCTTCAATTGTATATCGTCATCATGATGATTATCGCCATCTTGTCGACGTCATCCTCACTGTGTTTATTTTCTTGCATCCGGCGTGTTGCGTTTTTCTCTTTCACGTGTCATCGTTTTACGTATTCATTTTATTATCGTCCCTCAGGCTCAGCAAGATGTTCATGATTGCATTTCTGGTGTTAGCAGTTTAGGATTTTAATTCTTGTTATGACAGTTTAAGATTCATTTAGTAGTCTCCGTTTATAGCGTCTTTTCATACTGTATTTCAAATCGTTCGATATAACATTATATTTGCATGTCTGCAGCTCGTATTGTATTGTATTTATAGTGTTTTATCTTGGTTGTATATCTGTCGTTTTGGGACTATGCTGTTACATGGAGTTGTTTTGTGTAAGTAGTAGTTTTATATTCTTTAATTCTGTATCAATTGTCTTTGGTTTATTTGGTGCTAATTACTTCCTTTTGTATTTTAGTCAACCGTTTTGAATATTTTTAATAAAATGAGTCTGGCAGAGCGACTTATCATTTATGGGTCCCAAAAGTGACACCATGTTCTGCTAAAACACGAGTAAAAACAAATATGATCGCAATCACTACTAATCGGAGTTTATTAAGTATTTACATTTCACATAATTTTATTACATTCCATTCATACGGATGAAAGATTGCTAATACGATACAAAATATTCTTTTCTATATTATTTGACAAACATAAACGTCTTGTTTCTTTTGTGAGCTGTAAACTGTTTTGTAAACTGTTGTGATATCCATAAGAACCATTATAAATCGAACATCCAAATATAATAAATAGTCCAAACTGATGAGGAAATAAAAGTTTCTTCTTTATTTGCCTTCAATTTTATTTTGAAATATCGCAAAAAGCCAAACAATGGGTACATTTTGACACTTTCTAATTGTTTCCTTTATATTAATTAATCGTTATAAAACATATTTTGTTGATTCGACTTAGTAAGACCAGTATAAGACAGAATATTGCGACATTTTCAAAAACTCTGAGATAAACATACTTTAACACACTTACATTATATATTATAACACTTGTTTGGTAAAATAGTCAATAAGTAGCTTAAATACACACTAAATCAGTGGCTTTCAACCGGGGTTCAGCGAGCCTAAGGCTGAAAACCACTGAACTAAATGATAATACTATTCGCAATAAAGTAGAACAAAAATCACATGATTTTTATATGAAAAACAAACATATAAATAACTTTGTCTGAATAAATTCATTGTAGACTTTTTCTTGAAATTGATTCTTTTTTGTGGAATATATAAAATGTTTACACGCTTCATAAAATTCAACCGCCACACGAGACAAACTTTACTTTGTTGGCTGTAGTACATAAAACATTTCCTAAAAGTATTTAAAGCATTTGATGAAATTCTCAAAACATTTTAAAACATATTTTAAAAGTAAACGACAAATTAAACTTCATGTCCCAGGTTACATTCGATGTCCACCAAAGGGTTTGTGAACACAGGTGCATCCAACAGCTACTTTGATATAACGAGGTCGAAATCCATCCTCCGCTCTTCTCACTTCCTTTTTTACGTAGACTTTCTCACTGTAATGTTCTCGCAGGATTTTAGGCTCAGAACCAGACATGTCAACGCAGTGGGTGCATGCACAACAAACTACTGGAAAAGCCTGGGGTGAGCGTAAAGGATCAATGTCAATTCTGTAAACAAATCAAAACATAATGCTTTTATAAAATGAAAAATTGAAGGTTCAAATATTTTCTCAAAATTGTCCTACATTTCCACTACAAAATAAAGTAACATAATGCAACCCCGCGTTGTAATGTTAAAACAACAGTCAATGCAAATTTTATGTTTGTAAAACGATCAATCGAACCTAATCAACTTACTTTGTTGTCCAAGGAGAAATGCTACTTCCTGATAGATTTTCTTGATCATTCGTTCCAGAGTATCCTCTGACGTATGGACAATGTCTTGGCGAGTCAATGATTGATGGACAATCAGCCTATAATTCAAAAGCGGTTTAATTTTGCATAATCAACAACAGTGGGAATGCTACATATGACATACAGGTGCCACATAGACCACAGAGAAAAGCGTTGCGCCGCTTACAACATGACATACGGTAGGTAGTTGTGTGCACCGGGGCTGTATGTTTTTTACCTAAGCATCCTTAACTTCAATTGACGTGCTATAGTGCTTGGTTGTTTTACGCAGTCAATTAGTATTCTTGGAGAAAATTTGTTAATATAGAGCAGTGGTTCTCAACCTTTTTGTCTTTGCGGACCCTTCTGGTGCTCTCAAATGTTTTTTATTTGAAACTTAGTTTATAGCTTGAACAGCAACCTAATGTTCCATACAGATTTAACCAAGTCAATAATAACACCAAACTAGTGGACATTTTCATTTATTTTGTAAAATCGAAAACACTTAATGGGATTTCTGCTGTTGCATATCAGAAGCAAGTCTTGAAATACGTGGTCGTGTTTTCGATAACGATAGACGCATATCGTCTTCGACGTTTAGTTGGTTACGAGCCTTGCATTTGATATGGACGAGAGCAGAAAATCCACTTTTACAAAGGTAAGTGGAGGCAAATGGGACAATAACACGTAATGCTTCCATCGATACTTTTGGGTCCGACGGCAAAATGGCGCTCCAAAACTGAGAAAGGGATTTGTGAGAAAGTTGCTGAGGACAGCATAGCATAAAACGCATTGCGGTTTTTCCTTGCCACCCTCTGACACTGAGGTAAACCCCATTTCAAGATAACTTTCCGAGTACTTTCTCGATTTAGCCATGCTGGTTAAATTTTGGAAAGCAACACGATCTCCTTTGTTGGCTGTAGAACAACTAGCTACTTCGCTTCAAATGAGAATGTGACCAATGACTACATACCCTTGAAATCACTGTAGCTGCGTTCTCGTATTTATCATTGTGATGTCATAACTCGTATTTGTCACAATAGGTCTACGGGAGGTAAATCAAAATAGTTTTTGTAGGCTATTGTCACATTGTCATAGGCAGCAAATGTTCGAGCGTATTACAAATAAAAACGATATTAAACTGCAAATAATTTCATAAAATCTAAATTTAATCGCGGACCCCCTGGAAATGCTTCGCGGACCCCCGGTTGAGAACCACTGATATAGAGCTTGAAAACCACTTTAACAATCGCTACAACAAATTACATTTATGAAAATCTATTTTGTAACATACCGACTGTCTTCTTATTTCTCTGTAGCTTGGGAAATCAGCTGATTCATCTAGATGTTCGCTGGAAAATTGAGGAAATATTTATACATTCTTACATATCAATATTTTTCGAAGTTGGCTCATTTTAATTTGTTTTCTTACCTGGATAGAAATTGAGCTTCTGCATCATAAATTCGACGTGAAAAACATCTTTGACAATTTGCAAGGAATACAAGTATAATTACACCGCTGACTTGATGTGCCTGAAAGTAAAAAAAAATTGTATTTTAAATTTTCGTCCGTGAATTATCCACCATTAACAATAGTGGAACAGTGCATATATTCAAATAATCTAGAATAGATGAATAAATCTTAAAAATTTACTTCACCTTCATTTTTGTATAGTGCGTATCGACGTTGAGAAATTTCCTTAAATTGAGTACTACTTCTTCTTGATAGTGTGATGTTTGAATTCAGACACATTTTTTGCATTCTATTTATACCTTCGAGAAACGATTTTCGTCAAATTGAGAAAATAGAAATTTTATATTCAGTGAGTTGATATCGCTGAGTTTTCGGAATTACTTTACATAAATATAGAAAGATATCGTTTATGCAAGACTGATGACGGATTGTTTTATACAACGAATGGTTTCGTACAATGAAACAATGAATTAGTATTGTCAACACAGTAGAAAAAAGACATATACATGTATAGAAATTAATTCACTCCTGGTCCGAAACAAGATTGTTACTATATTGGTCTAAAATCAGAAATCGTATGTATTTGAGAACAATGTTTTTCTTGGTTTTGGATGCTGGTTAATAAGAGCTAGCAAGACGTACGTGTTTGGAAACATGAATAAATCTGGAATTCTCTCGGCATTGTGATCTTTGGTACATCCTTTTTGCAGAATCAATACGCAAGACTGGACTTTCCATGGCTTCATATCATAGGTAATTAATGAAAGTGAAACAATACGGTTCCGGACGCTCATAAAGCCTATATTTTACTGGAGAATCTAATTTATATCTTGTTAATTGTAGTGACATACATGTAAATGATATGAAGATAGCTCTGACCTACACAAACTAATATTCAACTAGAAGCGAAATATTTAATGTTAATGCAAATGATATATGCGTACAAAATTCTTCTCTTGTATCGGTATAATGATGAACAGATGTTGTGAGTGGAAATGCGTAGTTTCACCCAAATAAAGACGATCAAATTTCTATGCACCTATTATTATCAGAGTATCGCTATGCACCCAAGCAATCATTCCCAATGTTCAATTTATCCCAAAACGTCCGAGATACTAAATTGATGAAAATATTTGGTCAAAATGATTTATGACGTGAATATAAGCTGCCATGTTATTGTCAGTAAATTGGGTTAGGTATTTATTGTAATTTTCCATTTTCGAAGCTGATAATTTCGTATTTCCAAAGAGACCTTTGTCCCCTGTAGGTACGTGTCTCTGTCAAAAAATTGGATTAGGTAATTCATTGTAATTTTTCTTTTTCGAAGCTGATAATTTAGTACTGTGCTTTAAAGAAACTGTGGTTAGAGTATATTTCAATAGGCTTGGTGTAGAAGCAAGTTCGTATAAAATATCGGAACATTTCGTAGTATATCCTATCGCGCGTTTGCTGTGAAACATATCCCTAAATCTGAGTTTACAATTAGTTTTATCTGGAAATCATACGTTTTTTTTTCAAGCACATTACCTTCCCATTCTTTTTGATGTTTATCAACGACAAATACATTTTTTGTGCTACTGGAAAAACATGATTATTTGATCTGTCAATGTGGATGTAGCAGAATTTTTACATTTACTGTATGTATTTGTGCAATTATGCGCAGAGGCCCATTTATTTACTTGGGGTTATTCCATCCAGTGGAATTTTCATATTTCTTTGTAATGATGAATCCGTATGCGTATAACGTACAGATACAATTGTACATATAAAGATTACTATATTATGTATCATTCATGTATTTTCAACGTTTCTCATTTGATTAACGATTTGGAACGTTGGAGAGTCTAGGAATGAATATACAAGAGGGGTAGCCTATCCATTCATTTGTTTAATTTGAGCGTTATATACGATTACTGACTGAATAGTTATTAGCCATTTATTTTAAAAGTGAAATTATTCATAGTCAACAGTTGAAGGTCATCGTGGCGTTCACCCAATCAGAAAACTTCATCTGTGCTGTTTGCGGAGTACTTGAAGAATGTTTAGTTTACTAATATTTATTCGTCACAAACACTGCGGGATATTCAATTCAATAATTTGCTGCTTAACTGTCCCTCCCTATTGTTGTTCAGGTGTCCATAATTTGCCTCCATTGAAAACACACTCAACAATGTTATACCCAATATTTATGTGCATGTTATGGCCCTTTCTTGTAATAGTTGAAACATGCTCATCTGTATAAATCTGAACTCGGCATGACGAAATAAAAAAATAAAATAAAAGTTTGTGTTAAATGAACTCGGAATTCTCTTGGCATTGTGATCTTGTGTACATAATTATTGCAGGATTAATACTTAAGACTGGACTTTCCACGTCTTCATATCATAGCTAATTGATGAAAATGAAATCATTTATCCATAAAGGAATACGGTCCCGGACGACAACACAGCCATAATTTCACTGAAGCATCTAATTTACATTTTGTTTATTGTAATGACATACATGTCAGTGATATGAAGATCACTCTGACCTACACACACAAATATTCAACTAAAAGCGAAATATTCAATGTTAATGCAAACGATATATACGCGTACAAAATTCTTCTCTTGTATCGGTATAATGATCAACAGATGTTGTGAGTGGAAATGCGTAGTGTCACCAAAAAAAAAAGACAATCAAATTTCTATGCACCTATTATTATCAGAGAATCGCTATGCACCCAAGCAATCATTTCCTATGTCCAATTTATCCAATTTATTTATGATATGTTATTATCAGTAAATTGGGTTAGGTATTTATTGTAATTTTCTATTTTCGAAGCTGATAATTTCTTGCTTCCAAAGAGACCTTTGTCCCCTGTAGGTACGTGTCTATGTCAAAAAATTGGGTTAGCTAATTCATTGTCATTTTTTTGTCGAAGCTGATAATTTAGTGCTGTGCTTAGTTCATATAAAATTTCGGAACATTTCGTAGTATATCCTATCGCGCGTTTGCTGTGAAACATATCCCTAAATCTGAGTTTAAAAATGGATTTATCTGAAAATCATACGTTTGTCTTCAAAAACATTACCTTCCCATTCATTTTGATGTTAATCAACGACAAATGCATTTCTTGTGCTGCTGGAAAAACATGATTATTTGATCTGTCAATGTGGATGTAGCGGAATTTTCATATTTACTGTATGTATTTGTGGAAATAATTATCCAGTGGAATTTTCAAATATTTTTGCAATGGTGAATCCGTATGCGTATAACGTACGGATACTATTTATTCGGCACGCAAGCGAGGCCTTGAAAACAAGATCCTTCACCTTCAGGTAAATAATTTCAAGAATCTGAATTATCTGATGAAACTCAGTGTTTCTTTATTCCTTATGATTCGTTGACAATCCGTTATTTATTTCAAATCTTCCCGTCCTTCCATGACATATAGCTACAAAGAAATAAATTATGACGCAACAAAAGGGAGAGGTCAGGAGAAACTTGTCAGGAAGAGCGCAGCATTTATTTGGCTAAATTTTCACGTAATATACCGTATTTCCCGGCGAAAAAGTCGCTTTTCTAGACCCAAATTTTTGGCCTGATTTTGAGGGGGTCGTCTTATTAGGCGAGTCTGGTAATTTTCATTTTTTTGGTGTCGCCTTATTATGAATTAGCTAATGTTCTTTTATGGTGGACGCAATCACGAGTTGAACACAATTAGATTAAAATTTAAAGACAGTTCGAATTCCCGTAGTTATTATGGATTGAATATTACCTTGCAAAAAACGTCATTATAGGCTATATTAACCAATGCGCAAACGCGGCGACCGCTCAAAAGGCATTGCATGGTAGTTTGAGATTCCGATGTTGATGCGATTTTACTACCCCGACTTATTGTAGGTTATATGCAAAAACCCATGTTTTCAGGCTTAAAAACCGGCCTCGTCTTATTTACAGGGTAGACTTATTCGCCGGGAAATACGGTATGTCGTCTGTGCCGCCCTTTTTCTTCTTTCTGCCTGATTTATGAAGTATAGCTCATGTTGGTTAGAGTTACTTGCTACCTTACTGTTATAAATTGATTTCGGAAAAATTATAAACGATCATGGAAAGGGATACAAGAGAGAAGTGCAGAAAACAACTATTGCGCTATTGGAAAGCCATCGCCGAAAATTTTTCGTGTCTGCAACTGCATTACTCATGTATGTTTTTATTTACATATGCTTGTGAATCTCTGTTCTCAGTTATGAACCTTATTAAGTCTCGTAACAGGAGTATCCTTAAAGATGAAACCAGTAGTTGGTGTATTTCTTTCTTTGACAGTTACCAAATATAAATTCAATGTAAAATCTCTATCAGTGGTAATGCAGCAGCATTAGAAAAGTAATCAAATATCTTTACGGACTGATATTTTACCGAAAAGTGGATCTGTCTGTACATGTTCAAAAAGTTTTTTGCTTTGACAGTAGCAAAGCATAGTTTTTAATATTGGTCGGCACGCGGGAGAATTTTGTCGTTAAGTTTAGCCGATTTTGGCACGCGAGCCGAAAAAGGTTGCCCACCCATGTTCTAGAACATTCTAATAGGAAATTTCGACACATAGCTGTATGCAGAGTGAATAATTCTCATATGATATGATGAATCACCCCTGTTTTACATGGATTTCTCTAGAATCATCGAGAAAAGCCTGTTTGAATTGTGATATACTTTAAAATGCGATCTCAAACAAACAAAGAGATCTCAAGTACAATTAATCTGATAATCTCTATTAATCAACCGTCAATAATAATAACTTAGAATTGTAAATAGGTTTATTTGATTTAAGTTATTGTAATATATTTATCAAGGAAATAAAATCTATACAGGTAAATATTTGGATCTTTTTGCTGTTATATCAAATTAACAGACATCTCAGCTGAACACGTAACCTATTAATCTTTCTGTTTTGGAGTCAGACGAATATCTAACTAATTTAACTAGTAGTTAGAACATAAGGCGTTTCATTTTCAAACGATATACCCATACAAAATTCTTCTCTTGTATCGGTATAGTGATCAACAGATAATGTGAGTGGAAACATGTAGTGTCACCAAAATAAAGACCATCAAATTTCTATGCACCAATTATTATCAGGGTATCGCAATGTAACCAAGCAAACATTCCCCATGTTCACTTTATAATAATTAGTCAAAATGGCGTGATTTTAATCTACCATGTCATGGTCAAAAAAATGGTTTAGGTAATTCATCGTAATTTTTCCTTTCCGAAACTGATAATTTATTGCTCCTGAAGAACCCTTTCTCCCCTCAAAGAGAGAAGCTGTGATTAGAGTATATTTCTAGACTAAGTGCGAAGCAAGTTCACATAAGATGTCGAAAAACTTCGTAAGATATCCTATTGCGCGTTTTTTGTGAAACCTATTCCTAAATATGAGTTTGCCATTAGATTCACGCTATCCAAAATTCATACGTTTTTCTTCAAGCACATTACCTTCCCATTCATTTTGATGTTTATCAACGACAAATACATTTCTTGTGCTGCTTAAAAACATGAATATTGATCTGTCAATATGAATGTAGCGGAATTTCCATATTTACTGTAAGTATTTGTGCGCATAATGCGCATATGATATGCCCTTTTAATTAGTTGGTGTTATTTACGCTTGATCACAGCCAATTTTATTTCAATACAAAGATAACGGCATATCACAACAATCTACACCCCCCATGTTTTTGCTATGATCTTGAACCATTGACGGACCTGTGTTATTATTTTCAGCCTCGCAAGCTCTCCCTAATCAAGACCCATATGCGTAGAAAAAAGTTGAACAAAGCTGAAATCAATCCAGCGGTTTAGTAAAGTATAGACTTTCGCACTGTTTCCGTCAAGTGAAGCAAATTAATCAATGCATAAAAAATAATTGTTCGAATACAAATGTAATTTTTCATATTCATTGGCATTCCAATCTGAAAGTATGACATGTCTGTACTTTCATAATTTATTAAAAATAGTGAATTCTTTAATATTTAAACTTCGTTATGCATATCATCCAATAGTTGTGAATCTTAATCATAACAGTGAATATGAGGCGAGTTGACATTGACGGTAGTATTGTATCCTCCGGCACAAAACATCGTGTCTGTTATCATTGTTTGTTCTTGTTTATGGCTGTTTTCGGTTATCACAACACGCCTATGTTTCATGCAACAGTCACATAAGGCACGGTTTGATTGGTTAATGGATATGTCCGCCAACCAATGAAAAAATGGGGCAGAAAACGTTCAGTGCGCTTCATACGGCAATATGGTGAATGTATATATTATGAATTCTTTCTCATATCAAGATTGTAATTACTCTTTTTGTGACAATTGTCTCTATTCGAAACAACTTAATTTGCCCCCCTAACAATATTAATTCGACAAACCACTTTTTCATTGTTCTCGGACAACTATTCCAAATAATATAATTAGGCATGTGACGCTATTATAAAATACATAAAAAGAAATAATTGCCCGAATTCTTATACAATTTTTTATATTTCCTGCCATGTTTAAAGTGACACGAAAGGCATACCCTATTTATCATCTCACAAAAGTATAAAAGTCTTATAGAAATTTCTGAATTTTTACCGACTCATAATTTGGTCAGCTTGGTTAGACTACTACTTGAACTACTATAACAGCAATAAACAATATTAAACCGAGTTAAAATATTGTTTTCTTGCAAAAAGATCTGACGACAATCGAAGCAGCTTGCATTACTCTGCTACCACTGTAATGTGGTGCTGCATAGCCATTCATCGCCCAATAATTTAGGAGCATATTAACTGCCCATCAAACTTTGCAATATTTATATTTTTCAGGGAGTAAATGAATTGGTCCTATGGATCGTGTTTACATTGTTTGGTCACCATCCTGGAGTATGAAAACGCAACTGATTATAGGCAACGTTCCCTCGAGCTTGCGTAGTTGCGCGGAATAGAAGGCCATGTGAGCTCCAAAAAAAGGTTTGCGCGAATGATTTAGCTTGTTTTGTTGTCAATATTTATGCAGTGCGCGGCAGAACGAAAGTACTGCGAGGGGATTCCCGGCCAGCTTAGAGGGAACGTTGATTATAGGTATATATTCATATTCAACATAGTCGGTATAATCATAGGTAAAACCTGACGGAAACGCGGTTATTCCATTTTAAATCGCGATGCCTCGGTTCCATGTGTCGGCAGACCTCTGGTCTGAAGTTTTTTGGGTTCCTTCAATTGTATATCGTCATCATGATGATTATCGCCATCTTGTCGACGTCATCCTCACTGTGTTTATTTTCTTGCATCCGGCGTGTTGCGTTTTTCTCTTTCACGTGTCATCGTTTTACGTATTCATTTTATTATCGTCCCTCAGGCTCAGCAAGATGTTCATGATTGCATTTCTGGTGTTAGCAGTTTAGGATTTTAATTCTTGTTATGACAGTTTAAGATTACATCGCTTTTATAACATTGTGGTTTGAATTCATTTAGTAGTCTCCGTTTATAGCGTCTTTTCATACTGTATTTCAAATCGTTCGATATAACATTATATTTGCATGTCTGCAGCTCGTATTGTATTGTATTTATAGTGTTTTATCTTGGTTGTATATCTGTCGTTTTGGGACTATGCTGTTACATGGAGTTGTTTTGTGTAAGTAGTAGTTTTATATTCTTTAATTCTGTATCAATTGTCTTTGGTTTATTTGGTGCTAATTACTTCCTTTTGTATTTTAGTCAACCGTTTTGAATATTTTCAATAAAATGAGTCTGGCAGAGCGACTTATCATTTATGGGTCCCAAAAGTGACACCATGTTCTGCTAAAACACGAGTAAAAACAAATATGATCGCAATCACTACTAATCGGAGTTTATTAAGTATTTACATTTCACATAATTTTATTACATTCCATTCATACTGATGAAAGATTGCTAATACGATACAAAATATTCTTTTCTATATTATTTGACAAACATAAACGTCTTGTTTCTTTTGTGAGCTGTAAACTGTTTTGTAAACTGTTGTAATATTCATAAGAACCATTATATAATCGAATTCAATTTTATTTTGAAATATCGCAAAAAGCCAAACAATGGGTACATTTTGACACTTTCTAATTGTTTCCTTTATATTAATTAATCGTTATAAAACATATTTTGTTGATTCGACTTAGTAAGACCAGTATAAGACAGAATATTGCGACATTTTCAAAAACTCTGAGATTAACATACTTTAACACACTTACATTATATATTATAACACTTGTTTGGTAAAATAGTCAATAAGTAGCTTAAATACACACTAAATCAGTGGCTTTCAACCGGGGTTCAGCGAGCCTAAAGCTGAAAACCACTGAACTAAATGATAATACTATTCGCAATAAAGTAGAACAAAAATCACATGATTTTTATATGAAAAACAAACATATAAATAACTTTGTCTGAATAAATTCAGTGTAGACTTTTTCTTGAAATTGATTCTTTTTTGTGGAATATATAAAATGTTTACACGCTTCATAAAAATCAACCGCCACACGAGACAAACTTTACTTTGTTGGGCAGTAGTACATAAAACATTTCTGAAAGTATTTGAAGCATTTAATGAAGTTCTCAAAACATTTTTAAACATATTTTAAAAGCAAACGACAGATTAAACTCCATGTCCCAGGTTACATTCGATGTCCAGCAAAGGGTCTGTTTACACAGGTGCATCCGACGGCTACTTTGATATAACGAGGTCGAAATCCATCCTCTGCTCTTCTTACTTCCTTTTTTACGTAGACTTTCTCACTGTAATGTTCTCGCAGGATTTTAGGCTCGGAACCAGACATGTCAACGCAGTGGGTGCATGCACAACACACTACTGGAAAAGCCTGGGGTGAGCGTAAAGGATCAATGTCAATTCTGTAAACAAGTCGAAACATAATGCTTTTAAATGTGTAAACAATGATAATAAAGTGAAAAGTTGGAGGTTTAAATATTTTTTCATAATTGTCTTTCATTTCAACTACAAAATGAGGTAACATAATGCAAACCCGCGTTGTAATGTTCAAACAACAGTCAATGCAAATTTTATGTCTGTAAAACGACCAATCGAACCTAATCAACTTACTTTGTTGTCCAAGGAGAAATGCTACTTATTGATAGATTTCCTTGATCATTCGTTCCAGAGTATCCTCTGACGTATGGACAATGTCTTGGCGAGTCAATGATTGATGGACAATCAGCCTATAATTCAAAAGCGGTTTAATTTTGCATAATCAACAACAGTGGGAATGCTACATATGACATACATGTGCCACATAGACCACAGAGAAAAGTGTTGTGATGTTACAACATGACGTAGTTTTGTGCACCGGGGCTTTATGTTTTTTTTATCTAAGCATCCTTGATTTCAATTCACTTGCTATACTGCTTGGTTGTTTTACGCAGTTAATTAGTATTCTTGGAAAAAATTTGTTAATATAGAGCTTGAAAACCACTTTAACAATCGCTACAACAAATTACATTTATGAAAATCTATTTTGTAACATACCGACTGTCTTCTTATTTCTCTGTAGCTTGGGAAATCAGCTGATTCATCTAGATGTTCGCTGGAAAATTCAGAAAATATTTATACATTTCCTAAATATCATTATTTTTCAAATTTGGCTTATTTTAATTTGTTTTTCTTACCTGGATAGAAATTGAGCTTCTGCATCATAAATTCGACGTGAAAACATCTTTGACAATTTGCAAGGAAAAAAAGTATAAATATACCGCTGACTTGATGTGCCTGGAAGTAAGTAAAAATTGTATTTTAAATTTTCGTCCGTGAATTATCCACCATTAACAATAGTGGAACAGTGCATATATTCAAATAACCTAGAATAGATGAATAAATCTTAAAAATTTACTTCACCTTCATTTTTGTATAGTGCGTATCGACGTTGAGAAATTTCTTTAAATTGACTACTACTTCTTCTTGATAGTGTGATGTTTGAATTCAGACACATGTTTGCATTCAATTTATACCTTCGGGAAACAATTTTCGTCAAATTAAGAAAATGGAAATTTTATATACAGTGTGTGATATCGCTGAGTGTTCGGAATTTATTTACATATATTTAGAAACTCGTTTATGTAAGACTGATGACAGGTTAATTTATATAATCAATGGTTTCGTACAATGAAACAATGAATTAGTACTGTCAACACAGTAGAAAGAGACATACACTCGTATACATATATAAAAATAACAAGAAACAAGATTGTTACTATTTTGGTCTGAAATCTTATGTATTTGTGTATCATGTTTTTCTTGGTTTTGGATTCTGGTTAATAAGAGCTCGCAAGACGTACGTGTTTGAAAACAATTCCGTAGTTTCATATATATCCGAGTGGGAAACTGTTGTTTATATTATTCAATTTATCTGGCAAAAATGAATACGTAACTCGTAGTTGGCTTTACCAATTAAATTGTATCGTAAATATAAGACCCGCCTCGTTTATAAAATATAAGTACGTCTTCGTTTGCCAAGCTTAGAAATCGTCCTTAAAAATGATTGATATCGATTTGATCGTCGTGCTATCACTGGTAGCGTAATATCGATGAGCATTGTTTGTTTTACAACAACCCTGCGTTTACCAGTGCTATTTATGATCGTTAATAAAAGCACGAATGCAATGCATTTATTGGATCTCCGCTCTATAGGAGACCCTTATTATCAGTCGTTCTGTCTGTCTGTCTGTCTGTCTGTGTATCTGTCTGTCTGTTTAGATGTAGCGTCTTAATGGCTGGACCAATCTGGATGAAATTTTTCACATGGGTTATCCTGTCACCCCAGTAATGTGCGTTTTATAGAAAGTCCGGATAAATGTTTCGTTTCCATGGTAACAACGAAAAACGCTCCGATCGTTATGAAATTTCTATTTTTTTCACAGTTTATCGCCGTTTTCTCGCCAACCAAGTCGAAAATTAAAATTCCAGGAGCGCTTCCTTCCGCATGGCAAAGTACTCTTTCCAATAAGTCGTCTTTGGTCTCGATACTTCATAAACTGGAGAAGCCTTAGGGATTTCAATGAACTTAATTTCCCCATTTAGTCACAGTATATCAGTCACGTGAGTATGTCAACGGAACGCGCAGCGTTTGAAATGAACTCAGCGGAACTGGTGAGCCGGTGCAGGTGTTCTTGATATACGGAATTATTATTTGCTTGAGATTTGATGTACTTCTCGCTGTTAGTGGGTGGTTCACCTAAACGCTGGCTACAAAAGCCAACCGATTTAATTGCTGTTCTCTATGCATGTCGCATCATCGACATCCGATTCGGAGCAGAGCTCAAACTCCGAATAACACCCTGGCTTTTCATCGATTCCACATGTACCTGCTTTCCGTGACGAGTCTTGCAACTCAGTCATTATGTCCTGGCTACCCTGAGTTTCAGAAAACTCTGATTGTGATGAAAAAGCTTCATCCATTTCACCCTTTTTAGTGAGACTTTTGAGGCCTGTTATAGTTCTGTCCATTACTGTTATTTTAGCGTTCCGTGCTTTTATTACACGCTCCTGTCGTTTGTAACTGCTTTCCATTCTTTCAATCAAAGCTGCAATACGAGCTGCAGACGCTGATACTTGTTGTGTTGCTAAAATAGCGTACTGGCTGTCGTACCCTTTTTCACGAAGGTGGTCGGCAAGTGCTTCTACGGAATCTTTTATGAATTCTGCATCACGTTTACAATCTTTGAAATACGCCGTCATTGCCCCGCAACAAATAATCGTCAGCTAGTGCAAAACCTACTCGCCTCTCGCCTATTTCTTGCGAGGAAATTTTCATGAATTCACTTCCAAGCGCACAAATTAAAGAGATCTAAATCTGAACGAAGTTAGGCCGACCACTAAAGTGCTACAGAGACAAAATGAATTGAATCCTCGCGATATACTGTATGCCGCGGGCCTGGGTGTCAGCGGAGATCCTGGACGCCTACCGGCTTGTGTCAATTATATGTTTCTCTGTTTACCAATGACTGCTCTGATAATAGTCATCAACAAGGATGCGTGAGAAGATCTTGAAAGTAGTTTCTATAACGAAATAAGTAATATTTATGTTTCTTCGACCAAGAAAAAAAGTCTTGGATTATTTTTCATGACGCAAGTAACCACGACGTTTATTTTCGTAGCCCCGCCTCAAATTTTTTTCAAATTTTTAAGAAAAAAAATTATTCTTGTTTTTTCACGATACTAATATATATTTTTTCATTATTTTTACGATTTCGATTCAGCAAATAGTACAGCTGTTATAAAAGGATACTTATCTTAAAATTCCATGTCTCCCAAATGGCTTCCAGATAGACTCGTGAATTTTTATACCGAGCTAGTAATTTAAAAAATGGTAAGCGCTCACATACATATAGGTTTGCAAAGGCTGGCAACCCGCCATCCATAAATAGAGATGTCGGGCCCGTAATACCAGATGCTCCTAGCAAACTAATGGAAACAAGTGCCAGTAACCAGGGCCTGTACCACCATAGCAAAGTTTTTTAATAAATGAATAAGCTTCTGCTTAAAGATCTTGCTTAGTGCATGTTGAGGCACTCACGTGGAACTCATTTCGGCTTGTGGTAGTGGTTTTAGAGCATATTTTGCGATTCTGCAGCTAACCTATACAGGGATTTATCTACTAACGGAATTGTCGTAATACTCATAAAATGATCCTATTTCTTCAAGCGATTTAGATGTTTTATGAAGTTTAAGTTGCTTATTAGGGTCAGAGTACGTGAACCTGACGGAAACGCGGTTATTCCATTTTAAATCGCGATGCCTCGGTTCCATGTGTCGGCAGACCTCTGGTCTGAAGTTTTTTGGGTTCCTTCAATTGTATATCGTCATCATGATGATTATCGCCATCTTGTCGACGTCATCCTCACTGTGTTTATTTTCTTGCATCCGGCGTGTTGCGTTTTTCTCTTTCACGTGTCATCGTTTTACGTATTCATTTTATTATCGTCCCTCAGGCTCAGCAAGATGTTCATGATTGCATTTCTGGTGTTAGCAGTTTAGGATTTTAATTCTTGTTATGACAGTTTAAGATTACATCGCTTTTATAACATTGTGGTTTGAATTCATTTAGTAGTCTCCGTTTATAGCGTCTTTTCATACTGTATTTCAAATCGTTCGATATAACATTATATTTGCATGTCTGCAGCTCGTATTGTATTGTATTTATAGTGTTTTATCTTGGTTGTATATCTGTCGTTTTGGGACTATGCTGTTACATGGAGTTGTTTTGTGTAAGTAGTAGTTTTATATTCTTTAATTCTGTATCAATTGTCTTTGGTTTATTTGGTGCTAATTACTTCCTTTTGTATTTTAGTCAACCGTTTTGAATATTTTCAATAAAATGAGTCTGGCAGAGCGACTTATCATTTATGGGTCCCAAAAGTGACACCATGTTCTGCTAAAACACGAGTAAAAACAAATATGATCGCAATCACTACTAATCGGAGTTTATTAAGTATTTACATTTCACATAATTTTATTACATTCCATTCATACTGATGAAAGATTGCTAATACGATACAAAATATTCTTTTCTATATTATTTGACAAACATAAACGTCTTGTTTCTTTGTGAGCTGTAAACTGTTTTTGTAAACTGTTGTAATATTCATAAGAACCATTATATAATCGAATTCAATTTTATTTTGAAATATCGCAAAAAGCCAAACAATGGGTACATTTTGACACTTTCTAATTGTTTCCTTTATATTAATTAATCGTTATAAAACATATTTTGTTGATTCGACTTAGTAAGACCAGTATAAGACAGAATATTGCGACATTTTCAAAAACTCTGAGATTAACATACTTTAACACACTTACATTATATATTATAACACTTGTTTGGTAAAATAGTCAATAAGTAGCTTAAATACACACTAAATCAGTGGCTTCAACCGGGGTTCAGCGAGCCTAAAGCTGAAACCACTGAACTAAATGATAATACTATTCGCAATAAAGTAGAACAAAAATCACATGATTTTTATATGAAAAACAAACATATAAATAACTTTGTCTGAATAAATTCAGTGTAGACTTTTTCTGAAATTGATTCTTTTTTGTGGAATATATAAAATGTTTACACGCTTCATAAAAAATCAACCGCCACACGAGACAAACTTTACTTTGTTGGGCAGTAGTACATAAAACATTTCTGAAAGTATTTGAAGCATTTAATGAAGTTCTCAAAAACATTTTTAAACATATTTTAAAAGCAAACGACAGATTAAACTCCATGTCCCAGGTTACATTCGATGTCCAGCAAAGGTCTGTTTACACAGGTGCATCCGACGGCTACTTTGATATAACGAGGTCGAAATCCATCCTCTGCTCTTCTTACTTCCTTTTTTACGTAGACTTCTCACTGTAATGTTCTCGCAGGATTTAGGCTCGGAACCAGACATGTCAACGCAGTGGGTGCATGCACAACAACACTACTGGAAAAGCCTGGGTGAGCGTAAAGGATCAATGTCAATTCTGTAAACAAGTCGAAACATAATGCTTTTAAATGTGTAAACAATGATAATAAAGTGAAAAGTTGGAGGTTTAAATATTTTCTCATAATTGTCTTTCATTTCAACTACAAAATGAGGTAACATAATGCAAACCCGCGTTGTAATGTTAAAACAACAGTCAATGCAAATTTTATGTCTGTAAAACGACCAATCGAACCTAATCAACTTA